ATAATCTCTATCCCTTCTGTCTAAAATATTCAATTTTCTAAGTTATACATTTTGAAATGCTGAGTTAATTCTTTTGTGAAACACTTTATACAGTGGTCTCTTTAGCCCAAAATAGAAGGGTGCCGCACCCTGGGTGCCCTCAGCCGCGCCCTGGGTGCCTTCATCCGCGCCCTTCTGCCCTGACGCCTTTTCCCCAAAAACCCTTGTGCCGTTTTGGTAAAATTGCCTTTTGTTTCATCGATTTCTTATCACAAAGTTAAATTACATATATGACACCAGGTGATTGCCCCCAGGTTAATCATGTCATTACAATCAATTACAGTGGATAAGACATCAAAGGTGTTAATAACTAGGTAATTTAATTAAGACAATGTACCTTTTTGTCATAAATTTGATGAATGTGTCAGCGAGTGATTTTAGCTTGGGTCTGCATTTTCTATCTCCAAGAAGAGTGTATAAATGAATACTTTCATGACTTTAGAATAGAATTTAAGTCATCAAAATACAACTATGCCTTCACAGAAACGCCGTCGATCTCAACTTGTGAGCGACAAGCACATTAAACGTGTTAAAAATTAATTTTGGAGTTACTTCCCCTGTTTTAGCTTATTACAAATTTGTGCTCCTAAAATATTATCTAGTATTAAAAATAGGAATAAGTTACCAATTGAATACAAAATTATATAAGAATGTTACCTTTAACTGTCTTTGAACATACCAAAAAAAATATATTGCAATTTATTTTTGATAATCATACTTTTAGCAATCCATGTTCTATACATTGTCAATTAAGAAATTTATAAGTTCAATTGATAGGATGATGTTAAGCTGCAATCCTACAAAAATGGGTAGTGTGAAGTGAAACCATCATGACATCAACTTCATGAAGCTTTACTAAATAATTCCTTAAAACAATGAAAAAAAGTTTTGAGGGCCAAACTCTAGCTGAAAATTTTGATATAACTCTGTCACATGTATGCTAAACTATGAGATGTTTAGTTTATGTAGTTTTTTTTGGAAAAGGGGAGGGGGGGGGGGGAATAGTAAGTTAATTTGCCTCTATTGGTTTATAGTGATGTGATGTATGAATGTGTATTGACATGTTTTATGAACATGTCGTATGAATTACATTTTCTAATGCAAATTTTATAGAATAAATAATCAAAACAACAACTTATGCATCTTTATTAACAACATATACAGTAAAAAAAAGAATGTGAACTCGTGATACACACAGAAACATAGACAAAAGAAATGAGCAGTGCCTTTTCCTTTCATAAAAAAGTGCCCTGCCCTCCACTGGCACCCTGCCCCTTTTGATTTCTAGCTGGAGCACTGTTATATTTCAACTTTTTTTGCTTAGTCTTCAATGCATGTCATGGGTCTTTTGAGGCAGACAATTTTTTGTTAAGTGTCAACTTGTCCACCTGTCAACTGTTGAAGGTAAACTTTATTTTTATGATTTTGACCTTATCACACGTTTCTTTTAAAAAGAACATCTGCAAGGAACTTTATATCTGTATACTCAAGTTGAACCAGAAACTTATCTGTTTATGAAATACAATTAAGCTTTGTAAAGATTTAATTAATATTTTTAGATTAACATTTTTTTTAATCAGTTTTAACAGAGGATTTTTTAAAAGTTTACTTCCAATGACAAGGAGCCCCAAATCATGCAAATGATGCAATAGCTCACATGGCCCATATTTACAGTCATACAAATTATAGATATTATTATAATACAAACATCTATTTTCATCTCTGTCTCTGTTTTTTCTTCTATCTTTGTCTTTTTTATTTCTCTCCTTTTTTTCTCTTTCTTTAGAGGACATATAAACTCCTCTCTCTTTTTCTTTATGCCTCTTGTGCTGTCTTTCTTTAGCTTCTTTGCTAACACCTCCAGGATGAGAAGGTGTTTCTACTCTTGGTGGTCTATAATTTCTATAAAAATCAGGGATAAAACACATTAACTTTACATTCATAACAGCATTTTCAATACTGTAAATTCAGAAATTATTATTACGAATATTGAAAATTGGTCAAAAATGTGAGATCAATTATTGCAATTTCGAGAAAAGCTGCATACGAATAAATGCATCAGATATCATGGATATCATGATGCAAGTTTTTATTATTGCAATATTAAATCCACACATTATTCACATTGATAAAAACCTGACAATTATTTCTGAATTTACAGTAATTGTTGAGGTAAGTAAAAAATCTAAAGAATAGACAAAAAAATTCATAAAATAAATACTACATTTTTGTTCGCTTTGAAGATTCCGTATATCGCCAAGTTATCGGAATTCCAATGGGGACTAACTGTGCACCACTTATTGCGGACCTGTTTTTGTATTGTTATGAGTTACAATTTATGACTAAAATCAGCAAAGACCCATCGAAACAACATCTGATACAAAAATTTAACAATACTTTTAGATATTTGGATGATATATTGGCTCTCAACAATGACGAGTTCAGTATGTATACTAAAGAAATTTATCCTGTTGAACTTACTTTAAATAAAGCTAATACTAACAATGACCACTGTCCTTTCCTCGATCTTGATATCTATATCATTAACAGGAAGCTTAATACAAAAATTTATGATAAAAGAGATGATTTTTCATTTCCTATCGTTAATTATCCATTTTTAGATGGTGACGTTCCCTTGTCACCATCTTATGGTGTTTATATATCTCAACTTGTACGATTCGCTCGTGTATGTAACAACGTATTAGATTTTAGCGAGAGAAATTTATGTATTACTGAAAAATTATTACACCAGGGTTTTCAATATCATAAACTAGTCAAAACATTTACTAAATTTTATCATCGGTATAAGGACATCATTCGTAAATATAACTCAACATGCAGACATCTTATACGTTCTGGTATTTCACATCCAATCTTTTATGGTAATATTCTTTACAAAGCGCAAAAATGTCAGTATTCACCTCAAAAGCTAACAAAACCTTTAAACAGACTTATTAAGAAGGGATATAGTTACGATACTGTTGTCAGGTCATTAAAGATTGCATATTTTGGCTTTAATATTGATTCACTTATAGGGTCTTTGCATCGGAATTAAACACATTTATTCTAAAACCAGTTGTTGGCATGACACGGGTTATGTTCTTCTCATATATTTTATGACGGTATAATACTAAACCCCTAACAGGAGGGATTGTGCCTGATATTCATATGATGAAGACATAATCTTTCAATCACTTTAAATGAGGTCTGGAGCTGGCATGTCAGTAACTGCTAGTAGTCTGTTGTTATTTATGTATTATTGTCATTTTGTTTATTTTCTTTTGTTTCCTATTCTGACATCGGACTCAGACTTCTCTTATACTGAGTTTTACTGTGCGTACTGTTGTGCGTTTGTTTTTTCTACATTAGCTAGAGGTATAGGGGGAGGGTTGAGATCTCAAAAAAACATGTTTAACCCCACTGCATTTTTGCGCCTGTCCCAAGTCAGGAGCCTCTGGCCTTTGTTAGTCTTGTATCATTTTTAATTTTAGTTTCCTGTATATAATTTGGAGTTTAGTATGACGTCCATTATCACTGAACTAGTATACATATTTGTTTAGGGGCCAGCTGAAGGACGCCTCCGGGTGCGGGAGTTTCTTGCTGCATTGAAGACCCATTGGTGGCCTTCGGCTGTTGTCTGCTCTATGGTCTGGTTGTTGTCTCTTTGACACATTCCCCATTTCCATTCTCAATTTTAGACTGCATAACCTTTCTCAATATGTACAAAAAAAGTAGAACTCATGACAAATAAATGGCTTTCTTTTCATGAAGCTGCCATGTTGTACATGTTGTAAGTCATACGATTTCCTGCAAATTTGTATAACTGATGCTGAACGCTTTGAATTTATTCTGTTTGAGTACATAATAAAATGAGTCTAGCATGTCTAAAGCTTATTTTACATACGATTTTATAGCAAAATTCTCTGAGGAAACTCACCTCAGATCTATCAGGCAGATTTTTGTATCTGTACAAATATCAGTAAAAAGCTGACTTTGTGTATTCTTTGTTTTTAGGTACAAATTAGTGAATTAAACATTGTTAAACTATACTTTAAAACAAGACATTTTTTTATACTTTGTCACCTGTAATTATGCTGGGAATTTTTTTACAATAAATGTACATACCTTTCTTTGTAACTTTTATGTTTTGAAGATTTATGATCTTCTTCATCACTACTTGAGTCACTACTATCACTTTCATCTTTGCTGTCTGTATATGATGTTACCTTCGATCTTTTTGTTGTACTTTCACTTTTGATATCTAATTTCCTTTTCTCTGCTGCCAATTTATCAAGTCCCAATAGGGATACTTTGGGAAGTGATGGTTTCTTGAATTGAAAGTCTCCATTTTCTGATTTCTTTTTCATAATAACAAGTCCACCCTTTTCACTGCCCGATGACCCCTCCAGTCTATGTAATGCAGGATCATCATCTGGGTCTACGAAACTTGTCATTCTGAATTAATTTTTTACAACTAAATGTTTAACTTTTACTGCACAGCAGAACTAAGGGACATGATTTAATTACTTTTACAAATCAAACAGCATGTGATTTTCGTCTGATTTTAGACGTTCAATGACTTGACACGTGATTGTCTTAATTCCAGTGGGAAAGTATTAATTGGAAATATATCTAATTGGAATATTTAACAGGTTTTATCTAAACAAAACAACTTTCAAACATAAATAGTAATTCGTTAAAAAAATACGTTTTGAAACTTTAACCGGAAACTCTCTCCAATAAGAAATCACAAAAAACTATGAGGTGCGTTCTAAAAACTGTCTGTAAATGTCATAAATATTCAACGTTTAAATTCATGTTTTCCCCTTTATTTTTAAATTTTGATATTGATATAGAAATTAAATCAGAATATTTTAAACATATCCTTGTAAAATATTGAAAATGGAATAAAAGAAGTATTTTTTTTACATTTAAATTTGATTTTTCGAACTCACCTTAAAAGTTAGCAACAAGAAAGCGTCAATATGGCGGACACCTTACTAGTCCGCGCATTAAAAGGGAAACCAAAAACGTTGAATTTGTGTAATAAGAAACTTGACAAGGTTCCAAGGGCCATTGGAAAATTAGATTGTGTTGTACACTTGCAGTTGAGAGGGAATAAATTGAAGGATTTACCTATAGAACTCAGCCATTTATTTCAGGTTAATATCCCCAAAAATCCTTTTTAAATTTTGTACACAAAAATCTTCAATCACAGTTTATGTTTCTTATTTGAGTGTGAGACAACTTTGCCCGAAGACAACTTGGACTGTCCACAAAAGGACATCTCAGACTGCCTATAAGTCAACTCGGACCATCTATAGTGCTGTCAACGTATATTTGTTCCGCCTAACAGAAGTTCCACTGGAAACTTTGTTATAAACAATGTCATGATATCTGTTCCTGTTGGTCAAATATTCTATACCATTTATTCCGTTAGGAACATTTACTGTAATATTTATTCCAGTGGAAATAATATTCCAGAATATTGTTTCCATTTGGAACTTATATTATGAAGGAACTTCTATTCCGTGACAGTGCCAACAAAGTTTAAAAGGAGAGATTTTACTTTATAAATAATTTAATTAGTATATCTTCAACAAGAAAGACTATGTCTGAAGATAAGTCAGACTGTCTACCAAGAAAGAGACAACTAAAACCATCTACATGTAGCACAGAAATGCAAAGAATAAAGGGAGAGTATTAACACTGTTTTTGACTATTGGACCATTCATTGAATTCAATTCAATTATTATGGCTTAAATGATTAAAAAAAATGAGGAATAATCATCAATTTACTTTCAGAATATTATAAATAATGAAACACTTAACAGAAATATAAAGATAAACTAAGCAAAATATCCAAGATTACTCAGTTGGATGCTTGATTAATGTAAATTGAATAATACCTGTGTTTCCGTTACATGCTGAAAAAAACCCTTTTCGAATTCTGATATACATGTATTATGTATAAAAAATAATATGAATCGAAATATGATAACAGACATGTATATATATATATATGCGACGAAAAGTTGGTGTATACAACTTGACTTAAGTGCGTATCCGTGTGTTTGTGTTGTGTTGTTGGGTGTATGAGATTCGAGTCGTGCCTTTCACTCGTACACGGACGACAAATGCCAATGATACACTTTTACAGGGTTACCCTAGAAATCTACTGGTAGTGTGATTAAGGGAATCCTGGTCACATAAATAAATAAATGGATCCTGGTGTAGTCTGAATGAAGTCTTGTAAGTGAACATAAACACGAAGTCGAATAAAAGTTCAATACTGTATTAACAAAATTACATGACTATAACAAAGTTACAAGTATAACAAAATGTACATCTAACTTCAGGCTCAACAATACAGTTCTCCTCTCTACTATAAACGTAACTGTCCTCTCCTCACTATAAATTCTCTCTCCTCCCGTATCTCATGCTCTTTCTTTCTTTTATATCACTCTTACAAGCCCGGATACAAATATAGACTACTAGGACAACCGGGCTCCGTGTATTCCGTGATCCGGGTGCTCCGGTTATCTGGGCTCCTAGTGTTCCGTGCTCCTTACATAAATTTACTAGGGCACCATATGCAAATCATTAGGGCTCACTAGTCAAACAAAGAAATCTAAATACAACTCTTAATTAATATCTCTGATGATCTCTAACTATATTAAATGGCTATTTGTGAAAATACAAATGTATGTAAACCTGATACAATTACGTAACACACTTGCCAATGACCTAACATATAAAAAATGTTACCCAACATATAAAAATGTAACCCAACATATAAAAATGTAACACATATATACAAAAATATATGTCTTTTGGGATTGTTAACAAAAAAAATACCATGAATGATGATATTCAAATTCAACAGTTTTCTTCTCCGGAACCCCAGAGAAACATAGCAAAGAGTCAGTGTTTTTTTTTTTAAATTGTAAATTCAAAACCTTATCAGTGTAAACTTTGGGATCAAAATAGGGAAATTAAGATGCTATTTATTATCTCCCCTGAAGCTGGTACATGTATGTAAATATGCCCTTAATATTAATCCTAGTATTATGTTTTAGGTACTGAGTTACTAATTTGTAATAACATTTATACCAGTACAATGCAAATAGATGATACACATTTCCTTAAATAAAAACTTTATATTAAGATAAGGAAACAGGGGTTTTACAAAGACCAATCTTGAGTTGTTTTTAATGAATGAGCTATAACGGTTGACCCGAAGTCAGTAGTCATTGAACAATCTTGGACGTATATGTATTGTGATAAGACCTGTTCTTTCTTATTTTTATAAGGCCACTTGTCATAACAACAAATCTTTTTTTATAGTTACAGATATTGAACTGTGGAAACAATGAACTTGAAGATTTACCAGAAGTTTTAGAGTATCTCACTATGTTGGAGAAATTACATTTGTTTAACAATAACATAAAGAATCTTAACCCAAAAGTCTTAAGTATGTCATATAAAAATAAGAAAATGTGGCATGTCTATCTTTTTGAAATGTGATTATCAGTTTATATGCAAGTTACATGTAGTGATTTTTAAGTATTAACAACACTGTAATTGAAGAGTTGCCACTGTATATGTTTTGTAAATAAGGGGTAAGATTGTTGCAAATGCAGTTTTACAGGATACACCAAGCAGAGTATAAATCAATAAAATAACAGCACAACTACAAAAATAACCAAAAAGATATCAAGAGGGCAATATACACACAGTCTTCAGCGAGACAGGTGTCTGTATAATATGTCAAGCTCTAAATCGTCCAGAGTCTTTAAAAGCTAAGAAGAAATTAATCAGAAACAACAAAAGATCTGCAATCATCACCAAACTCTCCAAATGACAAAAAAAAAATTACTGTGGATTCAGTTATTTTCTTTACTACCAATTGTCGTGGATTAGGGAAAAAAATATACTGGATGCTTGAATTTTTGGTTTTACAAAAGTTTGCACACAAGCTGATATGAAATTGCTACTCCGTTGAACACATAAATTCATGGTTCACTAGGCCTATCCCCATGAAATCCAAGAAAATTGGTTCTCCATGATTGATAACATATCCACAGTAAGATAAGTTTTGATCCATTCTGTAGAAAAAATGTTAGACAGGTCATCAATATTTGGTATGTGGGTTCATCATAAGGAGTATTTGTCTGTCTGACATATTTCACATGGAATTGACATCATTTACATTATCCAGTAGTCAGGTTTAGTTGTAAGGATAAGGTCTGTTCCTCAGTAACCAAACATGGTTGAGCTCTAACAAACATGTTTAACCCCGCCACATTCTTAATTTGTCTAAGTCAGGAGCCATTAATTTTTGTGCTTGTTGTTGGTTGTTGTTTGTCATATTTGGTTTCCAAATTATTGTTTTGTCATAAGTCAGATTGTTTTACATTTTGTCATAACCATGATAACTGGACTTTTATAGCTGTTATATGGTAGGGGATTTTGGAATGTTAGTTTTTATACAGATACATATGTATATTGAATAGAGTAAATTATGATAATACATAAACTGAATAAATAATACTTAACTGTTATAGATGTGATAGATTGTTTTTTCACTTTCAGCACATCTGAGAAACTTGACATTCTTGAATATCAATAATAACCAACTCAAGACTTTTCCACCAGAAATATGCAGGTAGGTAAAAAAAAGTTAAATCAAATTACATTTTAAAGGAAGAGGTACACTATAACATTAAGGGTCCTTTTGGTCTGAAGATTTTAAAGTCTGTTGCATTGCGAAATCTTGTATAAAATTGAGAATGGAAATGGGGAATGTGTCAAAGAGACAATAACCCGACCATAGAGCAGACAACAGCCGAAGGCCACCAATGGGTCTTCAATGCAGCGAGAAACTCCCGCACCCGGAGGCGTCCTTCAGCTGGCCCCTAAACAAATATGTATACTAGTTCAGTGATAATGGACGTCATACTAAACTCCAAATTATACACAAGAAACTAAAATTAAAAATGATACAAGACTAACGAAGGCTAGAGGCTCCTGACTTGGGACAGGTGCAAAAATAAATTTTTCATAAATCAGTTGCTTATAGTACTTGCAAGGATTAAGCTTTAAGGTTTTTCAAATACTATGCATATTTACAAAGATTTTAAGATCACAAGATGAAATAAATTTTTTTATTATACTTTATACTGTACTATAGTAGACACTAATGAAAATAATTAGATATTACTGTATGTTTTTTATTCCTTATCCTACGGACCTCGAGGAAAATAACCTTTCTTTGATTTAATAATTATGGATATTAACTTTTCATAAAGGCCATAATTGTGTATTGTTATATAAAAAGCAATGAAACTGCAGAGATTTGACACATATTTTGGAGTGGAAAATATTGAATGATTGTAAAACCAAATAAAATTTTCAAGAGAGATGTTCATATAGATGGACATGGTACATGTAGTAAATTATTTAGTTGATATTTTGTATGAACTCTGTATTTACATGTCCAAAACCATACAAGAATCGATTAAAATCTATGTATTTTCAAAAAAATTCTTAGAAGTTTTTATTCCATGATGGCATAACTACATGTATTGTATTTATTTATTGACAGTTTTATTTAGCTTCATATGCTTATTAATGATTAAAGAATCATTTGAACTAAAAGATGGTGTTGCCATAGAAACAAATTCATGCTCAATATATTATGGGTCAGCATTTACATTGTGTATTTGCAGTTTGTTTGCCATGTAAATGCACTTTCAGCTGATCAGGGAACATGTGTAATTTAGTTGTCCGCATGGAAACTGAAATATGTCAAAATTTTAATTTAGATTTTAATAAGCCTGGGATGTATTAAAATTCTATAGTAAAAAGAAATTGATAAATATTTGGGAGGACATGTTTGCATTTGATGGTGCATGGGGTATGTTTCATTTTTGTGATCTATGTAATTACATGTGAAAAAGACTTAAAATTCCCGCAATGTAACGTTTATTATATTTGTTGATACTCAATATACTGTACAAGCTTGATTGATTCTGCCTTTTTTAGATTGTCCAGTTTACAGCATTTAAGTTGTACTAACAATCAATTGACAGAGTTACCAGTTGAAATGTGTGCTTTAATCAGACTAGAAGAATTCCATGTAGCTGGGAACCAGTTAACAAGCCTCCCATTAGAGTTTGGATTTCTTGTGAATTTAGAAAAGTTATATCTACAGAAGAACAAAATAAGAGAACTACCTGAGGTATTGGTTTCTAGAATATGAAAACATTTTTGGTAAAAAAGAAATGAAATTTTGTTTTAAATTTTACTTAAGATAAGAAATTCAACAAAAATGTATCCAGATATAGTATATGATAAATATTTTTAAGGAAATAGGCACATAAGCCTTGTACCAAAATCTGGGAGTTGCTCTAAAAGTATCATACAAATACAAGAATTAATTTATATATACATGTAAATGGAGCTGATTGTTTATTTTCTGACCTTTTAACTTGCCTAGTATATATATGTTGCCTTCATACTTAAAGATTTCAAAATGTACTGCATGCAATAACTTGAGTAGCCAATGTCAACAGTAACAGATCATCATAGAATTTTATTTGTACTGATAATTACTGTTCCAACATAATATATGAGTTACGGTTTTAGAAAGAAGCTTGAGTTAAAAATATAGTGTGAAAGGGAGTTCTTGTTTTCTCAATGTGGAAAAATTACAATTTCCAAGAAAAGCAAATTCTTAAGAGTGAAGTTACTTTTTAAATGGCTTTTTTACATTAAGTTTCGACTCGTTTGATTTATTTACAATTCTGCATAATGATAGATGTAAAACATATTTTTGTATTTTTTATAGAGTTTGGGGAAATGCTACAAGTTAAGAACATTAGACATTGCAGCAAATGAATTGAGAATTTTTCCTACAGAGGTAACCATTAAACAGAAAAATTGTTCCCATGTTACTGTGCATTTGTTTATTTTAGCGGGTACCAAAAACTACCAATTTTTGTAGATTGAGGGAAAACTAATTTTATGGATATTTGATTTCATAGTTTTGCCAAAACCTCCATACAAGCATATACAAAATTTGCAGTTTGTTGAACATTAAATTTTGGGTTTACATATACCTACCAAATCCACGAAAATTTGTATCCCATGAATAATAATGAATCCACAGTAATAGCTATAGTGAGTAATGTATATAACATACATACAATTATAATAATGTGGGTACAAATTACTTAGATTGAATATTAACACTTGATATAAGTAGTGCTTTTTCTAAATTGATTTTATTGCAGGTTTGTCTATATATCTTTTGTAATTTCACTCATCAATATAGAGGCGGATGGTTAGATAATCATAAACAAGACCAACCCTGCCACATGTTTACAGTAAAAACTTCAAAATGCTCTAATTTATAGTGAATAGGAGTAAATGTTGTTTAGTATTACTCATAGAGGTCTCTTGATTTGAGTTCAATAATATATTGACTTATCTGTGTTTTAAGTTAACATAAGTTAAATATATCTTTTACAGTTAGCATCATTACCTTTAAAAGAATTATTTTGTGAAGCCAACCCATTGTTACAGCACATTCCAGTCCACTCTGTACAGGAAGAAGAAGTTCTGTCACTAAAGGTAGATAATCCACTTGTTGTAACATCGGTTTCATATGTATTTATAAGTCACTGTTTGTAATGTGGATGAATATTAATGGTATCTGGTAATCTGATATACAGTGAAAGTCATTTTACAACATGTACACTTCAAAGAATTTTAAGGCAATTGAGATACTTAATTGTCTTAGATAGTTGTCTCATTGGCAATCATACCTCATCTCCTTATTTTATATTGGTAGTTTCATGGTAACATGCCCTCCTCTAGTTCAAAAGGCTACAGGGTCAATACCATATTGCATCTATCCAAGACTTTAAAAAACTTGATATTTGCTGCAACCGTGGATTGGCTCAGTGTCAGAAAAATGTCCAAGCAGAATGAAATGTCCTCTTGCAGTCTGTTACTGTGCGAGTTAGAACTTTAAAAATATGGCATCTTTTTACCATATAACATTAACATCTTATTGCCCTGAATATACATGGTACAGTTGTCACTGGAAATTAAGCATCTATCATAGTGTTAGCTGGAATACTCTAAATATATGCTTAAAGTTCATCAATAAACCGCCTTGTAACCTTAATAGTCAGTCTGAATATTTTTTAAAATGCAAGAATTCATAATTGACTAATTAGTAATTTAGTTAAATTTAAGGTTTTTTTTTTACATTTTGTTTGTTTTGAAAATTGCAAATTTAAAGTTGATAAAAATCATTACTCATAGAATTAACTTCCAGTCAATAAGTACATAATCAGATATGTTGTATTTACTATGTTTTCAGGAAATGACAGCAAGATATGTGATGAAAGAACTTAAAGACAGGTAATAGGACAGAACAGGAACAATTATCACTTAATAACTTATTTGGTCTAAGACATCTGGGCATTTTATACTGTAAATAATTTTTCTCTATAGAACCTATAGAGCCAAGGGTTTAGTCAATAACTTCCTCTTAAACAAACTTAGGTCAAATATATATGGCAAATGTCCTGTTATATTTAGAATTGTACAGTTAAATTTTTTAATCAGGGAAAACAGAAAAAAATATCATATGCATTAGAAAACTGTTTGGTTCAACAAAGGCTGTTTCAGTAAAAACCAGGGATAACTATTTCTAGTTATTCTATTGATAAAAAATAGCTGTTAATGATTAAATTTTGGAAATAAATACATTTAGAAAATTATAATTAGAACTTATGTATATAAATAGATTGACTAGGAGACTGAAACACCACAAAGTATCAAAAGTAGTATTAACTTTCTTGATATCTGCATGTGCTTCTTGTTTAAAAATTTTAACCTTGCACCTTATCTATAATAATAACCAGTAAGGATTGGTTTAATGTAGATATGACAATATTCACTTTAACTTTGAATTTTAGTATGAATATTCATTGAACTTTTAAATTCTTTTTTTCTTAAGAACTAGTATGATATCCAGGTAATTTTTCTAGAAGAAAATAAAGAATTGTAAATGTTGTATGATTTTGTCATCACTATTTTTATAGAAATTTTCTTTAGTAGATGTTGTGACCTAATCATATATATTTTAAAGATAATTCTATCTATATTTGAGAGATCATTGTAAATTAATTTACAGACAATTTACCTTAACACATTTCCATCATGAAAGATTTCTGTTATGAAAGTTGCAGAAATCAAGACTTTGTAAGGTATTACTTCTCCAGCAGCAGATGTGACATCAATTTTGACTCAGCTGGGAGGAATTCTCTCAGAAGCCATATAATGTTTTTGTGTTTACTATGAAAGTTTATGAGTAGGTCTATTGAATGGTTAAAGCAGTATAAGTCAGTTATGGTATGTAGTTGCCTCAGCACATCCCATTTCCATGGAGATTATCTAGCCACAATTTTGGAATAATTCACATGAAAGAGCATATTAGAAATTAATGTCATATTTTGACATGGAGCATATGTCCATTGTGGTATTTTTTATATTTTAAGGACCATCTGACCGTGGTATTGTAAATTATTGTTAATCTATATTTTGTATGATTTCGTAATTGAATCCAAGATGATCATGAAGCTTGAACATAATATGACTTGGTAGACTAGGCTGCCTTATTTTATGTTGTTATAGTAGAGTCAAGGTTATAGTTATTTATTGTATAGTACATTGATCCAGAATTTTTTCAAATTATAATTAAGATAGCGACAAATGGGTGTTTTTGGTAAGTTTCTATTTTTTCCTTTTTTTAAAACTATATTATTACAAGTAAAAACATTCGTAACATTAACTATGTCTTAAGGGTTTTTATCAGTGTTGATAACATGTCATAAATACAATTTTTGTGCATATCATCAACATAATGCATGTGCATATCAAGTAACTGCATGTGCATGGTCACTGGTATAAATTTACATGCTCATTCACTCAATAACATTTTGTTATCAAGACAATTGACCTCTGTTATACTTTACAGAAAATACTTTTAATTCATTATTCAATTTGTTTTTCAGATGGTCCTATTTACGGAAAGCTATTCGACATTACCCCCAAATAAAAGATATGTTGGCCCAGGCCAGTAAATGTGCGGTTTGTGGCGAATCATTCCTTAATACTTGGTTAGAATGTGTCAGATTTGTGGATGCTCAAGGGGTAAGATTTGGTTGTCCAATCAAAAGCCTGCATTATTTTGTGAAGCCTAATGTTTATTTCTTGAATTGCTTGTATTTATTTATATATATTATGAATACATGTACCACTTTTTTAGCCCTTTATAAAGCACTAATAATTGAATGTTATTTCTGTAGGATAGTCAAAACTTTGCACATATTTCATTGTAAAAGGGAATCTTTGTCATATTTAAGTTATAAATCTTTGCTTGATCAGAACAGAAAGTAGGTGTCTGATTGATCCAAAAGTGGTCACACATTACAACTCATCACTGTCAAGAGGGTGACCAAATATGACGTTCTGATTACCTGAAAAAAATGTTACATAAAATTTAAAGTGCAATCAACATGTTAAAAAAATCATAGTATCGGCAAACAGGAATAAAGTGTCTGAAAGATCAGAAAAGTGATCACAGGTTTCAACTCATCATGGACAAATGATCAGACAAGGTGAATGCAATATAGCACCCATTCCTAGATTGAGGGTATAATATCTGAAATACAGCTTTTCTTGATATTCTTTAGGGATACTATTGCTGTTTCTTTATTATATATGTATAATTTTACAAATGTAAAAGGTATTATAATACAGGTATTTTTTTTTAATTTCAGGATCTTAAGCTGAACAATTTAAATGGACTTGTGCCTGTTAGAGCTCTTCTGTGTTCATACAAATGTTTTAATTCAGCTGGACATGACTATTATGGTGTTGCATTTCCATAACCCTGATTACATGTATTGATATGTTCCTTTTATACTGAAATACATGTATTTATTAAGCCGAACTGTGATATTTCGTTCAAATTATTTTTTGCACTGCTGACAATTTTTTATTAACATATTTAATAGTTTATTTTTTTAGTATGATTCATTATTATGCCATGTTTTTCATGATTCTTCTACTTTTTTTTTTCTTTTTTTTCTTCATATAATCCTTACAAAACAAGGGAATTTCTGTAACTGTAGCTTAAAACAAGCTTGATGACATACTTATTTTGTATTAGCATGATATAATCTACAATTTGGGTGAGTATAAAGAAATCTATTGTTTAAGCTAAGAGCCACCAGAACATCAGATAACATCCAATCAATATATCATATACTGAAATAGTACATATCATTAAGCTTTTAAGAGCCATTTGTCAGTTGCAATTTTCTCTATAGTTAAAATTTACAAAAACATACAATATTTTTTTTCGTGAAGTCATCTCCAGCACAGCGTTTATTATTAATTGATCCTGAAGCGTTATACTGTATCTAATCTGTGCTGGTCTTTATGAGACTCATGTAGTTAAAAAAAACTTTCAGACTTTGTAAAACAAATCACCAAACTTAGCATCATCATTTTATCTTCAACTTATCTTAACTCAGAAATGTAAGAGAATTACACTTTCTTTTTTTTTTTTGTTATTCATTCATACAATTTAAATTTGCTCTTACAAGAGTAAGAAATATAAAACAAACATATCAATTATTTTTGTACAGAAACACATATTCTGACTTTAGAGCAGACTGAGCATAAATAAGTTGTGAGAATTTTTCTAGTTCCTGACTTTCGGCATTTGAAACGATTTATATGTAAAGTTATCATATATATAAATAAAAATAATTTTATTTTTAATAGAACATCTTTGAATTAATTTAGTGTACATATATGCAAATTTATTCATCATATTTTTAGTAATACTTTATTACTTAAAAGGCAATTATCCAACATTCTCTTTAATTTGGTTATTGACCTTTATCTATGGTACTAGAATATAAGATAAAAAGAAAATGTGTCCATAGGACACCATGTCCCACTTGTATTATCACATTTCAGTACAATGAACTGACAAATATGGGTCAGAACCAGAAGACCACATCATAATAAACCTGTGTATTAAGGTTCATGTAGATGTGACCACAACTTCTGTTCGTGGTATACTTTCTGGACCTAAACTTTAATCTAATACAGGAAAGACAGATGCATAGACTGGAAAAAATATTGCCCCTCTACTATCATTGGCTGGGCATAAAAATATTGAGCCAGTTTTTATTGAAAACTTATTTTACAGGTATAGATACATTTGCCAGTGAGCAACAGTATACATATTGCCAATCTTGTAGTGTTGAAGGAAAAGCTATGAAGATGATTTGTGGGTTCCCTGTTAAGCTTCTGATATTCAATAAACTGTATATTGAGTAGATTTTTTTACTCTGGGAAAATGTGACAAGAAGTACATTGCAATAACTAAAAACTTGCATTTTCCTTTTTTTCTAGTAAGATTTTACTTCAATATCACATTAATGAATCTTGCATTTATGTTGAAAAAAATAACCATTCACAGGCCTTTTTTTAACATATATATTGAGATTTTTTGTATCAAATGTTTTCTTTCTATGTTGAATTGTTGTATTACAAAGATATATTGAACTGTTAATAAAAGTGATTAATTTCTATTGCATTATAAATGTTTATTTGAAATTCCAGTTAACACATGCCATCCCATGGTGTAATGAGGATGCAGGCTTCTTTTGGCAAATCCTTTGTCATGGTTTCTTGATGCATATGAAAGTTGGTACATTGTAAAATTCTGCATTATGCTTGAACTTGTTGGTAGGTTGTTCAGTTTTATTCATGTGACATTTTGAACATGTTCGGTCTAGTTTGTTGAAGAAGATTTTAAGAATAAAGATTAAATTCCAACTAAAAAATGAATTCATATAAAATAAATCCAGAAATTTCATGCACAATGATTACAATAGATTTCAGACACTGCCAATAGTACTCCAAAGAGAAAAAGTTTAGGACAAATAGCTTTCAGTTTTGGTTATGGCTGGCAAATATGACTGTGATGGACCCTTGATTATAACTATATTTTGTTGTACTGACAACTGGACAATACTATGTATAAGAGTTAATGAATTCAAGGTTCATGTAGATATGTAAAAAAACTTTTAACTTTTAATTCCATACAATGCAATATAACAATCTTACACTGATTAAGATTTTTTGGTCAAAACTTTATTAGAGGTTTCAAATAATGAAAATCTGAAATATTTTCTTCCCTACCAATATTACAATAGAGTAACCATAGGTAAAGAAAAATTCAGAAAAAAGCATGTTAGGTTAGGTTAAACGAAAAAAATAAAAGGACATGTAGCATCAATGTAGACTTACTGAATGAGTGATCATCTATTCATCAACTCTAGAAATACCAACTGGTCAATTAAAATGTCAATGAATAGACCATTCTCATATTACCTACTTTTGATTTTTCGACAGGTAGGACATTCCAATATTCTGTCAAGTAAGATCAACAAAAAGAAATAAAATCAAGCTTACAATTGGTACAATTTTGGGGGAAAATTAATTGTTATATGTTTTCTATACACAGTTCATTGTAAAACAGTTGCTTTTCCGCCTAAATTGCACTGATTGCAAGCTTGATATTATTTCTTTTAGTTCTGCTCACATTTTTTTTAAAATGATCAAAACATTATTAGTTTCTCCATTTCAAAAGCTTACACAAGATCTTGGTAAGTTATCAAGAGTAGATAAAATACAGTTGGTTTCCCAAAGCTTGGGAAATGGGGATTTTCTACATAGCACCAGGGTGATATAAGCATAGTAACAACTTTCAACAGGTCTGGCTTGTTATATGATGAAATGCATCTGTTAAGTGACATTTGATATGTAGAAGATAACATAAAGGTGAGACAAATTGAGGTTGGAGATAAATAGGGCTATGCAATCAATTAACAATGGTGATCTACAGCATATAATAACAGACCTAAAAAAGTATAACAAATATATTTAACATTTTATTTTGAAAAAAATGAAGTAGTACAATGCCCTACATGGAAGTTAACAGACAATCAAATAATAAAACAATTCAACAAATAAAAAACATTCTATGGTAACTTTAAAAAACATTTGGCAAAATATACAAAACTTGAAAATGCTGACAATCTAAAATAAACAAATATAGAGTATAAAATTAAACAAAGTATATGCTGTCACACTGGCCATCCTGCCTAAGTTCACTAGAGATTATATCAGTATAAACAATAATGCCAATACTGACTGAAAATACCTTTCAGAGTATGGTATTTCCAGCCAGAATATTCATAATTTACAATATTCTAAATTCTGGAAAATATACAATTGGGTAATTATTTTGGGGTTTTTGACTTTAAAAACTTGTTTCTATACACTTCAGTCTCAACAGCTTTACAGATTAAATGAAGAAAATACATATGAATTGACTGTCATTAAGTTTTCATCTTGTCTGTTCCTTGCATTCAGGTATACACATTACTTTATGGAAATTGTTTCATACACTGTTTTTCCAAAAAATAGCTTTTTCTCAAAATGCTTGTTATTTGAGCTTCATAAAATGGAACTGATGGAAGTAAAGTGTATGCTAGTGTAACTTGTTCCACTGAAGATTACTAATTGTGATACAAAAATGTATAAATTGTACACAGCTAACCCTTGAATTAATAATAATTCAAACAAGTTTGATTATAAGATGTATATACCTTTTATACAAATTTCTAGCCTGGAATCCTTGCCCTATGTCTACTTAACATAAGCAGAATATAGTTTAAATAATTGGATCAACTTTCAATACTTATCAGGTCTGAAGTTAGTGCACATGTTCAAATTATATAATAAACTGTTAACACAGAGATATGTCTTGCCTTTTTGTACTTTTGATAATGCAAATGTTGAAATTAAAATAGCAATACTTTAACATGTAAGTTATACAAATATTCAAAGTCAATGAACCATGACTGAAGGTACATGGCAAAACAATCTCCATGGAAATGAGGTGTGCCAATGCTAATACAACTGCATACTAAATACCATAGACTTATCATAAGTCGTTCCCTTTCAACAAACCTAAACACAAACATTGACTTGTAAACTATGTAAAAGTTTCAAAGTCAATGAACCATGATGAGGGGGTGGGGGCTATAAAATCTCCATGGAAACGAGACTTGCCAATGCCAATACATTTGCATACCAAATATCATTGACTTAACATTAGCGGTTCATCTTAAACTGATCTAATCACAAACTAATACATGTAAACTAAGCAAAAGTTTCAAAGTCAATAGACCATGACTGAGGGGGTGAGACCAAATATTCTCCATGGAAATGAGATGTGCTAATGCTTATACAACTGCATACCAATTATCATTGACCTACCACTAACGGTTCCCCTTGAACTGACCTAATCACAAACTAATACATGAAAACAAAGCAAAAGTTTCAAAGTCAATAGACCATGAATGAGGGGGCGGGGCCAAATAATCTTCATGGAAATGAGATGTGCCAATGCTTATACAACTGCATACCAAATGTCATTGACCTACCACTAGTGGTTCCCCATAAACTGACCTATTCACAGCCTAATACATGTAAACGAAGCAAAGTTTCAAAGTCAATAGACCTTGACTGAGGGGGCGGGGCCAAATAATCACCATGGTAATGAGATGTGCCAATGCTAATACAACTGCATACCAAATATCATTGACCTACCAATAGTGGTTCACCATGAATTAGAACTAATCACAAACTAAGACCTTGTTGACGCCGCCGCCGCCACCGATGCTGGATACAGCATACCTATATCTCGCTTTTTGACGCTGTCAAGGCGAGACAAAAAATGAATTTTAAAACAGTTGATTCACATTGAAAATATAATTATCAAAAAGGTTTGGTTACTCTAACTACAATTTTAACTTATACATTAAGTGTTTGTGGCAAGCCATATATAACCTGCTAGTATATGGCAACAATTTATGCTATTCCACACTGCATTTTCATGAAGTCCAATAAACATTTAACATTTCAGTGCATTCTGACAATATCAGACATGCTTTCCAGTCTTATTTTCTGGGATAATTTTGAATAAATGAACATTTAGAATATCACTGATTGATCTTTGCCCTATTTTTCTTCTGATTAAGAAAATAGATCTTTGCCTTATTTTTCTTCTGATAAAGAAAATAGATCTTTGCCCTATTTTTCTTCTGATTAAGAAAATAGATCTTTGCCCTATTTTTCTTCTGACTAAGAAAATAGATCTTTGCCCTATTTTTCTTCTGATTAAGAGAATAGATAAGTTTAAACAAATTGTATCCTTTCATCTGGACTATTTTCACTAACCATGTATGACTTGATCAGTTTCAAGATTTGTGACAGGATTCCTTGTTCATGGACACTCACTAATTGCCTTAATTGGCCAAAGCTGTAAAAAAGGTTAAAAACTGAAACACTTTTTTCCTGATGGCTTATTCACTTTTGGAAGCCCTGATTACAGACTGCGCAAATTTATTGCACACACTCTTAATATCTGACCATTTATAAAGTGTTCTTCGTGTGTTTTAACAGTATAAATTAAATTCAATAGACACATGCATTTTTTTCTACACTCTTAAATAACAGGTACAAAATACAAATACATATTTGAACAAAATCAACCAAAACAAATATTTCTGTACTATGGTATGGGAAAAGTATCATCAGTATGTATCTTTTCTACATAGTTAAAATGACTGGTACAAAAATACAAATTTATATTCAAACAAAATCACTGCAACTAATCATTTATGATATATCACTAGTCCAGTTCCATGGTATGGTCATTTCCCCATCATGCATCAAGGCATAGTAATGAGCTATATTTAACTTAGAATTGTTTAGTCCTGACTGTAGAAAGATTTTATCATCCAGTAATCTCTCACAACAATGAATCATTTTATGAGGTGATACATTTTCTTCTTTCTTCAGTGATAACAGCTGAAACTCTTCTTTACAAAGTTTTTTAATCATCTTTTCCATTCCACCTTGTCTGAAAATAAAAATCACTTGAAAAATTGGAAAGATGTATTTCTAGCTAACACACAATCCTAAAACAAATAGAAAATAAAAGAAGGATGTGTCCATGGGACACAGATGCCTCCACTTGGAAATATGCAATAGTCAATGTACTAATTCAAACCTATTTACATTTTGTTTTCTTTGAAACTTATTGAAAGGAGTAGGCCCAGTAAGAACCCTTTTTGGCCCCAAAATTAAGCATTTTTACCAAAATGTTAAAATGTAAACTTTTAGCTATTTATTGGAAAGTAGAATACATCTGTTCCATAAATAAGGGCTGTTTTTGACAATACAATACACATGCAGCAGGTAATAGCATCATAAATTCATGCAATATTACTGAAATCTTCACAATTTTAGCATTTGTGCTAATTTTAAGACAGTTTTTGTCTAAAATGGAAGTGGCCAAATTTGTGTTCAGTCTTAAAATTTAAATATATGTTGTATTTGATGATAATACATAACATATATAAAGGTTGAGACTGAACACGAATGCGGCCACTTCCATTTTAGACAAAAACCATCTGAAAAATGTCGTTTTATGGCATATTTGATAGATTTTTCATTTTTAAGCTAGCATTTGAGCATCTTTAATGACCAAATCATTTTAAATCTTTCACATAAACAAATTGAATCGACTGAAATGGACACTTAAGTGTTTAAAAAATGTCAAAAATCTTTCATTAGATGTACTTCGAATATTAGGCCAAAACTAGCCCTTACCGGACCTTCTCCTTTGTTTCTGTGTTGTCAGTTGATGCAAGGTAAATTAAGAAGGCAGAAAACGGCAAATTCATCATTTTTTTCATTTATAAAGGGGCATAACTCAAGAATAGTGAAAGTGATGCCACCCAATTTCAAACTTGATCTGTGTTTGGTGGTAATAAGCATTGTGTATAAGTTTCATAACATTTTGTTCAGGCAAACTAAAATAAAATAATTTTGAAACATAGGTACAGACAGCGAGGGCATAAAAAAAGTCAATTAGAAAAGACTTTTTTTCTTGTATTTCATCTTTACTACCAATCTTTGACTGAATCAGATTTTTAATACATGTGAACCACATATGACATGTGCAGCTAACACCCCAGTAGGAGAGCCATATATGTTAGGAAAATCATATGGCATACAAAAATATATATTTGCTGTTTTTAAGTGCCTGTTCCAATTTTCGTGGATTGCAGAAAAATTGTATGATCGTGGATATTGATTTCGTTGTTGTGCTAAAGTCTGCAAAGCCTATAGAAAATTTCTACTTCATCAAACATTGAAATTCCTGGTTCACCTATACTCACAAAATCAAGAAAATTGGTATCCCACGAATAATAACGAATCCACAGTATATGAAAGGTTTTTGCTCATCGTTGAAGGCTGTATATTGACCTGTAGTTGTTCGCATTCTAGTCCTTTGGTCTCTGGTAGATAGTTGTCTCATTGGCAATCATACCAGATCTCCTTTCCTTTTTTTTTTCTTCATAAAATGCTAATATAAAAAAAACTTTATATAAATATTTATTAAGTGACTTACAATGCCATATCCTGTAGTATCATATAGGCCTTTTCTTTGTTTTCAGCTATGAATTTAACCAACACTATACCAGGTATAGAGGAAGGTGTTACAAACTTTCCAGTAGATGATAATGTCATTGGTGCTGAACCTCTGTCAAATACAATATTTTATCATAAATCTCAATATCAATATGCAATATGCCAATATCAATTAAATTTATTTTAAGATGCTGTCTTCATTTAAGAGCTATATAACCTACCAAAAGCTGTATTTTTTATAATTCAGCAGTTATTTGGATAAAAATACAGATATCTTATACATATAAAACTAACTCATGCACCCTTAAGGGCAAACAATAAAATAACAAGGATATGTGGTATGATTGCCAATTACAGTGGAGGTTATGATATTATGATTTTTTTCGCGGCATCAATATGCGATATATTGGGAAAAGAAGTATTTTTCTATTTAATTTAATCATTGGCTCGAAAACAAGTTCATGGACCCCTCTCTTTTAAAATGACATTTGGCCTGATTATGTACATGTATGAAGATTATTTGTACAATATTTTATGAACAATTCACAGATGAGTTTTTTTAATATTTGATAGATATACAGCAAAAAATGTAGTTTTTTTCTAAAACCATGAAAACTTAATAAATATGGATAATTTCCAAAGAATAGGTACACAGAACAAGAGGAAATTTATGAAAAAAAGATATTCCAAATGTTTAAAAAAAAACTTCATGTGTTTACCTTTTGAAACAAAAAAAATAAGTATGTCAACTTTTTGAACTCTCTATCCACGATCCAAAATTGCTTGTTTGCAAATTTTTGGCAAAAAAGAGAAATTTGCAAATAAGCAATTTTTCACCTAGTCAATTCAAATATGTTATAAAAAGAATAACTTCATAAAAATTTTGCTACTTTTAGAGAATCAAAACTGCATCGTATGCCCTTAAGGGGCACTTTCAAAAAAATTTAAAAAACACTTTTCAGTTTGTTTACTTCATGGATAGAGAGTTCAAAAAGTTGACATAATAAATAAATCTGCTTTACTTACTCTTCTACAACAAGTTCTAAGTGAGATAAATCTTCTCCATGGAAATATCTATCAACATCTCTCTGACAATTACGTAAACAATTAAGAATTTTATTGAGAATCAGTTCATATTCTGTTGCCATCATAATCTGTTTCTTCTTTCTACGATCAATTTTAATATTTCCTAAAAGTTCTGATAATCTTTTTTCCATGTAAGGTAATCTTTCTAGAACAGCATCATAAGCTGGGACATAGGACAAGAACTGAAAACAAATTTTTTTTTGGTTATTTTTCAAATTAATCTTCCAGTAGTCAATGTTAGGTTCTCACTAAGACAAGTCCATGAGATAGCTGTACTCATGAAATAAGACTGGACTCATCATATTCTAAACAGATGAATTTTAAGGTATGCATCCAGATTCTCAGTTGAACTTGAAGCTTAACCATGATCATTAAAGTGTGAAATCAAGGTCAAATGACTCATATCGTCAATTTGACCTGTTTTTTTGAAAGGTTATGAATTTTATGGTGAAAGTACATTGTAGTATCAGATATGCTTCATTTCAAGTTGCCTTATACCTGAAAAAGACAATTTACCATATTCAATGAATCATGCTTATATACAAAGTCATCCCTTCTCTGAACCAATGTTTCATATTTTACATCTGATATGAAATTTACCTCAGCTTAAAACTGAAACTTGCAAACTGGCTTACAAACATCAATACTTGATTTTATAATAAATAACTAACATACAAAATGAAATGAACATTTGACAATAATAAAAGATACAAAACTCACTGTCATCCAATCTGTATCACAATCAGCACTGCTTAGTACAACTTCTCCATATAAACTTACACCAGGTTTGTTACCAAATACCAAACTTCTACCTATAAAACATGTAAAACTAGTACTGTAAATTCAGAAATTATTGCGTGCATTTATTATTGCGATTTTGTCATTTTAGACTAAAATGCGATTTTAATTTTTGCGATATTGAGAAAAATCCTGTTTAATTCATATACAAAATTTCATAATGCGAGTTTAAATTATTGCGATTATAACCAGATCGCATTTTTCGCAATAATAAAAACATCGCAATAATTTCTGAATTTACAGTACACATTTTCATTTAGGGGCCAGATGAGGCCAACCTCAGGGTGTGGGATTTTCTCGCTGTGTTGAAGACCCATTGGTGGCCTTCGGCTGTTATCTGCTCTTTGGTCAGTTGTTGTCTCTTTGACATATTCCCCATTTCCATTCTCAATTTTAGTATTACTTAATTCAATTTCTCTATCTATCCAACAGCAGAATTATTTTTCTAATACTAATCCTTTCACTACAAAACATGTAGCAATTCTCAATACAATTTCGCTATATAAAACAACACCAGATATTTTATTCCAATACCAAACTTCTCCCCACAAAACGTAATAGTAAAATTTCTTCATACTAACTAACACCTGATCTATTATTCAAACTTATCTATGTGAACTAACACCATGGTTGTTACTAAAAATTTAATTTCTTAACTGCAAAATATGTAGCATTACTGAGCACAAATTCATGATATCATACAAAGTATACCCCAGTTGTGATAAGGGTTTAAGAAACTAGCAAAATGTTTATGACAAAATACTAAACTTTTCTGCATTTCTTGCAAGCTAGTGAACCATTCATATTTACTACCTACATGTATGAAACATATACAGTATTTGAGCATAAACAATTAATGCATTCTAACCTTTTAATATATTCTTGACTTCTTTTGGGTGGTTATGACAGAATCTGGAAAAAGACCGAAGACATCCCATATAATGATTGATTTCCCAGTCACTGTACCAATTTATATCTTCCAATCCAACAAAATCTATCAGTTCTTCATAAAGTTCATTTATTTGTTCCTGTATATTTTGACTAGATTCCAATTTTCTTTTGGCATCTGGTCCTTTTTTCTGTAACCAAGAGCTTAAATAAAACAATCCTCCATTTTTTATTAAGATTGAAATGAAAACTAACCAAGATTTGGCGTTGATTCGTACCTGTAAATTGGCCTTAAAAAAATAATTGGTTATAAAACTATTGGTTACATTATCAAACTGCTAAATGTAGGCATTTATTAAAATGAAAAAAAAGGTTAGCTTTAATAATGCAATTTGATTGTGAGTCATTGAAGTGACTTCATAGCGGTGATTTATTTAATTTTAGCAAAAAATACATGTAGGCATATTTCATGAACATTTCAGCTAAATTAGTTAAGACCACAACTTACTCCAAAAGTGATTTGTCAGCAAGTAGATAAACATAAAATGCATTTCCTGAGTAAATATCTTTTTGGGTGAGGCTTGTGATCTATATTATTTCTTCATGTTCTTAGCTTGTGTGTTAAACTGCAATAATTTTAGGCAAATTCACCATTTTACTGAACTTTTCGCAACTGTTATTACCAATGACTGGCAAATATTCTAAAACTAAAACAGTGATGTTTTATAACAGTTTATAGATACAACATTCAATTATGCAAATTTGAGAAATTTCCAATACAATTCATGTTAGGGCCAATTTGAACCCAAATTAGACCTTGTCACATTACGGAGTGGAGTATGATATAAAACTGACTAATGAAGAGACAAAGTAGTTAGTACAACAGTGTGCAAGGAGAAATTAGCTTTGAGATAAATAAGCAAATCAATATTATGTACCTCTACCAAAGTTTGACCTTTGTCATGCTTTCATACCAAATGTTGGTTTAGACCACTGAAATAATCTTGACCTTTCAAGTCTGACCTTATCAAGTGTGGTTATCTCTGAAGCAGGTCTGAACAGAATTAAATGATAAGCAATGTGGAAAGATTTCTACTTACATCAAAGTACCAGTATGTAGTTTACTAGTTGCCTGGTAATACTCGTCATGTGGGTTTTGTTTACCAGTGAAATGGTAATAGGATGAATCCCATCTAATTTGTGAGGTAGCTGGTCCCCGAGGTATGGTATCCAGGTAATCTAATGGAAGAGCTACAGACTTCAGTACTGTTGTCACAGTGGATCTGACATCCCCTGACAGTAACTTCATATTCACATACTTGTATTTGTCTATTAATATTTTAAAAATCCCTGTATTATATTAAAAATATAGTAACATAGTCAAATAAGAGTATGATTTTTAAGTGGCTAATACAATATCAAATTTCGAGTTTGCCAGTAACAAATATAAGTACTGTAAATTCAGAAATAATTGTGAGGTTTTTATTAATGTGAATAATGCACCTGAATGAGTATCGCAATACAGTAGACTCCACCTAATCGGATATCGGCTAAACGAATATATCGGCTATTGTAATATTATTTCAAAACACCAAACCCTTCCCTATACGTTGAATGTTATTTTATATCGTATAATCGAATATCGGATAAAAGAATATATCGGCAAAAAGGATAAGAATATTCAGGAAATTTTGTTCAAAACCATGCACAATCGGATATTTTCAATGTTTTTCTGACAGGAAATGGACCCGGAAGTTACGCAATTACAATCTTGCAGACAAGAAAATTTTGTTTTAAATTAATAAAAGGAACTATTTCTTGTTGTTATTTTCTATTGTTGTAGTAAGAACTCACAGTATTTTATCTGATACATATAACTGTATGCAGAATTTCATGAAATCACAATAATTAACCTATAATTAATTTTAGTCTATTCTACAAAATTCGCAATAATAAATGCATGCCATAATTTCTGAATTTACAGCAATCTTATCCACAATGAAGTAACTGTAATTTGTATAAAGGGTTGGTAATGAAAATTTCACTAATGTGCTGATACGGAACTACATGAGAGATTACACTTTGAAATTATATTCATTCTGATTATTTGAATATTTATTATGATGTAAATTTTAATTTGATAGTACCTTTCTCTTGTTTTCCTCTTACATAAAAGTTTATATCAGTTGGCTTTGCTTGGCCTGTTTTATGAAGGTCCGTTATATACTCATGTAACTTCTTTAAGGATTCTTCATTTACTTTCTATAATATAAAAAAGTTTAAGTAATATTTATGGTTTAGTGCCTCTTTTTCAGGCTTCAACAATTAAATTTTTGGTTGGCAGTTACTAGTTAATAGGGCAACAGATAAGTAACTTTTGTTAGTCAGTTGTCAGATGAGAAATGTTAAATCAAAAGTGTGGAGGTGCTCGAAAAGTCATTTGCCATATACTAAGCAATATGCATGTGTGCAAGTGTTTTTCAACCCTTTTTTGAACTAGTACAAGATTAGATCTTTAATCTCAAAATAATTTCATAACAAATATTAGTGGTAAAACAATTATCAGTTACGTTAAAACACTTTATCCAGTATGCAATATAAAATACAATGATTTAGTGCCACTTCATAGTCTTACATCAGATTTCATTTATAATTCATATTCATATTGAAATTTTAAGACTTTATTTATTGTCTGAGACTCAAGTAACATGGTCAATTCCTAAGGTATTGCAAGTTAGTGCCATCAAAATCATTTTACTTATTTTTGATCAGTTGCATTCCACAAATCATTATTTTATACCATAATAAAATGCTCCGCTGGGGCGCAGCTTGATACGACCGCAGAGGTCGAACCCTGAACAGTTGGGGCAAGTATGGACACATCATTCAAGCTTGATACAGCACTGAATTTGGATTGTAATTAAATATTTGACACAGCATAGGTTTCTGACACAGAATAAATGTGGTCTAAGAACTTAAAAAATTTTAATTTATCTATTCAAACCATATCATTATTATTTGCTTTTATATATAAATCAGAAATAACCAATTTAAAATGGAAAATTTTAAAGAAAAAAAGGAAAAAAAAATCCCCCCCCAAACATTTTTTGAACCCCCTTATGATTCATCACCCCCAAACTCAATCCCAGCCTTCCCTTTGTGGTATGGTACCTTGCAGTACACATACATGTGATGGACTGTGAAACTAAGATCAGGAGTTTTGGAGATTAGGACTCAGATCAGGATGTTTTTAATCGACATAAATTCTGTCGTAAATGTAACCGTGTGCTGTAAAAATTGTCTGTTAAAGTGTGTTTTCTTCAACTTTCCATCGGAATGTATTATGTTTATAGTACCTTTGTACTTATAAATTTTCTCTATCTTTTTAAACTTTCAACTTGTTCAATCTAACATTATTCTTTTTCAGTATGTTCTTTAAATTTTTTAGGTCATATCTTTTTTACCATTATTCATTGCAATCAGAACATTTGCTTATCTATCTGCAAGCAGATCTTTTATTGTTATCTTTAGATATTTTTTTTTATCATTATATGCCAGTAGATTTTTAATGCATGATAAGTAACACATTCAAACTGAAATTATGGGTCATAGTTATTATATAAATTTCAATTTAAGCCTTGAAAGGAAGTATAGAACCCTCAAATAATTTTCAAATTATTATTTTTTTATTTGTCCTAAAACATTTAAAATCATTTAATTACCATCCTTTTATGATTATTTGTTCAATTTATATTTTATTTATATTCTTTTAAAAATTTACATTATTTAAAGGAAAGTAACTTAATACAGGATAAATCAAGGGAAGTAACCCAACATTCATTTTAAATAAACAAAGTTTTATTACACAACGGCAGTTAGCCTGAGGTAAAAATCGTTTATTACCAGTATGTTTGACACCCAAGGTGACAAGTGAGGCCATATAATTATGCATGTTAATTGATTTACAGGTAAAATATAACTTCAGTAATGTCAGTTACACCAGATATGTTGGGCTGAAATTTTTCATTCATGAAATATTTCATACACGGGATTTTTTTGTCTTCAACAGGAGGTCAGGAGGAGACCCCTGAAAACGGGATTATTGTACTCCCGTCGGGAGGTTCACATGTATGAACTGTACAATTTCAGAGAGATCCATACACTTGAAGACAAGTTATTGTCTGGAAACAAGAAAAATGCTTGTTTTTTGGCCCCAAATTCCTAAACATTTAGGGCAATTACCCCCAAACTCAAACCCAGCTTTCCCTTTGTGATATGGAACCTTGCAGTACAATTTCATAAAGATCCATACACTTACACACAAGTTATTGTCCTGAAACTAGAAAAATGCTTGTTTTTTTTGCCCCTCTATGGCCCCTAATTCCTCAAATTTCTAGGGAATTACCCCCAAAATCAATCCCAGCCTTCCCTTTGTGGTTTGGTACCTTGCAGTACAATTTCAGAGAGATCCATACACTTGAACACAAGTTATTGTCTGGAAACTAGAAAAATGCTTATTTTTGGACCCTTTTTGGCCCCTTATTCCTAAACGTTGTGGGCAATTATCCCCAAAATCAATTCCAGCTTTCCCTTTGTGATATGGAACCTTGTAGTACAATTTCATCAAGATCCATACACTTACACACAAGTTATTGTCAAGAAACTGGAAAAATGCTTGTTTTTTGCCCCTTTTTGGCCCCTAATTCCTAAAATTTGGAGGCAATTACCCCCAAAATCAATCCCAGCATTCCCTTTGTGATATGGAACCTTATGGTACAATGTCAGAGAGATCCATACACTTACACACAAGTTATTGTCATGAAACTAGAAAAATGCTTGTTTTTATCCCCTTTTTGGCCCCTAATTCCTAAAATTTAGAGGCAATTACCCCCAAAATCAATCCCAGCATTCCCTTGGTGATATGGAACCTTGTGGTACAATGTCAGTGAGATCCATACACTAACACACAAGTTATGTCTGGAAGTTACAAAAATGCTTATTTTTGGCCCCTTTTTGGCCCCTAATTCCTTAACTGTTGGTACCATAACCCCCAAAATCAATCCCCACCTTCCTTTTGTGGTATTGAACCTTATGGTAAAATTTCATAGAGATCCATTCACTTAAACTAAAGTTAGAGTGCGAAAACCAATGTGTCTTCGGACGACGACGCCGGACGACGACGACGACGCCAACGTCATACCAATATACGACCACAAAATTTTTTTTGCGGTCGTATAAAAAGTCTTCTAATCCATATTCATGTATAATCAGGACACCTTTTTTCCCCACAAGAATTAAAGAAAAACAAGAGTGCACATGCTGAAATGTCTAGCCTGCTTTACTGACCATTGATTTTATGTTGATAGTCCTCAATATAAAGCTTTACTGCGAGTATCACATAAACTTAACATGATCCAAGAAAATGAGGTCAAGGTCAGATGAATCATGCCAGACAGACATGTACACCTTACAATCAATCTATGCATTAGAGATAGTTGACATATTGCTTATAGTATCTCAGAAACAAACTTAACTATGAAAACTTTACATTGACCAATGAACAATGAAAATGAGGTCAAGGTCAGATGATAGCTGCTAGACAGACAGATACACCTTACAATCATTCCATACACCAAATATAGTTGACTATTGCTTATAGCATCTAAGAAACAAACTTAACCATGAAAACTTAACATTGACCAATGAACCATGAATATGAGGTCAAGGTCAGATGATACCTGTCAGACAGACCTATACACCTTACAATCATTCCATACACTAAATATAGTTGACCTATTGCTTATAGTTTAAGAAAAATTGACCAAAACACAAAAACTTAACACTGAGCAATGAACTGTGAAAATGAGGTCAAGGTCAAATTTAACCTGCCAGACTGACATGTACATCGTAAAATATTTCAACATACCAAATATAGTTGACCTATTGCATATAGTATAAGAAAAACAGACCAAAACACAAAAAACTTAACTTTAACCACTGAACCATGAAAATGAGGTCAAGGTCAGATGACACCTGCCAGTTGGACATGTACACCTTACAATCATTCCGTACACGAATATAGTAGACCTATTGCTTATAGTATCTGATATATGGACTTGACCACGAAAACTTAACCTTGTTCACTGATCCATGAAATGAGGTCGAGATCAGATGAAAACTGTCTGACAGACATGAGGACCTTGCAAGGTACGCACATACTAAATATAGTTATCCTATTACTCATAATAAGAGAGAAGTTAACATTGCAAAAAATCTTAACTTTTTTTTCAAGTAGTCACTGAACCATGAAAATGAGGTCAAGGACAATGGAATATGACAGACAGAAACTTCATAACATAAGGCATCTATATACAAAGTATGAAGCATCCAGGTCTTCCACCTTCTAAAATATAAAGCTTTTAAGTAGTTAGTTAACACCACCGCCGGATCACTATCCCTAATGCTTAATTATCACCCCTTTAGGGTGTTGGACTAGACTAATTTTGTCATTATTTAAGTGCTAAGACATTGCAAGTAGTTTTAAATACTTTGGTTTCTCCTTGTGACACCTTCACTTCACACTCTTCTACTCTAATGCAAATAAAAGTGTTATGAAGACAATTCAAAATAATAATGAAACCTAGTAAAGCTCTGTAAATATAAAAATCAAAAAAATACCCTCAGCCTATGTAATGATAATCTGCAATATCAAGATATCCTGTCTCATTACTTAAAAGTACTTACCCTTTCTACTGGAAACTGTCCATAAAAATCTGGATGTACTGCCAAATAGAATGGTCTCAATGCTGTTGCTGTTTCACTGACTGTCAAATGTCTTTTTATAATCTTCAGAATTTCCAAACGTGTTGTTCTACAAAATGACAAATATGATTCAGTGTTCTATTGATGTGGACAGTGCCTAAAAAATTAGCAAGCTTCCACAAGAAAATTGGTCAACAGAAAGAAAAATAAAGTACATGTAACTACAATACTTGACAGTAAAATCTTTTCATCACAAGCATTCTTTCTGGTTGGAAATTCTTTCTGGTTGGAAAGAATACAAAAGAGTTAGATATAAGTAGTGTTTTGTGCACTGTTGTTGGATTGCTCATTTTTTATTTATTTTGGCCATGGTGTAGTCTTTTGACACATTGTTTTTGAAAGCCTCCTTGGTATAGTGTACTCTTCATCTACATTACTTTATTTATAGTATAACATGAAAACATCCATATCTTTTATGATTAAAGTCCCACAAGTCTTAGTCTAGGCAACACTTTAGTTCAGAGCCATAACTTCTGTCATGTTCCGTAAACTCATTCAAAAATGAACAGGTTAGTCAAATTTGAACATAAGTTCAAATCCTCAATATGGCTTTTTGTGTAAGTTTTATTAGATTTGAACAAGTGGTATTATCATTATCATACAGAGACAGAAGAAAACACAAACTTTAAAGGTAAATTAGGGCATAACTCTTTAACGGTATATTTCAAAACATCAATATATAACTAGACCTGTATTTTATGATCCATGATATTGTGTCAAAATTTCAAAAGATTTAGTCAAGTGGTACTCAAATTATCATCTGGAAACCAAACTTGATACTTTTGGGCTTTTTATAGCTTACTGTACAGAGTAGGATGGACAGCCTTATAGACAGACAGATGGACTGACTGAGGGACACACTTATTGATGGACAAATGTGTGCATTGCAGTATCTATATATCATGTATATTGCTAGACCAAATGTAGAGGGGCACATTTTTTATCTTACAGATGTGGCAGACAGTATTATTATGTAATTGTTATAAGCAACCAACAATCAATCAATTATGTAATTGTTATTTCCCTTGTTTAAACTCTAAATTTCATATTTCTTTATTTAATAATTTACATGATGCTTATTCAGTACATATTTGTTAAATTGAATAGATATTGGTATTTTGAATTCATTGGTTAAAGATATTTATTTATATTCTAAAGTTTAGTATTTGGATCGTCGCAAATCATTTATAAGTTCTTTGAAAAACTTATACATTTCATGGTTTGGAATTATTATGTTGAATGGTCTGAGGACTGATGTTCAATTCAACCTAGGAAAGCTGTGCATTTCCCATTTCCAAATCTCCCATCAAGGTTGGTGCATCTGCCTTCTTAAATACGGGTAACATTGAAGTCATTGAATGCTCCATTTCTTTACATTTGGATTTCATGGTAAAAGTTGTATTTGTTGAATAAATTATATACTGTTTTCACTATTTCTGGTTTTCACTTACTTAGATATTTAGATAGCTCTTTTACATTTGGCATCCATCGTCTCCATTTAAATCAGTTCACAAACTAGAACAAGCTGTGGTCCGCATCCCTGAATCTCCAGCAGAATTGCTCCTGCTACACAGAACATATAGTTCAAGTTGTCTCTTTTCAGACAAGAAACCATACTTACTTGTTTTTCACCTTAAAAATGTGCACCTCTGCTGTCAAATGTCTACCCTTAAGCAGTTAAGTCATAGCTAAAACAATGGTTTGCACCCCTTTTTCCCCTTTTTCAACTGCAGTGCAGATGCGCAATAATATTGTGCATTATACAAGCATGCAATGGTAGGGGTTGACAATGATTTGATTTTGGTTTGTGTGACTGAAACCAAGGATTTCTAGACAAATCCTTGCCGAAACGTCTCCAACGCCTCTTGTCAGATCACTGGCAATATTATTACATGTAGTTATGTAAGAAAATTTGCAAATATATTTCAAGTTTTGTACGCATTGGCAGTTTGCAATTCTTTGTACCTTTTACAAAAGTCATGTTTTGCTGTCAATAAACATGTGCTAAATATTTTCATTTTATCTACAGTTTGGTATCTTCTGCGTTTTGGAATCTGACAGCACCATTGTTGACATTTTCAATTACACTTATCTCCCTTGTTACGTAGATCGACACCCACATCTGTTCCCGATGTTGATTTCTTTAGAAAAAATTATATATCACGTGACAAAAAGTTTTAGAGCGCCCAGACTACAAAAAGTGCAAGATTTGTTTTACTGAGTTATTACAGAATCTGAAATGAATAATAGAGGTCACAAAATACCATTATACTGACATTTATACAAGAAAGGTTATTCAACACATACAAAATCAACTAAAATTTAATTAGATAAATCTGAGACTACTATAACACAGAGATTGGTCACTATAGATTTATCGGATTATCTGAGTCTCCGGTAGTTAGCTACGTTATTTTAACGTAGTTTCGTATTCGACCGTAGCAGACGACATATATCACCTATCACTGAGAATACTATAACAGTATCGGATATTATTATTTTTCTTTTAAAAATAATTTAAAAACAAAATTGAATTAATCAAAAAAAAAAGAAAAGAATATAGTTTTTATCTTTCAAATGCAGTTATCTCTATTCATATTTAAATTTTTGTTTTCAATCATTAATAATTTGTTAATAGTTTGTTATTATGCGGCCACTCTTGAAAATGTGAATGTGATTAATCTTATCAATCTTACAGTTACATTGTTTTGCTACACGTCCGTTAATTGTATCTAATATACAAATATTTTACCTGTAAAGACAGGTAGTCTCAAAAGCATGGGAGATGAATTTTGTTTCACAGCTGGGTGCCCAAGGTACACGAGGCTCCGTTTATTGCAGTAAACTTTTATTCTATACTTGTAAGGTATTTCACTGCTGAGTGCCCAATATACATGTTTATTGTAGTAAACCTTGTCAAATATCGTCGGTGCACTTGTGGTAGGATTCAGGAGGGTGTGGATGGGGTTTTATAGAATGGAGAAATAGGGGCAAAAAAGGTATAGAATGGAGAAAAATGGACCGACAAATAAAGAATAGAGAAGAGAAAATAATAAGTTATTAAGATTTAAAGAATAGAGAAAAATAGCATAGAAATTATAGGAAATAAAGAACCCCCATCCAGACCCTCATTCAGATTATCCAACGTAAATTTTTTTTTTCAAACAAGTCCAACCCCCTACCCACTTTTTTTAAATTTTCGTCTGATAATTAGGTCAAGTTTTTGCAAACAATGTAAAAAGCGGCGATCACAGAAGAGAGAAAAAATTTCATTAAAGGTAAATGAGTAATTTTCCTTACGTAACAGATCAGCAAAGAGGTTATAACTGCAATGGATACATAAAGCAAACATAAGCCCTACAAATTATATATATGTTCCCAATAAATAGCGCTGGCATTTTCATTTTTCAATTCACAATGTCCAGTAACATTGATTTTTTATCTTGGGATGATAGTGATCTCAATCTTGATCTTTTACGTGGTGAATATACTGCATCAGATTTTGAATCTGAGGATGACTATACGTCCCTGCTGCAAAGACTGCAAAAACTACAAAAACTCCAAAAGAAGCATCAACCGCAAGTACATGTAAATCAGAACGAAGAAGCTTCAAAATTATGTGACTGAATAATCAAATTATCTCTATGTTAACATAAATAGAACCACATTAGGGTAATTTACGATGACATTTTTTCAACACCAGAAATATGTGCCCTCTTTCAAAATCCCAGACAAGAAATTTTGTGCTTCAATACAGAGCCGTAAAGTTTTTGAAAATTTGAATATTGTCTATTGTTAAAGTGTCGTATGTTTTAGTTATATCGCTATGCTTTTTGTAACCCTAATAATTGAGCAACTCAGATGAAAAGAGTTGTGATTTGCTTTAGTTTTTTTAGCCACAGCAAATATAAATGTGCTTGTTCAATGTTTGGTGACATACCATGTTAATTGTTGTCTGCATGATGCTTTGTAAAAAGGTTTCCTATAACATTTTTTTGTTGGGTAACTGCTGACGGTTTACCATGTGAAAATTCTGAGAAGCCAAAAATAATGCGAAATGTATAAATAAGTAGCAATGTCAGATCTAAACAAGAATGTTAAATATGATAGCATATATTGATATCACCTTTCTGTAAATTCAACTTCGATTCACAACTGCTTGTCAGTGGCAAATATTTCATGTACAGTCAGCCTGATTAAACCGAAATGAACTATTTTCAAATTATGTTTAAAGTTTGTTTTTATGTTATGTCGTTACACCAATGTCCCATGCTAGTGGTGGTGATGAGCGCCTAAAAATATTTAACATTGTCATTCTTTATGTGCCCGTCTCAAGTCAGGAGCCTGTAATTCAGTGGATGCTGTTGGTTCATGTCCGTCATATTTGAATTTTCGTAAATTGCTTTGTTATTGTAGACACTTCGTTTTCTCTAGTGAATTGTTATATATTTTCCATGTCGGGGACTTTTGAAGCTGACTGCACGTTATAGGTTTTCTCATTGTTGAAGGTAATTACGGTGCATTCCAATAACTTACATCCACTTCATTGAACTTCATTTGGACTAAAGGAGTTGTCTGATGATCATTAGCAAAATTATATAAAAATCTCCTTAAAGTTTGCTTCAAGTGGCTATTCCTTTAATATATATATATATATATATATATATAAAGATGTGTGGTTACTTGTTTTTTTTTCTTTCATTGAACTGTTATCCAAACTGAGCGTGTTACACAATGTAGTGAATTTCTGCATTCCTGTCTTAGTTTTAATGTATATAATAATAAAAATGTATATTCAAAGACTTAAATATTTATTTCTCCATGTAAGACAAGCATGACAAATTCAATGAAATTAAAAAAAATACTAAAAAAAGTCATTTTCTCCTGTAGTACTTCTCCCTTCTTCTAATGCGTGATTTCTTTCTGGGGGTATTCCTACAATAAAGAATATATTATAAATAAAAAGAAATAATGTTTGTCAAGTTTATAGCATAGGCAATTCATTAATTTTTAAGACAGTAATCTGAGACTTGAGACTCAGCAGTAATTGACCAATCATGTCAATATGGATCAAAATAGTTAAACGGATGCAGACCAAAGGTGCATGTACTTTTTACATCATGTTTGGGTCAATTATTTAAAAAACATACGTCTATTTAGGAACTCATGATGTACTGGTATTTCACATGGTGACACATTTTCATTGCATAATATTATTATACTAGCATGTATAGACTGCATATATATTATCAAGGGAACCAAATATAAATCTGAATTTCTTTCACTAACAATACAAATTCACCTATCATACCTCATGTTGTGTGTGTGCAACTTGTCTCGTGTGTTTCTCAGTTCTGCAGCGGGAACTTACTGATACAGAAAAATTGGAATTTCATATAATTACAAATTTTACATCATTACATCGGTTAATTACTAAGGCTTGCACATACATTATCCGAAAAACAGATTGTTCATCTGAATGTAAGTTATGGGTGAGTTGCTCATTGACCCTGTCCCACGGACTGGTAATAACTCGAGGTTACTTTCCGGTTTGGTCGGTAAATTCAAGTCTATAACTGCACTTATTTTATTTAAAGTGCTTATAAACCAACATTTATGAACATGTCAAATCTTATATTCACACTTACCGGAACATAACACTCTTTATAAATCCACATTTGTTAATTATTATTTTCTCTTTCGCTGTCAAAAATGGCGGTCGAATCCTTCTTGTCAATCATTGCGAGTCACGTGCCGAGTCACGTGATCGAAGACTTACAATTAATTACTATTTGACTGGTCAGTACGGGAAGTGACCAATCTCTGTGTTATAGTAGTCTCAGGATAAATGCACCAGAACTTTAACTTTGTCAGCAGGAAAGAATAGAATGACATGTTGAATGTGACTCAAGGCAACTTATTCCCGTTATTAGTGTAAGATCTTATATATTTGAACCAATGAGTAGGAGGGTTATGTTTTTACTGCATATTGGTGGCAGTATAAATTAGAGCGGACTATTAGGACAGCATAAGTTGTTTATATGAACAGTTTCACTAGCTCAGTAACTGTAATATGTTGTCAAATATTGGAATATATGTTAACAACTTAAACAAGTAGTATCCAAAAAATCTTACAAATAATGACATATTAGATGACTGTCAACATGGGTTCAGAGGGGGTAAAAGGTCTTGTGAGACCCAACTCATTATCAGTATCCAAGATTCATCAAAATAATTTGCAAATGACAATCAAATAGATGTTATACTTTCTGATTTTTGGTTCCCCACCAAAGATTAACTAAAAAATTAGATTTTTAGTTATTTGGAACCAAAATATTTTAGCTGAGAGGTAACAGCTGGTACTTTTAAATTAGATTCTTCTTTATAGTTCAGCACTCCATCAACATAGTGATGATAACGTGCTGGCACTGATGTCACTATGCCGCGCGTGATTCTGGTGTTCCCCAGGGAACAGCATTAGGTCCCACATTATTTTTTCTCCTTATCAATAATTTACAGAATATGTAACTTGCAATTCAAGAATGTTTGCAGATGACTGCTTATTATATAGAAATGTAAACAATGAATATGATGCACAATTACTTCAAAGGGACTATATAAATTTTGATCCTGAAAAATGTTATGTCATACATAATACGGCATGATACAGGTTATGTTCTTATATCATATATTTTATGATGGTGTGATATTAAATCCCTTATTGGAGGGATTGTGCTTGATTTTCATATGATGAAGACATAATCTTTCACTCAGTTTAATTGAGGTCTGGAGCTGACAAGGCATGTTAGTAACTGCTAGTAGTCCTTTGTTAATTTATGTTGATTATTGTCATTTTGCTTAGTTTCTTCTGTTACCTATTCTAACATCGGACTCAGACTTTTTTTAAACTTAATTTTACAGTGCGTATTGCTGCATGTTTGTTTATTCCACATTGGCTAGAGGTAGAGGGGAGGGTTGAGATCTCACAAAACACGTTAAACACGTAAAATTTTTGCGCCTGTCCCAAGTCAGGAACCCCTGGCCTTTATTAGTCTTGTATGTTTTTTTTAAATTTTGGTTCATTTATATGGTTCGGAGTTAAGTGTGACGTCCATTCTTGCTGAACTAGTATACATTATTGGTTAGGGGCCAGCTGTAGCCCGCCTCTGGGTGCAGGATTTTCTCGGTGTGTTGAAGACCCGTTGGTGGACTTCGGCTGTTTTCTGCTCTTTGGTCGGGTTGTTGTCTCTTTGACCCATTCCCTGCTTCCATTCTCAATTTTATATATCTAAATAACTTAACCCTTCTTCTTCTAATTATACCTTGCATAATCATGTATTAGAGTCTGTTAAAGACAGTTAATATCTAGGTGTAACTATAAGTCATGATCTCAACTGGGGTCGGCATATAAATAATTTTACCTGTAAGGCTTATAAAACTTTAGGCTTTCTTTGTAGAAATTTTTAAAAACTGCACACGTGAGGTTTAAAACTTGCCAGTCCAATCGTCGTATACACTTCCCCTGTTTGGGATCCATACAAAAAGCATCACATCACTCATGTTGAGTAGTTTCAGCGTAATAAAAGAAGTTCATAAAGACAATTTAACAAAATCTGATAGACACACTAGGGGTCAACATAAATTTCTTCAAATTTCTACTAACATTTGAAGGATCAACACACCAATTGTTTAAACCACCAAAGCTACTGTACATAATGTATATATGTTGATCACTAGATTTTTTTTAAGCCCCCGCCGCTAGTTGAAGAGGGCATTAAGTGTAACCCTTGACTGTCTTTCCATCCGTCCTTCCATTCATCCCATTTTTGTTTCCACTATCTAACTTAAGTTTTCCTCATCCAAATTTTATGAAACTCATACACAATGCAAAGAACCAAAACTTGCAGACAGATTTCAAATTTTGGCAGTGAGTCACTTTCCGTTCTAGAGTTATGCCCCTTTATAACTTGGACAATTGCAAATTTTTTCGTTCCACACTTAGTTAAGTTTGCCTCGTGCAAATTTTATGAAACTCATACACAATACTAAGAAACAGAACTTGCAGACAGAATTTGAATTTGGGCTCTCAAAAAGTATTTTCAGGTATTATAAGCAAGCTTGAGCGGGGCATTCGTGTCCTCAGACACATTCTTCTTTTATTTTTCTTTCTCTTGTTAATAGTTAATTTTGATACTAAGTCCATATGCACATAGCACCCAAGTTCTGGGAAGTGTTACAATCTTAACTATTAGTCTACTCCTGTATTATGAAGAATTAATAAGAAGATCATAGGAGTTTTCACGACTTTCAAATTCATGCATTTTATCGTACATTTCCTATGTCACAATGCTTATGTTATTATGTCACAGCAAGAACAGATTGTTTAATGACTCCATTTACTCTGTTTGAACTCTGGTTAACAGTTTAACTCATTTATAAAAAAACAACTTGAGATTGGTCTATAAATAGAAATATGATACAAATTATCGCTATTTGTACCCCATTACTGGACATCATAAATTTTCCCGTCAGAAAAGATCTGACGCCACAAAGCAAAATGGATTGATATATGACTTCAATAGTTCAAGTGTTACAGATTCCCAAATTTATAGCAATAAACTTATTAAACGATCTTATAAGAACATAGTAATTTTTTCAAAAGTAGGGTTCTGAGAAAAAGGAGGCATCCCCTCCTCAGTTATTTTTGAATAACATAGCTTTAGAGAGAAGTAATTGGAGATTCAGTTCCAAAGCCAAAAAATTGAAAGAGGTTAACAGGATTTTATAATTAGAAAAAAAAACATGATTTAAGAATTTTCAAAGTCAGATAATTTTGTTTTCTAAAATTTTGAATTGTCATAGCTTAATTTTTTGTTTAGCAGTTCATAATTTTTTGCTTTTGTTTCATAAATAATCATTTTTATTTTTTAAATTAAATAATTTTCTTCTTTCACAACACATCTGAGGAAAGAAACAAGTGACTACAACATTTTATTTCCTTTGCAGGATTAGAAAAAAATAAATGCCATAATGACAGATTGGTTACATTGTAATACTTGCTTCCGACAGCCTGGTGAGGGTATTGGTTTTAGTCTGACCAACTGTGGTCACATATACTGTGAAAAATGTTCCAGAGTTGGTATGTATATAAAAATCAAAAGATAATATCTTTACAGAATTCAAAAACTATTTTTCGATAAGATAATTAGATTGCAGTAATATTTGTGGCTAGGCTTTTTACAACTCATCTAAGGTCTCTTTTACATTTTGATCTAATTTTTTATCATAACAAAAATGTTGCCCATTCTAACATCATTCATGACGAGATGATAACCTTGTTCTTAAAATATGTTACAGAATGTCACATGAAATCTATTCTAAATTCTCTTCCTTCCAAAAAAAATCTTCATTCTTTATGATAAAACATTGTAGCATGGAGTGCAGGAGTAATCTTTGAAGGAATCAAAATTTTAGAAATAATGTTATGAGGCATGAAAACCGATTAAAATTAAATTTTATGAAAACATTAATTGAACCTTTAGAAGAAAGTCTGACAACTAAAGACACCAATAAACATGGCTAGCTAGTAACTGTTTCATTTTAATTAAGTACATTTGTAGCAGTCTAGCAGATAAATTGAATTTCCGAAATCTTTACATGCCCAGTTTTCTACAAAATAATAGATTGTAAAACACCACCCTCCTAAAAATTCAGTTAAATTAAGAATTATTCCTATTGTCGTGTCACCAATAAAAGTGCATTTGAATCTTTCAAATCATCCGAAATTAGCAGTGGCAACTTTTCATACATTTACTGTTATTCATTAATTAATAGACTTCAAAATTTTATTTACATTTGCTAACAGCATGCAATGAAAGATGTTCTATGTGTGGAAGTGTCTGTGATAAGATCACTCTCTCAGGCAGAGTAAGTATAGCAGTCATGTGTCTAGAAAATCTCAAAATATACTTGATCATTTACTTTATTGCTTTGATTATCAATTATCTACCCTTAGTTGTTATATTATCTTCTCATTATTATTGTTTAAATTTACTTGCAGAAGTAGGAATACATTTTTTCTAGCATATTGTCTTTACGTGTCAGACCACCAATTCACTCCCTCCAATTTAGAACGTATGTAAAAGTAGCCCTACTCTGACACAAAATAGTGCTTTTGATGTCATTGTTTACTTAAACTAACCAATAAATTTGCAGAAATGAAACTTTTTTTGAAAGAGAAATATATTTAGACCATTTTGAGCCAAAATTTACTTGTCTATGAGTTTGCATTAAAAATTGAGGATCAATGCTCTCCATAGTATACTAATTTAAGATTTCCAGAAAACCAGGGGTTATTTTCAGTACTACTTATCTTCCGATGGTGCAATTTTTTCTTAGAAGACTTTAAACATGGGTTGAAAATTGGCATGTATAAAGGTGATACATGTACAATTCAGGATATACCTGGTTTCTATGAAGTTAAACTTAAAGGTAAAATATTAAGAAAGCTGTGAAAATTGCAAAATTTGGTTGAATAGATGGGGTCAATTTTGAATTGGTGGTCTGACACCTTAATAATATCATATGGAGTTTTTAATGTATTTGTCAAAGTAATGTGATAGAAAAGATTAGCTAAATATTTTTGTGATTATTCCTCTTTTTTAATTCACTTTTTTTCTTGGCAGAATCAAAGAATGTCAGAAGGTCAGGGAACATACATAACTTTATATTTCAGATGAAACCTGATGTAGAAATGTTTTTCACAAGCCCATCAGATATGCACAAAAAAGACTCAAAAAAGTTTTACCAGGTAAAGGAAATACATTCACATACTCCATTTCGTAGTTAACAGAGGAAGAGAGCTGTGTTTAAATACCAAAAAGAGAGAAGCAAGATGTTGCATAGTCATAAATTAATTAGGAACTGACTGAAAAAAATTTAAACATTAAAAAGATTTTTCATGAATGCAGATATTTTTCTATTAATTTCTTACTAGTCAGTGGCTATTTAACTTTAGAAGTCAGCAGCAACACTCGATCATTAAGATAAACCAGTCTGAATGGATGTGAAAGTTGTAATTTTGTTTCTGAGGTACCTTGCATTTATTGGAATATATACTATTACCACCAAGACAAATGTTTAGTGCATGCATTCATTGTAATTACTGTTGAAAGAAATATTAATGGCATAGAAGAAATAACTTTTACATTGAAAGTATTTTAAATGTATCATATAATAAAATAAAAGCATGTGATTTCATCATTGAGACAGCCAAACATACAACTTTGAAACAGCTTAACATGTATTCAATAATAATCATTGTATTTTCAACAAATTTGTAGTAAATCATTAGTCTGTATTAGTTCTTTTCCTACATAATTGTAGGTGATGGAGTTTCAAGACAGTCACAGAAGAAGATTTGTAAATCACCTGAAAGATAAGGTATACATACTTTTCCCATACCACATAAAGTGGGGACTTAGAAAAAGTCTCAATTTAGACAATACTGATGAGTATTAATATTAATAATATAATCTGCAAAATTAAATGTTTGTATTGTGGGGAAAGTAATCTTAATGATACCTTTAGACAATGATATATCACTTTATGGATTTTAAAATTTATGGAATATACATAATTTGAAAATAAGTAGTTTTGTTAAAACTTTTTTATTTTATAAAAATAAGATGTGGTATGATTGCCAATGAGACAGCTATCCACCAAAGTTCAAATGAAGTGACTGTAAGTAATTATAGGCAACCATACAGCCTTGAACAATGAGAAAACCCCATACATATAGTCGGCTATAAAAAGGCCCACACATGAAAAGTATGAAACAATTGAATTGAGAAAACTAATTGCCTAATTTATAAAAAAACAATTTACGAAAAACAAATATAACAGACATGAACTACAGGCTTCTGACTTGGGACAGGCACATAAAGAATTGCATGCCTTGATGTGTTTCCTAGTGAACATTTCCTTATTCATGACAGCTTCTTGTTTACTGGTACTTTTATGAAGGTTATTTTGTTAACAATTGTATCAAGATTATATGATTTGTGCTATAATTTTGTCTATCAAATGGTTTTTCAGATAGCTAAAATGGAAAAATTTATACAAAATGCACAGAGGATTATTTCACAATATCAAGACATGGAAAGGTATCATAACCTGCCATTATTTATAACTTATTCATACTGTAAAAGGCAAATGATAATTGACCAGACACAAAATCATATTGAAGTTATTCTTAACAGTTACTGTTGACAGAAATCACAATCAAATGTCAGAATATAGCAAAATATATGTTGCAAGGTTATTTCCAAGAACAAAATACAAAAAAATGAATAGATCATGATAGGTACAACCACTGGAAATAAAAGGTAAAACACAGAAATGTAAAAAAAAACCACAAAAATTACTAATAACTATAAATCTTTTGTGAATGTTGTGAATGTTGTACTGTGGAAAACTTTTGAATGAGATGCTGTTTTTTTATGAAAAAAATTTTTAGTTATAAGTATGTTTGTACATTGTGAATACATAAATGTCATTTATAACTGTTACTCAATCAGAAACATATCTCTATTTTCTCTTATTAAGGACTTTTGTCTGATTTATAAGGTAGGGTGAACTTATAATTACGAGGCTTTTGCAGTCATAACAGCTTTGTGTGCTGGTGCTACACAAAATGACATCATTTTGTAGTCATTGATTTCTTTTATAGTTCTCTTCCAAAAACTAACTATTGAATTTTCGTGTGCTTAAGCGATAATTTGTAAGATTTGGACATTTTCCTTTAATTTAAGAAAACAAATTTGTGAAAAATTTTATTTGACAAAAATCTGTTTCAGAGAATTATCAAAAACAAAAGAGGAGAATTTATACTTAAAGAGACTGATGACTGAAAAGGTGAGTGAAGGTTTAACATGCAGTAAAGTCGGTTAATTTCCTTTTGGTCTGAAAAGATCAAATATTTCATTGACAAAAATTTAAAAGAATGAAATTTTGAGCCAGCATCATATACATTCAAACTGTTTGAAAATGTATGATAGTACTCAGTGAGTATTGAGTACATGTACAGTTATTTAAGCTAAAGCAATTTGTTATGAATAAACAATTACAAGACTGCATTAAAATGGTATGAAAGATTATATAAAGTTGAAATATAATATATTACAGAGATTGATTTTTTTTTCATCAAAGGGAAATAACTCTTTTTTAAATTTATTTCAGGGTTTATCTGGACATGGAAGGTAAGTGATTTACATATAAGAAGTATTTAAATTAAATGCGCTATTACTTGATTTTCTATAATAGTTTCTTTCTTGAAAATACGTCAATAAAAGTGTTTATGTTTTTTATTTTTTAGGCAAATGACCCCAGGAAAGTACAGTCCAGTATCTAGAGGTATGATTTAAGATGACATAATACTTGGATAATATCTGGAATAATGTGATATACATATTAGATGTTTTGTATTTCTATTGACTGAAAAATTTATTTGCATTGTATATTTCCATTTGTATTTTTATTGAATAAGAATCCCTTCTTCTGAAAACCAATTTTCATCAATACAGATTATTACAAGTGATTTTGTACAGTGAAAGTGTAAGAGAAATTCTAAAATTGCATCTTTTGATTGTTAACATTATTTGAAAGCGCCTTTCCTGGGTACCATGTATGGTTTTTTTAAATGCCTTTGTCTTTTCAAGATGTTTGAACGAATTGTAAAGAAAACATTGAATAAAATTGATTTTCATTGATACCATTATATTTTATTGCAGGCTCACCAGGCTTTATGCAGTCTGTAAGTAAAATCGTAAATTCATATACCGATAGTACTAAAAAAAATCTATAGCAATTTGTGAAAACTTTATAAATACACATACACATCATATTGTAACTTGAAAATCTGAGTATATATCATTTATATTTTGCTTGACATTAAAGAATGTTCACCTCACTGCACTTTGTAGTTTGAGCTCTAAAAGGTGGAGATGAGTCACGGAATATATAGCTATCAAGCCAGTAACAATAAGGTTTTTATTGGACTTCATGCAATCTTTACCTCAAAAATTGCAAAAATATTCAGTCAAATATATATGGGAATATCCATCTCAACTTCTCAAAAGTCATTACTGGGAATCCTTTTCAATTAACCATAACAGAGTCTATTCAAAAGTTAATAAAATTTTCAGTGGTTGATTTATCTCAAGTTGGATTGAAATCTTTCTATCAGTTTTTGCTCTTGAAGTAAGAAAGAAACTCATTGAACTATGATACAGTCTGGCTTTAGCTGATATCTAATATCTTATTTGATGTTTTAGTTCCAATCATCCAGTAGTTCAGGAAAAGTATCATGTACACCACCTAGTGGCAGACGGGGTATGTACTTGTTTACTGTAACATGTTTTGAATAACATAAAATGTACATGTAAAAGCATTTTTTCGATATTATATAGATAAGCATCATGACTAATATAATGAAAGGGAAAGTCAGATTTCAAGATGGACAAATAGATATTTACAATAATTTTCTGATAAGGGAATTTTTCTCCGTGATTTCTGTGAACATACTGAGCAATTGCATCATTAAATTTGGGATTGATATATGTAAATTGCAAAGCCAAAGGAAAGGTTACACAAAGTAAAACATTTATTTGGCCTTAAAAGATTACTGGATAAGTGCTCTAACCAGAAATAAAATGTGATGCCAAAAAATATACTAGAGATCCTCCTAATGCTTTTGTTTGATGTGTGAAACCGTAACAATCAAATAGCTTGTTATATACACATAGTTGTCTTTATAGTCAGATTCTTACATTCTACAAATTATTTATTTCCAGGTTCACCAGCCTTCCATCAGCAAGTAAGTTATATGTATCATATGTGTCCACAGTTTTGGTTGATTGATAGCTGTTTATTGTTCAGCGGCAAATATTACATGTCTATATTCAGGACAATAACATAATCACACTTTATGCTACACTGACATACTGAGTCTTATTTTTACCTTGCTAGCACATAAGCAGTAGAAATTTTTAATCTACACAGAAATATTATTCTGCCTCTGAGTTGACCTGTCTTTGGCCTACTCCTAAAGTAAATGCTGGTGCTTGGCTAAAAAAGCAGAAAATATTACCAATTTTAAAAGTCTTTGATTTGACCTGATTGTAATTAAAACCATGGCCTCGAGTTCTAATGGCAACATTGCTAACACCAGACCATAGAGGTGGTCCCACACTTTTTAGTAAAAAAAGAGGGGCTTGACAAGAAATAAATGTTAATTGGAGCACAGGGGAGGGGACTACAGTTAAATTGGGTCAACAATCTTGCCTTTGTTTCATTTTCAGGAAGCCTTTCTTCTGAAGCTGATAAATGTGATTATATGATGCCATACAATTTTTTTGTTTTCTGTGAATAGACCGGGCCAAATATCACCAAAATATACCTTTTCCTTTTACTCAAAGCCTAACTGACTGGAATGAAATGCAAACTTTTCTGCGACTTTCACTAGAAACCAAAAACGTCAATTAAAAATAAACGATGTTAATTTTTTTTAGTGTCAATTAATGCACCAACAAATTCAACAGCTGAAAAAGACAATTAAATTTTAAATGCATATACCATACTTAAATTGACTTTTATGCAACGCAATCTAGGAACTTAATTCAGTCACTAAGCTTGTATTCTGAATTTTAAAAAGTTGCTGGACTTGGTAAGACAATATGACTTTTGAAAGGGGAATGGGGGTATTTTCAAATAGTTTTAATTTCAATGCACAGACATCCAGTAGTTTAATAGTGGCTGATATTAAAGAAGAATATATTTATTTCAGAGTTCCACCCATAGCTCAATAGCTCCTGGAAGATTATCTGTTCGTACACCTCCATCAGGAGGGAAAATAGGTTAGTAACTTACCGTTAGTATTTAAGACTTATTTGTCTAAGGGCTGTTCCATTAAAACATACATGGTACCCAGGGAATGCACTTCAAAAATGGGGTAACCACCTATAGAGGCAAATTAGAATTTCATTTATATTTCCACTATGCATAAACAAAGATGACACCCACCCATAGTTGAGATTTGGAAGTGCCTTCCCTGGGTCCCATGTATGTTTTTATGGAACATCCCTAAAATAAAGAATCACATTTACACTTGAGACTTCTATTTGCCTTTTAAAGGTAATTTCTACTTGAACTCCCTCAGGCAAAGTTGACCATAGAAAGATTCAACTGGTTTTTTTTTTCAAGCACTAAAACATTTTGTATGTTTTCCAAACTTTTGGTCTTGAGAAATACTTGGTATAGGTTATTCCAGGAACACAAGTCATGCACACAATATTGATATTGATTTTACTGTAGCACTGTATTTTTTTATTTAAAGTTATTTTTGTAAATTCATATTAAAAATAACTGAACACAATTTTTTTGGGATTGGAAATATTGTGTTATACAAATCAGGCAAATGATTGTATCAAAACTTTCCCTTTATTTAGTTACTTAAGACCATAGTCAAGAGTTAATATAATGCTGTCCCTGAAGGAAAAAAATAATTTGTCATTTCACTTCAGGTACAGTGCCAGGAACACCTCAATCAGCATCAATACCAGTACCTCATACACCTAAGTAAGTACACCAATCAGCATCAATACCAGTGCCTCATACACCTAAGTAAGTATACCAATCTAAGACCAATGGAGTTTGTAAATGATTAAGTTTGAAAAAGTCATTGATTTCGATTCATAACCAGCTATTTACAAACTTACATCAAGGTAAGAAAGCAACTTTGAGACAATTAAGTCAAGATTTATCTTGTTGTGTCAGTTCAACCCTTATACCACTGCCTACAGGCAAATCATGAAAAGAGGCTGAACTTAAACTAAACACAATCTCAACCTGTAAGTCATCATAATAAACTAAAGTACCAAAAATCAGTTCCAGATCTGCAATCAGTATAAACAGTCAGGTCGAGTTCAGTTCTATGTCAAGGGGGCTTTATTCCTTGAAAATTCTTTTTAAACTCTTTCTGTAAGTCACCAATTCACAGTAATGTATAAAACACAGGTCAATATCTGCAGACATAACATAAAGAGCCCAGACACTTGTTTGATTTCAAAAGGACGGAAATGGGTATATGACCCTGCCACTTAGTGCCAAGGGTGTAAACATAGCATAAAAGAGCCAAATGCAGAACAGTTAAAAATGGCTATTTATATACAGTCAAACCTGAGTAAACCGGACCCTGAATAAACCGGTTTCCTGTCCATTCCGGCCGAAAATTAAAGTCCCATGTTTTCCCCTTCTAAGTCTTTGTTAAAATACCCTTTGTAAACCGGACCCTGTGTATTCCGAATTCCGGTCTAATGATGCAGTCCCAATACTCTTAATTACATCAATTATTACCTGTCAAAACCGGTTTGTCTAATTAATTTAGAATGATAACAGTATTGGTCGATATGCAATCAAAACATATTTGTTTATACAAGATGGCTTTTCAGGATAATCAATTAGCCAGGTGTTAAACCGTGAACTTACAATGGTAGAGTAGTGAGCTGTTTTAATAAAACACTATAAAAGTATAAATTAAACTAAAAGACACGCCGAATATATCTCGGATAGAACTTACGTTGTAACTTAGATCATTTTTTTTTTCAAATCGCGGAGTTAGAAAATTTACATCTTGGGTTGCCTGTTGTGAACCCCTAAACCAATGACCCTGATAATGAAGAACACCTGGACGGCAACAATCTATCAGTATTGTACACTGTACGACAATGTTTTGATCGTGATGAAATTTCATTTAATAAAATTCTGGCTTTTTAATCGGCTATACCAACGTCGGAAATGAATGATGGAAGTAAAACGAAACTCTCGTGTCACAATTCAAACAACGCGATGATTATGATACAAATGAAAACAATGAACACAAAGTGAAAGTGACATGTCGAATACTGATGCTACCGATGTCTATTTGACATACTAGGATATGTAAAAAACGGTTAGAATATTATTTTTTTTAATTCGAGGAGCAATCAGTTTCTTAAATTTATATAGCCAATGAATAAGAAGATTCAAAACAACGATCATGCGAAGTTATTAGGTTATTGCGTTTTGTATTAATGAGTTTATAGCTTACAATCAGACAGAACTTTTACATGCAATATATTGGACGTCACAAGTCATTAACTTCCGGTCAAAATGGAAACCTGAATAAACCGGCCCACTGTCCAAACCGGCCCTTTTTCATAGTCCCGTAGCCGGCCGGTTTATACAGGTTTTACTGTACCTGATTTGGTGCAAGCACTGTTAAAGGGTAAATGGTGTTTTCAACCTCGTACCTTTATGATATAATTTAAATACTTTCAAATCTCTTGGTAAGTAAGGAATACAATCATTAAGAAATCATAAGTTCCTCTAATAAGGTTGTTTTAAACTGTTAGTATTTACTATAAGTTGGTATAGATATATCAAAATGAGTTTATCTTTTCAGGTCAGTACCTCATCCTATATCACTTAAAGATTGGCAGTTAACACCTGATTGAACAACCCTAGGTATACATATAATTGAATAAGCAGCTGATAGATTGCTCCCCTCTCAAAAAAACCAACAAAAAACAAAAATTCAAAAATAAAAGAGTAAAAAAAGTGAATCAACTTTAAAAAAAAACAGGGTATGCATGTGGTGGTGTTATAACATGGAGTATTATTATTTAAAAAAATATTATTTTAATTCATCAGATCTTATAAAAACAGCTTCCTATCTTGTAGAAAACTGAAGGAAAACATGTCAACCAACAAAAAAGTTCCAAATAGACACAATCAACACTAACCTAAATGTAATTTGAAGTTTTGTTGTCACCTTACAGAAATTTTATTTTTATATCATATGAGCAATTATAGAATCCAACAGCATACCGTTTCACCATTTCTTTTCTCACAGTTTCTTTTTATTTTGTAGGTTCATTAAAGAATATTAACAAAGATAGCAGATTTTAAACTTTTGCAATATTTTAAATATTTATGTTTACATGACATGTACCTTATCAGAAAATTGTTAAATTCACTCTTATGTTTTGTTTTTCTTTTTCCATGGTTTAACCAATCACTGATCAAAATGCAGATTTTAAAGGGTTCTAGTAAGCCATTCAACAATTCTATGTAGATGTAACTATAGTTTTTTACCAAAAATAGAAAAGGGTGACACTTATAATTCTGTTCCAGTTGTTCATAAAGAAAATTATAAGCATGTAAATGTTCAAAGTTTACTATGAGACATGTTTATTGTCTACTTACTGCATCTGACTATGATCCATATACACATACAAATAAGGAGATATGGTATAATTGCCAATGAGACATCTATCCACCAGATTCAAAAGGGTGTGGATGTTAGCAACTATAGGTCCCTGTACGGTCTTCAACAATAAGCAAAACCCATACCATATAGTTCGTTATAAAAGGCCCCTAATTGACAAATGTGAAGCAATTCAATCAGGAAAACCAACTGCCTTATTTATTCTTAAACAATAAATATCAAAAAGAAATATAACAGACAGCAACATACGACAACCACTGAATTACTGCCTCCTCATTTGAGTCGGACACATGAAGAACGTGGCGGAGTCAAACATGTATGATAGAGCAAAAGCATACCATATATCAATGTCAGCACTTCTTAACATACAATTATCAAATTAGAAAACATAACAGTTGAACAATGTAAATTTTGTAACTGACATGTAGGAGTGCTGATAGCATATCAAGGTTCTGGATAAGTACTTCTTTATAAACCCATTTCATTAGAAAACTTGACTTTTAAACAGTGTAAAAAATCCAATATCATTGATTAATAATCATTAATTACTGAGATATGTTTCTTCATATTCTTCTTCAGGACGAAACTTAAACGTGTCGATAGTTCTCTGTGGTTTACCATATATCAATGTCCTATCACAACTTTTCTATAATCAGAAAATCTTTAATTAAATGTTGATGATGACAGCATCTATTAATTTGCATAAAGGTAAAACCTATGTCTTGAATATTCAATATTTCATAGTTTTCACATTCATACCACAACCTTGCTATGATCCTGATAAGATCCTGCTACGATTCCTCTACTATAGTAACACGTTCTAGTTATGATCTTGTCACATTCTTGTTATGTCTAATATGACATTACTGCGATGTACACGATCTCTGTACGCTTCTACCAAGACCTTCCTGATTGCATTACAATCTCAATACAAGTCTACTACGATGTAACCTCGACTCCACTCTGTTGTCACTGCCCTCTTCGTCCCTATAATTATCTTGACTTTCCCATTGTACACACCAGTTTCCTTGAGAAAACATGCTACTAAAGGTATCAAAAACACTTAGAGGTTTTGGTGCTAAAAGTAGATGTAGATGTACAGGAAGGGGTCATTCCCTTAATTTTATCAAAATATAACAAATATGACGGGTTCAGATGAGGAGTCTTACTTATTGCAGAAGTAGGTTTTGCTCCATGGTCCATGGTTGAACTATAGGTAGAAGTTATTGGATCCGTTTTTTTATATCAACAGAATGAGGTCGTGCAATTATCATGGCTAGGACGTAGTAGTATCGTAGTAAGGTTATACTAAGGATGGCAAGCGCGTAGTAGCAGCATACTATTGTCTTCCATATTGTAGTATAATTGTATCAATATCATAGCAGAAGCTTAATGAAGACGTAGTGAAATCGGGATAGTCACAGTCAAATCCTAGTAAGGTTACAGTGAAATAATGTCCATTGGCTTCCTGATTGCATGTTTCCAATAGGATGCTTCTACACCCATCCTGATCTTTCTACATCCTTCCTACGCTTCTACTGCATCTAGATTTGACCACAACTGCACTACAAATGTTTTGAGCATGTTCAAAGTTGGTCATGAACCTCCAGGATCATGAAGACCTTGGCACTTCCTTACTTAGACCTTACTGCGACCACCAAGATCTTACGACTTCAAAAATTTAGTGTGATGAGGGTATTACCAACATTTTTCACAGCCATGAGCAGAAAACTCTCAAATAGATGTTGACAATGGCACCATCTATTAATTTGCATAAAGGCAGAAACAAACTGACTGTAAAACAAACATTTTGTACTTTTGTATTGTAACAGTTACTGAATAATATACATAATGTCATATTGATACACTAATCATATTTAACAAACAGGGTAAAATATGAAAAACAACTTAAGAAATGTAAATGGTCAGCTTCAAAGAAGATGTTTGACTTTAAGAATTGGTTTCAAAAGACAGATCAATATGTACATTACAAAATTGTTGTGCTGCAAAAAAACGTATAAAACTATTTTATATGGTATTGTCAATAACATATTCACAAATAAATTGTAGTTATAGTGATGGATTCAAATGATTCCTTGTGACTTTATCAATACCTAAACTTGGCAAACTATTTAGCAATAAAAAAACCACATGTTCAATTACCACAAGGTCTATCTGTTTAATTATTATTTGATTAACACAATGACAGCAAATATTAATAATACCAGAACTGGAACCTATTATACTAGTTTTGACTTTATAAAATAATTGAAAAAGAAAATCATTCTGACATGAAAATTTCAATCACAGCCACTCATTAAATGCATTTGGCAGCAATTCTTTTTTTTTTTATCAACTATCAATTTATAATATTTTTAAAAAAAATATTGCACAACTAATTATGAAAGTAAATATTCTTAAATTAAAATTTCTTTCATACACAAAATGATATATAAACATTCAGATTTTAGATAAGTTGACTTTTTTTTATAAGACAATGTATACAAGATCTTATAAAGGAAATGAACAATGTCATAACAATTTGTGTTAGTGGTCCCTAGTATATATAAAACAAAACAAAATATATTTACATGTAAAACAGACATAGCACCAATCAAAAGTATTTTATGCAGTATAAAAAGCAGCTTTATAAATATTTACACTGTAAATTACTTATCAAAAAGATGAGAGATTACTATCACATACATCAAATTAGAAAAAGAGCAGTGTCAGAAAATCATATCAAGATTTTTGTTCATTTCAATGAATGAATAAAATAGTATTTGTCACAAAATATATTGTGGTAGGGATAAGAAATTTCAAAACTTCAATAAAATTGATGTCTAGCTCTTATGTTAACACTATAAAATGTACAGAAATCAGTTTGGTTTTATTGGTTTTCAATATTTCTGGTTTTCCTACAAATGAAAACTAGAGGCTCTAAAGAGCGTGTGTCGATTACCTGCATCTTCAACAATGGCCACTTTTTAGTAAAATTCATCATTTAAGGGGAATAACTGTAATAAGAGTTACCTGACAATTTCAGTCATGTTGATGTATTTGTACATTGATCTTATCTTGCTGATCATTTTTCCTTTCTAAAGTTTCTATTTATCTTTAATAGTTTTCAATAAAATTGGCAAAGAATGCTAAAAAAGAGTGCACATGCTGAAATGACTCGCCTGCTTCACTGACCATTGATTTTATGTTGAAGTCATAAAGATAAAGGTTTCACAACAAGTATCACATAATCATAATATTTTCAAAGATCCCTGACAATGAGGTCAAGGTCAGATAAAAACTGTCATACAGATATGTACACCATACAATTATACTATACACCAAATAAAGTTGACTTATAACTGATGGTAATTTAAAAACAGACCAAAACACAAAAGCTTAACATTGACCAATGCACCAAGAAAATGAGGTCAAGGTCAGATGATACCGGCTAGACAGATATTTACACTTTACAATCATTATAAAAATATAGTTGACTTGCTGTTTATAGTATCTGAGAAACGGACCTAATCACATAACTTTAACCTTGATCACTGAATCATGAAATGAGGTCGAGGTCAGGTAAAACCCTGTCTGATGGACATGTAGACGTTGCAAGGAACTCATATACCAAATATAGTTATCCTATTACTCATAATAACTTACATCGCCGCCAGAGAGTAATCCCTATGTCTTGCATACTGCCACCGAGACTAAAGTCTCAGGTGAAACAAAAATGGTAAAATTATCATTAAAGGGCAATTACTCCAATAAAGAGTGGACAAGATATTGGCTCTTTTGTAGATCTTGTCTGACTGATCATTTTTACTTTAAAGTTTCTATCTAACTATTATAGTTTTCAGTATAATAGGTCAAAATGCAAAAACTGGGAAAAATCATTAAAGGGCAATAACATCAAAAAGGCGTCGACTGAGGATTTCAACCATGTTAACTTATTTGTAGATCTGGTCTTGATGATCATTTTTGCTGTTTAATGTTCCTGGCGATCTATTAAAATTTTCCAAATAATAGGCAAAAATACAAAAATTTTTAATTTTGTCGTTTAAGGGCAATAACTCTTGAACATTTTCATCCCTGTCAGATTTTCTCTATAGCGTTTTTCATGATTATAGACAGAAATTGCATTTTATCCCTATGTTCTATTTTTAGACATGTTGGCCATGTTAATTGGCAGGTGTGGTCATCGGACATATTTTTCAAACTAGATACCCCATTGTGGCCAACTTTGGTTAAATTTGCTTAGAAGATAATCTTTGTAAAAGTTAACAGATGACGGATGATGGAGAACACCAAGTGATAGCAAAAGCTCACACCTTTGGACCAGATGTGCTAAAAAGCATGGTTAAAAGCTCTTATATTTTTTTGACTATATAATTTTCTAAATGCTTGTGAAAGTAAAATGTCTACCATGTATTTAAGAAGGATAATAAAGAAACTGCAGGAGGCCAGTAGCCGAAACATCTTAACAAATGGTTTAATAACTACAATAATATATAATTTTCATGATGTGCATGCATTTGTAAAGCAAAGGTACTAAATAAGTAGCAGCACTCTCATTCCTTTGGCATGATAAAGTTTTGGTCATGTTCAATGAAAGATATTTAATGTTGGAAACTACTGTATTTAATTATATACAGAATGTTTCGCTTGGCAAGCAGCTTATTTCATCTAAAATCATTAAAAATCTTACAGTTTTACATAAAAAAAAATGAAATTTCTGATGTATGATTTTTTAGAAGCAGAAGCACTTTTCTCTAGGTACAAATGGTATTTTTATGGTCAAATTGACAGTTCCACTAAAAGTTTGTACAAATAAAATCAAAGTTATTTGGTTTTGCTTGGCAAGCAGATTATTACATCCGAAATCATTAAAAATCTGACACAGTTTTACATAAAAAAAATGTAATTGCTGATGTATAATTTTTTGGAAGCAGAAGCACTTTTCTCTTTTTAAATGTTTATAAATGGTATTTTTCTGGCCAAATTGACAGTTTTACTAAAAGTTTGTATAAACAAAATCAAAGTTATTTGGTTCTGGTGGTATTTGTGGGGTTTCAGAAGGTATTGTAATTCCTTCAATATCCAACAGGTGGATCTTCGTCTCCATATTCAATAGAAGTTCCAAATCTTTATTTTTCTGACTACTATCCATCTATAAAAAAAAAAAAAAAAAAAATAATTTTACAATGAATAAATAAATAGTTTTGCATTAAAGACAACATGTTTAATATATTGAAGTCTCATAATATGATCCAGACACTGCAGAAATAAGCATTCTGAGAGTATTGCATGGCAATACATAGTCCCCTACCGGTCAAAAATTCATTGTACTGGAACAAAATGCAAACTTGATCTATAACTTGTCATGGTGTAAACTATATAACAAATATCAAGTCAATATCTTCAAGCATGATGCAAAAAAAGTGTGGAAAACTGATTATTTAAGTGAATTTTCTAAGTCCAAGGACCATAACTCTGAACAAAATCATCAGACCAGAACAAAATTTGAACTTGATCTGTAACTTGTCATGATAAAACTATATACCAATTATCAAATCAATATCTTGAAGCATGATGAAAAAAAGTGTGGAAAACTGATAATTTGAGTGAATTTTTTTAAGTCCAAGGACCATAACTCTGCACAAAATCATCAGACCAAAACAAAATTCGAACTTGATCTGTAACTTGTCATGATAAAACTATATATCAATTATCAAATTAATATCTTCAAGCATGATGAAAAAAAGTGCGGAAAACTGATTATTTGAGTGAATTTTCTAAGTCCAAGGACCATAACTCTGCACAAAATCATCAGACCGGAAAAAAATTCGAACTTGATCTGTAACTTGTCATGATAAAACAATACATCAAATATCAAATGAATATTTTCACGCACGAAGAAAAAAAGTGTGGAAAACTGATTTGCCGGACTGATGGATGGACAGACAGACAGACAGACCGTGTGCAAACCTAAAGTCCCCTTCGACTTCGTTGGTAAGGGGACTAAAAAGCAAGCTCAGTGGACATGTGGATTTTTAAACCAAACGCCTAATAAGCTAAGAACTTTAAATAAAGCCCAATTACAAAAATATCAAGCACCTGATTTCTTTGATAATGTAAGAAAAAAAAAAGCAAATATTGCAACATCCATGAGACTGATACGTTTTATGCATCATATTTAAAGATTTCTGAATTTTTTTATTATATTTTGTATGCTGGTTGGTTGACAGAGTCACTAGATTTCATTTTGTAATAAAACACTTTAAAGATGATTGTTCTAAATGTCAGGTTCAAATTTTCCAATTAGACACAAAGTGATAGGAAAGCTTACAATTGCTCAACTGGAAAGGTGAACTAAAATTAACATTTACAAATCAACTCGAATTAAACATACATAATATTACCCAAAGGTACTTTACAAATGGGGGAGTCACTCCTAATAAAGATTCTAAAGAATAAACATCCACACAGATGTCTTGTGAATCTGGCTAGATCAACCCTTAGACAGATCTATACTTCCTTGTTTTTTCGTCTTTCATTTAAATTCTACATTATTGTTTAGGGGCAAGCTGAAGACCACCTCTGGGTGGGGTATGTTCTCGTTGCATTGAAGACCCATTGATGGCCTTGGGCTGTTTTCTGCTCTTTGGTCGGGTTGTTGTCTCTGACACATTCCCCATTTCCATTCTCAAATTTTATTTTTATAGATATCAAATGGAGACCTTTATATACAGGTTTGACTCGATATGATTATTTTATACTATCCTTTTCAGTGTGATGATTGCAAGTTGGAAATAAAATAACTTAAGAAGTACTAATACCATAAGATATCAGTGTTAAACCTCTAACATACCTCATTTCCTAATAAAACATTTAAACCATCAGTCCACATATCAAGTTCTGTCTCATCTTTGGCAACAAAACAAAAGTTCTCAGGATTCTCACTTGAGGAGGGTTGTGGTTGTATAGCAAAGTAAAGGTTAATTGCCTGAAAGACAAATTAATTACTATAGAAGTATTAGTAACTACATAGATATAGGAAGATGTGGTATGAGTGCCAATGAGACAACTCTCCATCCAAGTAACAATTTATAAAAGTAAACCATTATAGGTCAAGGTACAGCCTTCAACACGGAGCCTTGGCTCACACCGAACAGCAAGCTATAAAGGGCCCCAAAAATTACAAATGTAAAACCATTCAATACATGGTCATTTTTATAACCCAGCTGGTATAAAGTGTTGAAAGTGTCCTCAATTCAATCAATCAGTTCATTCATAGTTTAAATATTCTTTCGAAAAGCATATCCATAAATCTTATTGATTACTTTGTATATGTGCTGGTATATTGTATGGATAACCCTGGAAATGATTTGAACAATAATACTAAAGTGTACCTCTTATTTTATTTATTGATTAAGATGGTTTTTGGGATTTCCAAATTCAACATACTGTGTCTTCATTTCTCTATATATAGGTTTCATAGGCTTGATTCAACTCTTTTGTCATGTATTATTTTCAACAATAAAATATGTTTAAACTTTAGACTTGATCATTTTTGGCTGATTGTACTATAATGACACTTTTGATTTATCATCATATATTTACAGTGGATGTTCAATTCATACAAATGTTGATTTTTTATTGGCTGAAAGATGCATCATTTGATTGACATATGCTTTCATTTGATACTAAAACAAGCCAAGCGGTATGAGGCATCCCAGGAATCCAGGATTATAGAATTATTACAGAGTTCTCGAAAAGTGGTGGTCTCAAGGTTTTGACCACCAAAATTCTGCAAAAGACGGACACAATTTTGGTGTTTTGCAATAAAAATTAACATGTGGACCAGCAGGGAAAAAAAGGATTTTGAGAACTCTGTTATTAGCTCCACCTAACTAATGAATATACATAATTTTTTCACATTGTTTGTGTTCTTCATGCAAACAAAAATGCTTTTGCCAAATTAATGAAGTATTATAATTGATTTCACTTGGGTTGATACTTTTTTCAAAGATTAACTTCCAAATACATAATTTAAATAACATCTATTTATTTCAAAAATCTGTTTGAAATATCAGATTTGAATGCTGTTTTTTTGAAAATTGTTACCATCACATTTTTTTTAGCAAGCAAGAAGTGCTTCCGTGCTTCATACAAAATGTGATGATCCCTTGCTTCCATTTCATAAAAATTTGTTCTTAAAAAGCATTCAATTTTATAATGCAGTCGACTATACTGAGCTATTATATTTTAACAAATTGCTTGAGTTATGGGTCTTTGTGGCCTATTGTAAAATACAGGAAAATTTTGTGAGCACCTGACTTCTCTGAAACCATATATCCAAAAGCTTCGGTACTTTAAAATAAGATTATTTGTAATTATAAATAGTTAATTATTCTATATAACCAATTTGATTTGGTCAAATAGAGTTTGCTTTATGATCTAATTATTCGTTTAATCATCATTTTAAAGTTCTACCGTATTTCAAACACTTCGCTGCCCCATAATTTCTGTGTCATTTAATTTATGAACATGTAGAGTAAACATGTTTAGAAAGGGATGACCAAGTAAAATCTGAAAGCTAGACAAAAATGTTTGTCCAAAAAATATGAGCCAAAAAAGTTTGAGTTTACTTACACCTTTGGCTTTCTTTGCATGTTGGCAATCCTTTCCCACCAGTATACTCTTCATTTCACTTATTGTCACTGAAAAATACATTGTAATTCTAAATTAGAATAGTTACAAGCATTCTGAGAGTATTGCATGACAATACATAGTCCCCTACCAGTTAAAGATTCATTGTACTGGAAGAAAATGCTAACTTGATCTATAATTTGTCATGGTGTAAACTATATAACATATATCAAGTCAATATCTTCAAGCATGACAAAAAAAGTGTGGAAAACTGATTATTTAAGTGAATTTTCTAAGTCCAAGGACCATAACTCTGAACAAAATCATCAGACAGGAACAAAATTTGAACTTGATCTGTAACTTGTCATGATAGAACTATATACCAAATATCAAATCAATATCTTCATAAATGAAGAAAAAAAGTGTAGAAAACTAATTTGCGGGACTGACGGATGGACAGATGGAGTGAAAGCCTAAAGTCCCCTTCGACGACTAAAAATAGATAAAAACTCATTTGGCAAGGTGGCAAATGAATATTTGTTAAACAAAGCAGAATATTCCAATACAATTGGCAGGAGTTCCACTAACTCAGCAGCTGGTCTTGTGGACATCTGCCAAATTATTCTGCTGAAAAAAAACCATTTCTATAGAAATAATGTATTTAAATCCCTTGAGCCACTATAAAGCAATTATTTCCCTTCTGGTACCCATAACAAAATATTAAAGAAGGATACATACTTATTCTTATTTTTGTAAGCAAACATAAAATTAGAAAAAAATCCCATAGGATTCTATAGTTAATGTAACATTCAAAGGTGACCCCTCAAAGTACTCCTATTAGACCCCTGTGAACAAATAAAATCATGCACAGTTATACATGTAAGCCTAACTTTGAGAATCGAGAATATGAAAAAAGTATTTTTGGAGACTAAATTATACATAAAACAACCAGAAAGAGCCTAAAGTTCTTATTGACAAAAAAATAATAATGTAACAGCTAAACTGTGCAAGTATGAAACAAAATGGGAGCCATCTTACAGGAATAGACATTAAACTCTCCAAAAGATGACTTCTGGATTGTAAGAAAAATACACCCTCCATTGGTCTGATCATCACATGTAAACACCTACATTTATTAGACAGATCATCACATGTAAAACAGGTCAGATCATCACATGAAGAACACCTACATTTATTGGACAGATCATCCCATGTAGACAGATAATCCCATGTAGATCACCTATATTTATTGGACAGATCATCCCATGTAGATCACCTATATTTATTGGACAGATCATCCCATGTAGATCACCTATATTTATTGGACAGATCATCCCATGTAGATCACCTACATTTATTGGACAAATCATCACATGTAAATCACCTACACTTATTGGTCAAATCATCACATGTAGAACAACTACATTTATTGGACAGATCATCACATGTAGAACACCTACATTTATTGGACAGATCATCACATGTAGAACACCTACATTTATTGGACAGATCATCCCATGTAGATCACCTATATTTATTGGACAGATCATCCCATGTAGATCACCTACATTTATTGGACAAATCATCACATGTAAATCACCTACATTTATTGGACAAATCATCACATGTAAATCACCTACATTTATTGGTCAAATCATCACATGTAGAACACCTACATTTATTGGACAGATCATCACATGTAGAACACCTACATTTATTGGACAGATCATCACATGTAGAAAACCTACATTTATTGGTCAGATCATCACATTTAAAACACTTACATTTATTGGTAAGATCATCCAGTGCCACATCACAATTTTCTGAGCAATCAGCATACAAGAATGATTTTGAGTTAGGTGCTAGTCTCCAAAACCAATATTTATCTGAAAGTATATATAATTTTTTTCCGAAAAAAATTAATACATGAAATTTATTTGTATGAGTCTATAAAAATCAGGACCAGGCTTGCCGATTTCCTTTAATTATGAATAAATTTTATATTTCCTACAATGTTTATGTATTGATTTTATCCTGCAATTTACCACTGGTACTTTTTAACATTTAGTTTTTAAATTGCAAATAGTTGTCTCTGATTTGAATAGAAATTGACATGGCTAAAAAGCAGACAGCAAAGAGGACTCTAAAATGAACTGTTACCAAAAAAGATATATTTAAAACATTTCCATTCTCAAATTGAAAGCAGGATAACAGGAGACTTTATTTGTACCAAAAAAAATTATTTGCAGTCTGGTGTATCCGCCCACCTGACTTTTGGCTTCACTTTGGTAAATTCATAAAACCAATAATCTGATAAATATTGTATGAACAAATTCATGAAATACTTTAATTTCATGAAATCTTCTTAATGTATGATTTCAACCTTAAGATTTTGTGTTGTGTGTGTCCAAAAATAGGGAAACCCTTATTTTGACATTTTTTCAAATGTCATGTGATTTCCCGCATGCCATCTAAAAATAGTTAATTTTGAATAAAGGAAAGATTTTATAATACGAAATACTGTTCAGTTTGAACCAAACAGACTGCTAAGGATGCGGAGCGCGCAAAAATCATTTTGTTTTGATAAAATTTGCCTCAAAATGAAACCAATTTTATTTGATGATGTCATAATTTTTATGGACAATGACTAAATATAGTTAATCATGGCTTTGCAAAAATAAATTTATGCTTGAACTTATTAATTAATTTTAATCTTTCCTGTCCTTTCGGAAGACTAAAACAATTACAAGAACGATTTTATATTATTTTAAATTGCGGATATGACGAAATCAGATAATGTGAGGTATCACTGGCCACATGAACACAAGGGATTCCACTGTACCTGTTATTTGAACAATAGTTGGCTGATTGCAGGATAAAAATAAATACCATAATCTAATAAGGAACTAGAGGCTCTGTGTCGCTCATGCATCTTCAATTATTGCCACTTTTTTGTAAAAATCATCATTAAAGGGGAATAACAGTAACAGAGAGTTAACTGACAATTTAAGCCATGTTAATGTTTTAGTAGATATTATCCTGCTGATCACTTTTCTTTTTTAAAGTTTCTATTTTTCTATTATAGTTTTCAAAATATTAGACAAAAACACCAAAACAAATGGTAACAAGAGTGCACACGCTGAAATGTCTCGCCTTCTTTACTAATCATTGATATTATGTTGATAGTCCTAAATATAAAGCTTTACTACAACTATCACATACACTTAACATGATCCAAGAAAATGAGGTCAAGGTCATATAAACCAAACAAGAAATACATGTACACCTTACAATCAATCAATACACTAAATATAGTTGACCTATTGTTTATAGTTTCTAAGATACAGACTTAACCAAGAAAACTAAACATTGACCAATGAACCAAGAAAATGAGGTCAAGGTCAGATGAACAATGCCAGGCAGACATGTACTACAGCTTGCAATCCTTCCATACAACAAATATAGTTGACCTATTGCTTATAGTATTAGAAACACAGACCAAAACACAAAAACTTAACACTGAGCAATGAACCGTGAAAATGAGGTCAAGGTCAAATAAAACCTGCAAGACTGACAGGAAAATCATAAAATATTTCCATACACCAAATATAGATGACCTATTGCATAAAGTATTAGAAAAAAAGACCAAAACTCAAAAACTTAACTTTGACCACTGAACCATGAAAATGAGGTCAAGGTCAGAAGACACCTGCCCGCTAGACATGTACACCTTACAATCATTCCATACACCAAATATAGTAGACCTATGGCATACAGTATAAGAAAAACAGACCAAAACACAAAAACTTAACTATAACCACTGAACCATGAAAATGAGGTCAAGGTCAGATGACACTTGCCAGTTGGACATGTACACCTTACAGTCCTTCCATACACCGAATATACTAGACCTATTGCTTATAGAATCTGAGATATGGACCTGACCACCAAAACTTAACCTTGTTCATTGATCCATGAAATGACGTCGAGGTCAAGTGAAAACTGTGTGACGGGCATGAGGACCTTGCAAGGTACGCACATACCAAATATAGTTGACCTATTGCATATAGTATTAGAAAAATAGACCAAAACTCAAAAACTTAACTTTGACCACTGAACCATGAAAATGAGGTCAAGGTCAGATGACACCTGCCCGCTAGACATGTACACCTTACAATCATTCCATACACCAAATATAGTAAACCTATGGCATACAGTATAAGAAAAACAGACCAAAACACAAAAACTTAACTATAACCACTGAACCATGAAAATGAGGTCAAGGTCAGATGACACCTGCCAGTTGGACATGTACACCTTACAGTCCTTCCATACACAGAATATACTAGACCTATTGCTTATAGTATCTGAGATATGGACTTGACCACCAAAACTTAACCTTGTTCACTGATCCATGAAATGACGTCGAGGTCAAGTGAAAACTGTGTGACGGGCATGAGGACCTTGCAAGGTACGCACATACCAAATATAGTTATCCTATTACTTATAATAAGAGAGAATCTAACATTACAAAAAATCTTAACTTTTTTTTCAAGCAGTCATTGAACCATGAAAATGAGGTCAAGGACATTGGACATGTGACTGACGGAAACTTCGTAACATGAGGCATCCATATACAAAGTATGAAGCATCCAGACCTTCCACTTTCTAAAATATAAAGCTTTTAAGAAGTTAGCTAACGCCGCCGCCACCGCCGCCGGATCACTATCCCTATGTCGGGCTTTCTGCGACAAAAGTCGCAGGCTCGACAAAAATTATCATTAAAGGGCAATAACTCCAATAATGAGTCAACTGAAGATTTCTACCATGATGGCTTATTTGTAGATCTTGCCTTGCTGATCATTTTAGCTATTTAAAGTTTATATCTGTCTTTTATAATTTACGAAATAATGGGCAAAAATAAAAAATCAAAGCGTTATAGCGCTAGAAAAAGCATTTGCCATATATCTTAAAAATGTAAAAATCTAGATCATTTCGTTTAAACTGTTTCCATACGAAATACCGTGCATCGTAAACCAGTCCGGTAATGATATATCTTAATACCACAAATTACCACGTGGAAATAAACAAGACTTGTTGCAGATCCGCAAACACAGTAAGGTTTACCAATATGACACTCCAATTAAATTAACAAAAGTATTTTGATATTTTGATATTTAAACAAGCAAGAGAGCCACTATTTATTCTTTTAAACAGCAAAATTTAATTCGTAAAAAATAAAATTAACCATGTTGGTACACTTTAAACTGGTAATAAGACAGATCGAGATTAGCCAATAGAGGGCGCTGAATTTCACTGTATCACTGCATTTGATAATGAAGCCTGTTACGTAACCTTTTGCGGATCAACATTTCTAAGTAAAGGGGTTAACTATTAAACTTCCATTTAAATATTGCATTTAAGGAATGCTTAATCAAATTAAGTTAATATTCAATACAAAAATCAAGCAAACACATACTTTTACTAAATCTTGAAAGAACTATAGATTGAAAAACATGTGCACTCTATTTTGACGATAAACAAAATAGCCATGCACGATGGCAGTAAAAGCAAATGCTTTTAAAAATGGTAAAATTCATCGTTTAAGGGCAATTACTGTTGTAAGAAGTTGTCTGACAGTTTTGATGTCATAAGACATCAGATAATTCTCATCATTCTGAACATTTTTGCCCCGTCAAATTTCCTCTATCTTTAACGATTTTCAAGATAATAGCCAAACATTGCATTTTACCCCTATGTTCTATTTTTAGCCATTCCGGCCATTGGTAGGAGGGCCGGGTCATCAGACACATTTCTTAAACTTGCTACCCCAATGATGATTGTGGCCAAGATTAGTTCCAATTGGCCCAGTAGTTTCAGAGGAGAAGATTTTTGTAAAAGTTAAAGTATGCCAAGTGATGAGAAAAGCTCACTTGGTCCTTTGGTCCAGGTGAGCTAAAAAATACATTGAACTAATGTAAAATAAATATGTTCATCAAATGCAAACTGAATACCTTCATCTAATGTATAAAAATTACCTTCATCTAATTAAAAATAAACACCTTCATCTAATCTAAATAAATACCTTCATATAATGTATAATAAATACTTTCATCTTATGTAAATAAATACCTTCATCTAATGTAAATAAATACTTTCATCTTATGTAAATAAATACCCTCATCTAATGTTTGATAAATACCTTTATCTGATGTGAAATAGAAAACTTCATTTAAAGGAAAGTAAATAAAATCAATTCTTACCTCTGATTTTTCCTTTGTAGTTAAATTTTTGAAAATTTGTTCCTTCCATGAGAAAATTAATTCTTTGCTGTTTTATCAAGTTTAACATGTCTGGTGTAATGTGTTGTCTAAGTTCACTGAAATAGGATGCTATCACATTAAACAACACATATGGAAAGATTTGTAATGCTATTTAAAAATATGTTAAAAATTTAGAAATTTGTATGTTTAATGTTTCTAATACATAATGCCAAAAAAATGTGTCTGGGTACAGATAGAGTTCTTTAAACCCTTTACTTTTATTTTCATAATGTAATTTTTAAAAGACAAATTTTCCGGGGTTGTATTGAATAATTTGGCAGTTCAGCAAACTATAGAAAACTTGTTATAAACTAGATGTGTCGGAATGACACGAATGGCCAGCTTGCAAACAAAAACTTGAAGCCATTTTTAGGAGTGAAAAATTGAGAATGAAAGTCTCTATAACTGTTATTTTCACAAAATGTTCAAAGTCCAAAGCCAGTAACTTTGGCACAAATCAGCAGAGCAGAACTAAACTTAAACTCAATCTTTAACTCATTACCATTTGACTCACATGCTAAAAATCAGCTGAATATGTGAAGGCATTAGATAATAAAATGCTTCGCCAATCGCAGCCTGATACGACCGCAGAGGTTGAACCCTGAACAGTTGTCATCAACGTTTTTTCATGATTTACTCCTTAAAAATGGAATTTAGAATTAAATTATAAGGAATGACTGTGATATTTTTTCTGTATATTGGAAATAACCTCAAAAATGTGTAGCACACTTTTAAATAATGATGAACTACTTAGACCACAGAGGATGCACCCAGAATAATAGTTTTAGAACTAACATAATAGGTTTAGCCTGAGATTCCCAGTCCTCCTTTTTCTGTCGATCTTCTGCCCAGAGTTTCAGGATGTCTTGGTAAGTAAGTGTCTGAAGACGGGTTTTTAACACTTCAAATGACCTGGGTTGTACTTGTAATGCTCTAGTTATTTGTTCTTTTACTACACTAAGTACCTGTAAAGAAAAAAATATATCAACAATGGATGACATAGGTAAGCAATTTGAAAGCTGGTGCCGATCCAGGATTTTGAATAGGGGGAGGGGGAGGGGGAGGGGCCCTCACAAGACAATGTAAGGGTTGGGACTGAAAAATTTCTAAGAATTAACGATATATGTAGCTCCAAAAGGGGGATCCTAGCCCCATGTACTCCCCCAACAACCTAAATCTGTCTCTGGAAAGGTAGTATAATGGTAATAACTCAAGTACAAAATGTATTAGGTATGAACATCTGTTTAAATGCTAGTAAAAGGTTATATTTATTGATTTCTGACAAAATTAGGGAAAAGTGCATTCTCCCATGAGGTATAAGCTTAAACAGACAAAAGTTCCAGTAAACATATAGGTAAGGGAAAAATGGGCAACAAACTCAAAAGGTGGGGTTGCTATATCTATGGTTAGCAATTTGAAAGGTCATATCAATGGTAATGACAAAAATTATTTATTGAATTCTAACAATTTTTTTCTTTTACAATATAGAAAATGTGTTTCAAAAAGTATAAGGAAAAATGAAGATCGGTTGAGAGCTTGTTTTAGAAATACATGTACAAACATTTGAAATATGGGCCTTCTTTTACTTTAAGGGTCCCTATACTTTAGAGTTAGGGTTCATTCGTGGTAATGGTTAGGTTAGGGGATGTTCTAGGTTAGGGTTAGGTTTTAGGGTTAGAGCTAGTGTAAGGTTAAGGTATGGTTTAGGGTAAGGTTTAGGGTTAAGGATAGTTGAGTATAGCTCTATATGGGTTGGGACCCCTAAAGTAAATTAAGGCTGAAATATGTTTACTTATGCAGAGTTAAATTTAAAATTTCATCTGTTACTGAAGCAATTGAATGGCTTAGATATTATTATAGGATTGGCATGGCCTCTATGAGTTTATTAACTATTCTATTGAAACAATTATGATTTACCATATATTTATGAGTAATTACAAAATTATTTTTTTAGACATCTTTATTTGTAGATGAGACTTGAGAATGATATGAAAATAAAAATATATATTACAACCAAAAAAAACGTTTGAAAAACCAGAATTTTTGGTGAAAAAAAAATGCCTCTAAATTTTTTATATGCCATATATGGGAAGAAATGACTGTTTCTTGGAAATAAAGTGGATAGATTGATTGATTGATTCATGTTTGCTTAATGTTTAGTGGCAAATCATAGTAGAAATATAAAGTGTATTTGTATGATTTTAAAAAATATATAAAAATCAAAAGATTGCAAAACTTTTTTTCATTTAATTGCTTACAAAAAAGCCAAAAAGAATACAAAATGTTAAGGAAAAGTAATGAACATCATTAGAACAACATTAATTCACTTTCATAAATATATAAACTTGATCAAACATTTCCTACCTTAGGAAAATCTTCCTCCGAGGCTCTCATTTCTCTCCATGTTTTATTAAGAAGCTGTATACATATACAAAATAATTTCTCAAATGGTTTGTCATCATTGAAAAACATTGGGTAATAGGTTTTCCCATCGTCAGAAGCTGTAAAATGAAAAGTGTCAAATATTTCACTGTTAGATTCAAGGCCTGTTCTGATTAAAAAAATATTGTACCCAGGGAAGGCACTTTGAAAATGGGATAACAACTTAAAAAGACATTAGAATTTCACTTAATTTTCTTTGTACTTGACACCCATTCATAGTATAGATTTCAAAGTGCCTTCCCTGGGTGGGTCTCATGTATGTTTTTATGGAACAGCTCTAGCAAGATATTGCAAACCAAGTCATGCAAAGTCTACCCTACTAATTAATAGAAATTACAAAAATTCCATGCTCCGCGTCATGTTAAAAGCTTATAGTTGTTAACATTCTCATCCTTTCTTCTCTAATGGATAGTTGATCTTGTTGGGAATCATACATTTCCTTATATCTATGTTATAAACATTCCAGTATTGCCAAGCAGGAATTGAATGCCCAGATCTACAATCTCTTATAGGGTAACATTATAAACATTCCAGTATTGCCAAGCAGGAATTGAATGCCCAGATCTACAATCTCTTATAGGGTAACATTATAAACATTCCAGTATTGCCAAGCAGGAATTGAATGCCCAGATCTACAATCTCTTATAGGGTAACATTATAAACATTCCAGTATTGCCAAGCAGGAATTGAATGCCCAGATCTACAATCTCTTATAGGGTAACATTATAAACATTCCAGTATTGCCAAGCAGGAATTGAATGCCCAGATCTAAAATCACTTATAGGGTAACATTATAAACATTCCAGTATTGCCAAGCAGGAATTGAATGCCCAGATCTAAAATCACTTATAGGGTAACATTATAAACTTTCTTTTTAAATATTAAATCATTCTTCAATACAAGATGAGTGAAATGTAACAGAAGTCAAAAATAAGGTTGTGTTATCTAAAAACACCTAGAACTACACATTAATTGAAAGAAAACATTTTTTATTTCAAGGGTTCAAAATACTAGGATACTTGGAGGGAACTTCCAGAAACCATTTTTTGCAAAACTTTTAAAATTTTGGTAACAGTGACCTTGACCTTAGACCTATAAATCTCAAAACTCATACTCTTATTCCACTTTTCTATATCTTCAATGTGTATAAATTTCATATCAATGAAGCAAGGGATACTCAAGTTATCTTCCGCAAAACCATTTGTTTGGGACAAACGGACGGAAAAGTGATTACTACTGTGAAAGTACTTTTATTGGTCGGTATCAAATTTCGTGGTTCGACCAAAAGTAACATGTTCGTGGATTCTTCAATTCATGGATTTTAGTTTTCTGAAGAAGAAAAAATTGAGTGAGGAATTTGAAGCTATCAGAAACGAAGATTCTTGAAAATAATCATATGTTGTTTAATGATGATTTGTTGGACATTGCAAAATAAGGTGTTCATTTTCACTTATTTTGTCTTTCATTGCGAACAACATTCTTCTAATATTTTCAAAATAAAATAATTGCTTTCGTATATAAGCTGATTCATCTATGCTTACAAATTGTCTCGAATGAAGGAAATTGCAAAGTAAAAATTTTAATTATTGCACACACGTAATCAGGAGTAATGACACTAATTAACCCCAGATCGAATGATCAACAGATTAACGATCACCAAAGATGTTAATTGGGCCATAAACATGTCACTTAAAGCAAACGGTTACATAAAAAAATGCTACAAATGTACTTTGAAATGTAGAATTAATTCTAAATGAAATAAAAAAGCAAGCCCCTATGTCTTTTTTTTTTTGGTATGAGAATTATGAGGAGATAAAATGAACACTTCATCTTCGTATATCATCACCAGAAGTCTGACTTTCATCAATCAAAACTTATTTTTCATGACAATTAAAAAGTTAAAAGTCCTACAATTTAGGTTTATAAAGATCAAATGGGTAAAATCAGGTCTGAGGTTGTATATATAGTTCATAGCATGTTTGCTTATATTCGATGCATTCTCTAGATATGACGTATCAATGTAGTCAAACCTACATGGTGATCTTTCCATCTCTTTATTTGGACAACAGTTGTTATATTTCGTTGGACACTTAAATTCGTGGATAAAGCCATCCACGAAAACCACGAAAATTGATACCCCACGAATAAAAGTACTTTCACAGTAAATGCTCTCAAAATTTTTTAAAGCATAAAAATTAAATCATATGACTGCCATCTGTAAAACAGTCAGTCCCAACTCCTGTCTGTTACCACAAAAATCATAATTAGCATACTTACGTGGTTCTCCTATTTTGAGTATATTACACAGGACTCTAGTTAACATTATACTGGAACGTATAAACGGACAATCATGTTTATCTTCTCTACAAGAATTTTCTAGCACCACCTACAAATGAAATCATATTATACCTGTATTACAGAGTAAAGAGCTTTTTCTGGACTGATATTTAAAAAAAAAATATTTCACAATATACCTTCTCCCCATCTACCTTTTTCACCAATAAAATATAATTTTTCTACAAATGTGAGTTGGTGAAAATTGGTTCAATCTAAGAACTCACCCAAGTTATTCATATTTCTAACCTTGAAACAAAAAAACAGGATTAAAATTCGGTCATTTAACACAACAAACACTGTCAGTTACCTCCAGGTAATGTGTGTCATAAACCCTTCTTTTGGTTGAAATTCTCAAATTTAACCTTTTATCTACTAACAAATATTTTCGCTCAAAATAAAAAATTTTATGAATCATTTCCATCTATAAATTCATCCTAGATATTCATAATTGCAGCCTTCAGACAAAAAAAAATAGAAATCAGGCCAAATCTAGTCAAATCATCACATAAAAAAGTGTGACAAACAGAAAAAACATATAGCTCCCTCTCCCACAAAATCACAATATAGATGAATTATAAAAAAATTTGTTACAAGTAAATAACCCCTCAGAATGAACAATGGCTGCTTCCTTGTTAAAATTACTTTCAAATATGTGAATATAATTTAATTTTGGATGTAACACGTCTTCTGATTGGCTGACGTTGTTTTGTTTATCAGCTCATAGACATAATTCTGTCATGTGACCGTGACGTCATCAACGTTTTTTCATGGTTTACTCCGGTATAAAATGGAATTTAGAATTAAATTATAAGAAATGACTGTAATATTTTTTCTGTCTATTCGAAATAACATAAAAAATGTGGTGCACACTTTAAAATAACCCGCTATGCGAGTTATTCAGTGTGCACCACATTTTTGATGTTATTTCTTCATAGACAGAAAAAATATTACAGTCATTCCTTAAAGAACATAACATTGTTACCTTTATATAATTTTCTGACTGGTTTTGAGCAAAATAGTAAACATTGTCTAATGCAAGGATCCCAGGTGGAGTGTGCCTTACAAAATCCTGTGCTGGATGGGAGGAATCCTGTAAAACATATTATTTAGACATTACTCAATATTTCTGTAATAAATATATTGTATGATGTCTCTGCATAGATAAACTCATCAAAGATACTAGGATTAAAATGTTGCACACCAGATGTGGGTTTCATCTACAAAAGACTCATCAGTGACGCTTGAATCAAAAAAGTTAAAAATAAAGTGGGAAGTTTTGAGATCTATGTACTTATAATAAGAACCAGTTGAATTGTATCATTTACTAGTTCTATAACCACATAATCTGGAAACTCTATCTTTGTAATTTTGTTAAGAATCAAGAATTCTTAGAATTAAATTGTTTCATATGATGTGTGTAGTATACATGTAGTACTTGCCTTTTTGAAAATCAATGGGGTTGATTGAATGTTAAAAACACACTTACATGTTAAATGAAATTCTTCAATCAAAAACCTTGAAGATCATATTATACAACTCATCTACCCTGTACATGAATAGCCACTATATAATGCATGAATGTATTTTAAACTGATAATTTACTAAATAATCTGAATAGAATGCAGTTTTTTTTAAAAGTTCATTATAATTTACCTCAAATCCCAATTTCTTATATACATTAGACTTTCTATTTCCTAGTTGATTAGAATCTGCTTCTATATCCAGCACAGGTTTTCTCAGGGTTTCAATAATTCCTGTTACAGACTGGAATAAATTTACACATACATTAATATAGTATAATATAAGCTGTTAGCATTATCTATTCAGTTCTCTTCCCTCTTGTCATATTCATAAGATTTCAAAAAAATATTCATACATAACTAGGGAAATCATTGGATTATTTTGTTGGTACTTTTTTCTGTTGGGCTAAATTTGAGATTTCCTGAATTCAGCTATTGCTGTGTTTCGTTAAATTTTTCACATTTGCCTAAGGGGATTTAAGCTTAAACTTTCAAACAACCATCTTTGATGTTTAACTCTGTCATGCTTTTTTTATAAACCTTTAGTTTTACCTGTAAATTAGTAATGTGAAACTGTGATTTAATTGGAAAAAAAGTGCTACAAGCCATGAAGATTAAAATTTCTGAAACCTTGTCAAAACTACTTTTTCCTACTTAATATTTTCACTATAGTCTGCACCCCTTCCAGCTCCAAAAACCTTTTTGATGTTTGACTGTGTCATGCCTTCTACTTGCTTTTATATAAACCTGTAGATTTACCTGTGAATTAGGATCAGCCGGTGTCATCATTTTTTCCTCATACATATTTAGTAACAATGTCTGTAGTTTATACAACTGATGAGCCATCTCTGATCCAAGTTTACCTCCAAACACTGACTGAAAAATGTTGGTTAGAAAAGAAATTAACTATGAGTTACTTTTTCGGGGAAGAAGGGGGGTCAAATAATAAAGCTATTAACTTTTCGATTTAAACTCCTTTTTTAAACAAAAGATATACAAACAAAAGGTGACCTGTGTAAATGAATTTTTCAAAGAATATCTAGAAATGATAAATACTATATATTAGATCTATATAAATGTTTGATCTCAGTGAACATGGTGAAGAAAAGTCATCTTGGGAAATGGTGTCATACTGTATTTTGACCTTACTTTAAAATTTATCCAATATTCAATTTTCCATAAGATGACCTGTAAGGGGATGTAAAATACCATATGACAGTGGTGACCAACCTTGATATGACTCAGGGTTAATAAAAACATTCATAGTTTTCCTTTTTCTATTTCAGCAGAAATCTGGTATGGAAACAGGAGTACATAAAATAATTTCAAAGAACCAATTAAGAAATGTTTAACAAAAAAGCTAATTGAACATAAAATATAATATACATACAGACATCAACACATTTCTAAAAGCTCTGCTCTGCACACTGTCTGCTAATTTCTGCAATAATACAAAATAATTACTTTCTTTCTGTTAAGGAGTGTATCAACAATATACATATTAAAACCAATACAAACTTTTGCAGGATTAAAAACTGTCAATTGAATTATACACTGTATCAGATGATGATGATGGATGGCTGCTTAACTTCCAGCGGCAAATTAATATGCATATTCAGCACAACACTGTACGGTAAGGCTACATTAGTTGGAAGAAAAATTTTGATGGTAAATATTCAAGAAAAGTGATCTAAACATATCAAGGACTGTGTATGTGATTTTCATTTGGACGCAAATACTTATGATGGACCACTTTAAATATATATGTTGCATATACCATATGAGTATTTGGACCATATGTGTAAGAACACAGGGACAGCACTTATAAAGTACTGCTATTTTAAAATCATATAAATAGGAGCATGCACAAATTAAATATCTAAAAAAAAAATTGAAATGTTAAAGAAATTCTAATTTACTCAAAAATCAAATTTAAACACCAAAATAAAGAGAGAAAAAAAACTGAGAAAGGGGTTCAATGCCCCAAGTACATATGGGTAAAACAGTCAGTGACTTCTTGTTGAACATACAAGTATGGTCCAAATATTCATATAGTTGGGGAAATATACACCTTCCATAGGTGTGAACTTTAACAATTAAATAAGAAAGCAATGAAATTTGATTGTTAAAATTAATTAATGAGTACTTGAAAATAGCTCACTATTAAAGGTGAAAATTACATGGTAGATTTTTATAATGGAAATGTTTAGCTTATTTTGTATTACCACCTAATTTAATTTTGTAGGTTATATTCTTTCTTTTTGCACTATAAATATGGACAGTTCTTTCACTTATCTCATTATCTTGTCATTATAATGTCAAAATTTCCTCTACAGATAGAAAGTTGGGATTTTTAGACACAGGCTGATTTAGAGCTCGAAATCAAGTATAAACACCTGTAATACAATACATGAGTACATGAGGCTGTATTTTGTGCTTTAGGTGTCTTTTGTTATTGGGTTGCTGTCCTATTGACATAAACCCCACATCTCCTTTAATCCATTTTTAGTATTATTTAGGTCATACATGTACTCACCTTTCTCTTCTCTGGTCCAGCCTTTATGAACAATGCATTCAGCAAAGCTATAGCATTCTTCTGTACATCATTACTGCAAACAAAATAGTAGTAGATATTCTCTATTCCATAGCATAGCTCAATTACTTTGATTAATAATGTTTATATATACTCTTAATACATAATTTTATTATTACTTAAATCATTATGCAAAACAAAATGCTAAGTTTTTTGTAAAATATTTACTCCTTCAATGTAAGGGCTTTATTCTATTCATGATTAATAATGTTTATAGATACTCTTAATACATAATTTTACTAAAATCATTATGCAAAACAAAATGCTTTTGCAAAAAAATATTAAACGCTTTCAATAAAAGGGCTTTATTCTATTCATTTGTCGTCGTGTTTGATTTTTTTCACCCTACACTTATTTTTAAGAATTTCAACTTGTATTAGTTTAGAATTAAAAAAAAAAACTTTTTAATGATTTAAAACGGCTAATAAATCCATTTCATGAAATTTCCTATTAAAATTATCATAAAACAATTACTATTCTCATAACATTACAACGTGTAATAGATAAACAGAATTTAAATTTGCCTCTTTGAAATTGGTTTATTTGGCAAAAATTCACTGGGGTAAGATCAGATTTAACTAGTCCCAGTCAAGTAAGCTTTTGTTACCAGTTCCATGATTTGAATTACCATGATTACCAACAATGATAACTTTTACTCCTAAATTATATAGTAAATAGAGCTAATACTAATTTCATGGTTTACAAAACAAACAAGCAAACAGAACTTTGGTGTACTTGGTAAACACTCAAATAGTTAACTGTAACAAAACTGTGATCAAAATTTCAAAATAAATCTCTGTAATATAACTGAATGACATTAATATGTCAAAACATCCAACATGTAACTCAACCTTTGCTTACACACATAAAGCTCTCAATTATATTTTTGCTACATTTTCTACTCCAAGCTTTAGCAATAAGAAAATGCACTGATTTAAAGAGAAGAAGACAGCATATTTTACTAATGTGAAGCTTACAGAATTTCACCTTTCTTATTTCAAAACTTTACAAATATTAAAATGGCTTGTATATTGTACTAAAAATTATTTTACATATGTGAATCTTGAGGCAGTAGATGTGAAATTGCCTGATTTTTTTTTATCATTCAGTTGAAAATTAACAACTTCAATTAAAGTAGTTTGGGGATAAATTTATTACATTTCTATAGTTTATGTATCAAGTCTTCTGCTAGGAAACTTAAGTCCAACTGAAAACTTGCAAATCTCTAGAGCATGCAAGTTGTTTCCCTTGTTATATATTATACTCAGATTTGTATTCCCTTAATATTATTATAGTTCTTTCAAATTGTACGTGTGGAAGCCGGGAGGGTACTTTTTCTAGTAATTTGAAGACACAAAAATTAAAAGTAAATTCATACATTTACATTATACTGTTAAGAAGCATCTATGTCAATTTTACCAGAATAGAAACTAGAACATAACAATAGACCTTTCACAATAATATGAAAGCATGCTTGTAAGGTGACTGAGATGGCAAAATGAAACATTTTCCTGTAAAACCTGAGTTATTTAGCTCTTTGCCATCTATAGTAGTTTTATACACAATCCCTTTCCCTAAAAATATGTTTCATTAGAAGAAGGATAACCATCAGTTAAAATCATGCTAAATCAAGTCTGAAAATAGCACAGTTTAATCAGTATTCAATGGTCATTGAAATGTATAAAAAGTATTTAAACATAACATTTGCTGAGGCTGCAAGTTTTCAACATGGATAAAAAAATATACAATTCAAAGCCGAAATATCTTCTTTTTTTTTATTCTTTAATGTTTTCTTTAACATTAACTGTCATTTATCATTCCACTACTGAATATGCATTTTAATATTATGTCATATTTAGATGTAGAACAGCAATAAAAGTTCTGTATAATCATCCTTTGAAACTTCATTTATTTCAGTAACATTTACCAAACAAGAATGTGTCCATAGTACACGGATGCCACACTCGCACTATCTTTTTCTATGTTTAGTGGACCGTGAAATTGGGGTCAAAACTCTAATTTGGCATTAAAATTAGAAAGATCATATCATAGGGAACATGTGTACTAAGTTTCAAGTTGATTGGACTTCAACTTCATCAAAAACTACCTTGACCAAAAACTTTAACCTGAAGCGGGTCAGACGAACGAATGAACAAACAGACAGACGAACGGATGGACGGACGGACGGACGAACGAACGGACGCACAGACCGAAAAACATAATGTCCATAAATGGGGCATAAGAATACCTCCAACCAGACTATGTTGAAAATCAAAAAGATAAATGTACGACATATGCATGTAAAAATAGAGAAACTGCATCAAATGAAAGTACAGGCAAATTCAATACACATTCTGCTTCAAAATGTATAGAATCTGATGCATTATATCAACTGCATATAGTATTTTATACACATAAACAATACATTTATATACAACAAGTTCAAATTATCAAATAATTGGTAAACAAAGAAATAATTCAACTGAATTTTTCTCAATGGGATAATCTATGTGTTGTGCAAAAGGAGTACAAAAAAGTAATATGAAATGAGTGTGTTTAACCTAGAAGAACATAAAATAATGTGTAAAGAATTAGTTTGCAGATATAAATATCATTCTTTTTGAGTCTTAATTTGTATCTATTTTGGGGTCATTTGTAACTTTAAACGGTAAAGTTGGAAATTTTCTATAATATCACGATTAAGATAAATCAGGAATTATTCGTTGGCATAAATTTGATCTTAAAGAAAGACCAAAATCAAATCAAGAAAAATGAGAATTAAACCTCACAAACAGGTTTGGCCATTGCTAATGTGAGTTTATACTCTGCAAAAAAAAACCACACTATACAGTAATCATTGATTTTTAAAGAATATCTAGATAGTGTTGTACTCTAGAACTGATAAAACAAAGTCTTATTATATACTCTTTCATTAACAATCTATATATAAATAGAAATTGTATTCTTGGCTGAAAAATGCTATGTGCCTTTAAAATTGTATTTTTTTTCAACAGTATGAAAAAAATGCACACTCTTATTTACACTAAATTTATATTACAAGCCTTGCTTTTATATGTGTTGAAATTGAGATATTGATGAAGAGCTTTAAATTTACATTGACTATATAACAATAACTCATAAAATATCTCAAGTAACGTTGGCTACAAAAATAATTCCAAAAGGAAACATGATAAACCCTAATGCTAGCAAGAATTGGCTTTTAATTTTAATGTTTGCAAAGAATTGACAGAACTGGCAACACTACTAAAGAATACAAACACTATTCAGTCTAGATCACATTTTAATACATAAAATAACTTAAAATTGTTATCAATGAGAGTAATCTTTCAATCAGATTATTTCATAACATTTTAACTGAAACATTAAACTAGAGGCTCTCAAGAGCCTGTGTCGCTCACCTGTATTTACTGATGCTTTGGAAATCATGTAAAATAAGGTTAAAATCATAATTAATAGTATTAGATATTAGATATTATAATGATATCTAAGATAATAACAAAAAACTTCAAAATTTTTGTAAAATTACTAACTCAGGGGCAACCTGATGAACATTTTTACCCCCTGTCAGATTTGCTCTAAATGCTTTAGTTTCAGAGATATAAGCCAATAAAATGCTCCGCAGGGCGCAGCTTGATACGACCGCAGAGGTCGAACCCTGAACAGTTGGGGCAAGTATGGACACAACATTCAAGCTTGATACAGCTTTGCATTTGGATTGTGATTAAATATTTGACACAGCATAGGTTTCTGACACAGAATGAATGTGGTCTAAGAACTTAAAAATTTTAAATTGGACATTCACCTATTATGGTCCAATATCCAAAATCTAAATACATGGTTAGATTCAGCATATCAAAGAACCCCAAGAATTCAATTTTTGATGAAATCAAACAAAGTTTAATTTTGGACCCTTTTGACCTCAATGTGGACAAAGTTGATAACGCGGCCCAAAAATCAAAAATATAAATACATGGTTAGATTCAGCATATCAAAGAACCCCATATATTCAATTTTTGTTGATATCAAACAAAGTTAAATTTTGGACCCCGATTTGGACCAACTTGAAAACTGGGCCCATAATCAAAAATCTAAATACATGTTTAGATTCAGCATATCAAAGAACCCTAAGAATTCGATTTTTGTTAAAATCAAACTAAGTCTAATTTTGGACCCTTTGGACCTTAATGTAGACCAATTTGAAAACGGAACCAAAAATTAAGAATCTAAATGCATGGTTAGATTCGGCATATCAAAGAACCCCAATAATTCAATTTTTGATGAAATCAAACAAAGTTTAATTTTGGACCCTTTGGACCTCAATGTGGACCAATTTAAAAACGGGGCCCAAAATCCAAATACTAAATACACGGTTAGATTCAGCATATTAAAGAAACCCAAGAATTCAAGAATAAAACCCCATTGAAATTGGTCAAGAAATAAGCAATTTATACGAAGTATCTTCTTTTGCACAATACTGTGCAATTAAATATTTCTTGCTATTGCGCAATACTGTACAATTGACAATTTCTTGCTATTGCGCAATATTGTGCTATTGGATATTTCTTGCTATTGCGCAATACTGTGCAATTGAAGATTTCTTGCTATTGCGCAATACTGTGCAATTGAAGATTTCTTGCTATTGTGCAATACTGCGCAATTGAAAATTTCTTGCTATTGCACAATACTTATTATATAATAATTTACACATCCTGTTTGGTGTGTATATCCTACCATATCATTATTATTTGCTTTTAAATATAAATCAGAAATAACCAACTAAAAATGGAAAATTTTAAAAGAAAAAAAAAAGGGAAAAAAAAAAATCCCCCCCCGCCCCAAATTTTTTGAACCCCCTTATGATTCATCACCCCGAAACTCAATCCCAGCCTTCCCTTTGTGGAATGGTACCTTGCAGTACAATTTCAGAGAGATCCATACACTTGAACACAGGTTATTGTCTGGAAACTAGAAAAATGTGTTTTTTGGCCCCTTTTTGGCCCCAAATTTCTAAACATTTAGGGCAATTACCCCCAAACTCAAACCCAGCTTTCCCTTTGTGATATGGAACCTTGTAGTACAATTTCAGAAAGATCCATACACTTACACACAAGTTATTGTCCTGAAATTAGAAAAATGCTTGTTTTTTGCCCCTTTTTTGCCCCTAATTCCTAAAATATTGAGGCAATTACCCCCATCATCAATCCCAGCCTTCCCTTTGTGGTATGGTACCTTGCAGTACAATTTCAGAGAGATCCATATACTTGAACACAAGTTATTGTCTGGAAACTAGAAAAATGCTTATTTTTGGCCCCTTTTTGGCCCCCAATTCCTAAACCTTTCGGCAATTACCCCCAAACTCAATTCCAGCTTTCCCTTTGTGATATGGAACCTTGTAGTACAATTTCAGAAAGATCCATACACTTACACACAAGTTATTGCTATGAAACTAGAAAAATGCTTGTTTTTTGCCCCTTTTTTGGCCCCTAATTCCTAAAATTTTGAGGCAATTACCCCCAAAATCAATCCCAGCATTCCTTTTGAGATATGGAACCTTGTGGTACAATGTCAGAGAGATCCATACACTAACACACAAGTTATGTCTGGAAGTTACAAAAATGCTTATTTTTGGCCCCTTTTTGGCCCCTAATTCCTTTACTGTTGGTACCATAACCCCCAAAATCAATCCCAACCTTCCTTTTGTGGTATTGAACCTTGTGGTAAAATTTCATAGAGATCCATTCACTTAAACTAAAGTTAGAGTGCGAAAACCAATGTGTCTTCGGACGACGCCGGACGACGACGACGACGACGACGAGAACGACGACGACGACAACAACGTCATACCAATATATGACCACAAAAATTTTTTTGCGGTCGTATAAAAACTGCATTTTACCCCTATGTTCTATTTTTAACCAAGTCAGCCATGATGGTTGGAAGGCGGGGTCATCCGACAAATTTTTAAACTAGATACCCTAATAATGATTATGGCCAAGTATGGTTAAATTTGTCTCAGTAGTTTCATAGGAGAAGATTTTTGTAAAAGATTACAAAAATTTACAAAAAATTGTTAAAAATTGACTATTAAGGGCAATAACTCCTAAAGGGGTCAACTGACAATTTTGGTCATGACAACTTATTTGTAGATCTTACTCTGCTGAACATTATTGCTGTTTACAGTTTATCTCTATCTATAATAATATTCAAGATAATAACCAAAAACTGCAAAATTGCCTTAAAATTACCAATTCAGGGGCAGCAATCCAACAACAGGTAATCTGATTCATCTGAAAATTTCAGGGCAGATAGATCTTAACCTGATGAACATTTTCACCCCTGTCAGATTTGCTCTAAATGCTTTAGTTTCAGAGATATGCATTTTACCCCTATGTTCTATTTTTAGCCATGTCGGCCATCTTGGTTGGCAGGCGGGGTCATCGGACACATTTTTAAACTAGATACCCTAATGATGATTGTGGCCAAGTTTGGTTAAATTTGGCCTAGTGGTTTCAGAGGAGAAGATTTTTGTAAAAGTTAACGGACGACGACAACGGACGACGGACGCCAAGTGATGAGAAAAGCTCATAGGTGAGCTAAAAAGGTAAATTAAAAAAAAAAAAAAATGAATAAACTGAATAATCATTTTATACCATTTTAGTGGAAAAACCAGGGACTACTACTACTTACTCTAGAACAATAAACATGGAGCTCTTCTTTAGGAAAAGGATAAGAAAGTCAATATTTCATCTACTCCTATCTGTTTTTATGTGTTTTAAATAAAATTGTTATAAAAGATTACACAATTTATTTTGATTTGATCAAATCATATTTTTTATTTAGTAAATCTTTAATCAACGTGTTCTTGTGGTGAAGATGACATTCCCTAAAAAGTCAACTTCAAAGGGCGATAACATTCTTACCACTAAACTTACAACTGGCAGAAATAGTTTTATTTTCGGAGCATGTAAATAATGAATATGTCAAAAAAATTAATTGAGACAAAGTTCATGTGATCTAGACTGGTTTCTATACAGACCTTGGAGAACTTATTTTTTCTGGTTTTCTAACATCTAATTTCCTGTTACAATTATACAAAACTCTCATTTGTAATTAATTTGAAATGTATAAGAAAAGAGTACACTCGTCAGCTTTACTGATCATAATTAAATTTTATGCTGAAAGTATCATAAACACAATCAATAAAAGTGAGGTCAGGGATAGATGAACCCTGTCTGACAGACATGTTCACCCCACAATATCTTATCAACAATATATAGTTGACCTATTGTTTTTAGTATCTGAAAAACTTACCTTATCAGGAAAACTTAACATTAACAAATGATCAAAGAAAATGAGGTGAATGTTGGATGAACCTTGCCAGATGGACATTTACACTTTATAATCAATGAAGTTCACCTTATAACCATTCTATACACGAAATCTAGTTAACCCTATCACATTTGGTGCCTGTACCAAGTCAGCTTATCTGGACCACATTTTGTTAGCTGTTGTTTCTCTTTGTTTGGACATGTTGGGTTTTTTTTTTTTGCATAAATCTGGTGTTGGTTGTTGAATGTGGTTTGTTGTAGCGTCCAATACTTTTGGTGATTCCTTTTATCCTTTTTATGCACTACCATTTATAGTTGACCTTTTGCTTACAATATCTGAGAATCAAACCTACCGTATCAGTTTTGCTCATTGTTGAAGGCCGTACAGTTACCCATAGTTGCTTACCTCCTGGTAATTTTGATTGCTGGATAGTTGTCTCATTGGAAATCATACCACATCTCCTTAGTTTTATACTAATCAACACAAGAGTGCACACACTGAAATGTCTCGCCTTCTTTACTAACCATTGATTTTATGTTGATAGTCCTAAATACAAAGCTTTACTACAAGTAACACATAAAGTTAACATGATCCAAGAAAATGAGGTCAAGGTCAGATAAACCAAACAAGAAATACACGTAAACCTTACAATCATTCAATAAACCAAACATAGTTGACCTATTGCTTATTGTTTCTAAGAAACAGTCTTAAACAAGAAAACTTAACATTGACCAATGAACCATGAAAATGAGGTCAAGGTCAGATGAACCATGCCAGACAAACATATACACCTTACAATCCTTCCATACATCAAATATAGTTGATCTATTGCTTATAGTTGAAGAAAAAAAAGACCAAAACACAAAAACTTAACACTGAGAAATGAACCGTTAAAATGAGGTCAAGGTCAAATAAAACCTGTGAGACTGACATGTACATTATAAAATATTTCCATACACCATTTATAGTTGACCTATTGCATATAGTATTAGAAAAAAAGACCAAAACTCAAAAACTTAACTTTGACCACTGAACCATGAAAATGAGGTCAAGGTCAGATGACACCTACCAGTTGGACGTGTACACCTTACAATCATTCCATATATCAAATATAGTAGACCTACTGCTTATAGTATCTGATATATGGACTTGACCACGAAAACTTAACCTTGTTCACTGATCCATGAAATGAGGTCGAGGTCAAATGAAAACTGTCTGACGGGCATGAGGACCTTGCAAGGTACGCACATACTAAATATAGTTATCCTATTACTCATAGTAAGAAAGAAATTAACATTACAAAAAATGTTGACTTTTTTTCAAGTAGTCACTGAACAATGAAAATGAGGTCAAGGACATTGGACATATGACAGACGGAAACTTCGTAACATAAGGCATCTTTATACAAAGTATGAAGCATCCAGGTCTTCTAGCTTCTAAAATATAAAGCTTTTAAGAAGTTAGCTGCTGCCGCCGCCGCCAGATCACTATCCCTATGTCGAGCTTTCTGCAACAAAAGTCGCAGGCTCGACAAAAACCTAAAGTTGACCTGAATTAATCATAAAAAACTAGATCAATGTCAGGGTGAACCCCGTCTGACAGACAGTTCCCCCTCTCCTTACTGAATACTTCCTGATCTGTTTTCTGCACTTAAAGCATAACAATTGAAATGAAGTATGCATTGCATGCCTTCTTTTACCTGACAAAAGGCATTTCAACTTTAGACAGTCAGTGCAAAATCTAAGCAATTCATAAGTGATATAATTATGACAAAAATTTCAAATTACTATGGAGTTAACATTAAGTGCCAAAAACTAATAGTTAGCTTGGTGTGATTTTAAGACACTTCAATGCCTGTCAAAGCATTGTATTGTAGTGATTTCTTAAACACTATTCAAATACGAATGAAAACTAAGACGAAACATGAAAAAAAAAATGTCAATTCAAATATTCCTACAAAATGTAAAATGTTCAACACAATATATGCTAATACTGGATATGCATAGCCTAGCTGATTTCTATTCATTTTTTTATCTAGATATTCCTTACCCATGCACTGTGCCAGTCTATTTTTAGGCTAAACATTGTATCTGGGTATTTCTTATGCATGCACTTTGCCAGTCTATTTTTAGTCTACCTTTGTTGCAGATTATATGGGTACACATACTTTACTCTCAAAGCAATACCTCTTTGTCTCTATACCACACCAACATATGTTTTCTCAATGCAATCTATCGTCACCTGTCTATGATCTGACCTAGGACTTGAATATATGTGATATACAAGGGCTTTGACAGGCAATGCTAGTATTTTTTTACCCATGTTAGACAAGCTAACAGCCAGATAGAAATGTACAAACCTCTGTGCAAGAATAATTCTGAAACCATAAGGCTTACATATAAAAACCAAAAAAATGGAATAATATCGTACATCGGGAAATTTTCACGTGTCTTATTTTCCTGTTGGATATTTTACTGAGAAATTCACCTACAAGAATTTGAATGTGTTGTACAAGACCACAAAACCCAAATTATGAAGACAGTGAATATTTAACTGTCCCATCTAAAGCCCAAACCCCAAACTAAACATGTCGCGAAAATAACCCAACATACGCTACTTGATTATCTAAAATCATGCTGGAAAATAAATACAAGAATAAAATAATTATAGACAAACAAAAATTTAATATAAAAGCATTCAAGAAGCTTTGAAAAGATGTTTATTATATTAGAATAAAATAAAGATGCTTAAATTGAGGAAAGGAGGAATTTAAGGGAAAAATTAAAAATAAATGACATATTTGGGAAATAAAAAAAATAGCAATGTACAGTTAATGTAAACAAGTCAAATATATATATAAAAGTAAAACAACTAAATTAACAACACTTAAGTAAACTGGAACTTTTATTTGTCGACATATTTCGTCGATTAGAAGTAAAAGTGAAAATAAAATGATGTTTATCACTGAAAAAAAATCCTCAAATTTTTTACTTTTTCAGTATCAAAATGTAAACTTTTTACTGTGATTTATATGATTTCAAAAGTAAGAAATTTACCCCTTATATTTCTAAACTCCTTATAATTTTCAATACATCAAGTATATTTTCCATTTTATCTTCTGTTAAAGAACATCCATTTGAAATTCAATTAATTATGTAAGAAAAAATAAAAACAATTGTGTTTTGTCCTTTGGCCTTTAATAAAGCTGCTGAAAATATGACAGTAATTCCTGAAAGATTTATAATATTTATACATGTATGAACTTCCTCCTTATATCCATATAGTTCTAGCTTAATAAGTAAAAGAGGGAGGTATGAAAAGAACCTTTATTTGGCCTCTGGAATTGAAAAAATAGTTAAAATTTTCAAGTCTATCAAAATTATGTTAATTTTATTGATAATAAACAGTTTGATATATTAATCTGAACACTCAAGTGCAGAGAGGTCACCTTTGAAGATACTATGACATCATAACAGGTCTAAATTGTTAAATTCAACCTAAATTTACACAATTTTTTTTCATCAAAATATAAATATAAGCCAAGGCCTAAATGAAGGTGATATTTTACACATATTAGCATCTGTGTAAAATACATCTCTGGTAGCAAAATTTCTTTTTGGGTAAAATTTTTTGATGCAACAAAAAATACTTCCTTTTTTTTTCTGTTTCAGAATTACATCTTATCCAAAAAGATACTTTACACACATTAGCATATTTTTAAAATTAATCTTGCAGCAAAATATCCTTTTGGGTAAATACTTGGCTCATATCTATACATTAATGACAAGAACTCAAAATGGGGCTATTTTTGCTATTTTGTACTTTTAAAATATAAGAAGTCTGAACCCCAAAATTAAAATATGTAGGCCAACATTAAAAAATATTTATACTTATACCTGATAGACTAATGTCTTATCAACACCTGCAGGTTTTAATAATACTTTTGATTTTCAAATTCAGGGGTCCAAAAAAGTGGCCTTATCATACCTTCTCCTGTGCCTTTAACATAGTCTTTTCATGAAGTTTCTTTGTAATCAATGAAAAAGTTTTTAAAGGGTTTCTATAGGTGTAATGTATTTATGCCAACACCAGAAAAGATATTATATTATATGAGCTCATAAGTAAGCTATTAATTAAACCAGTCACTATCTGGTACATTACCTTTGTAAATGAGTCTGTATCCTTTCTGGAGTCATGTGCTGCTCTATCACTGGATGTTTTGTAAGGTCACTGCTGTAAAGTGTTATGAGATAAGTTTTGTATATTTTTCAATGACTAAAATCGTATTCATAAATATATTTTAAAAAGTTCATGAACTCACACAAGTAGTGAAGATAGTAAAAAAAACATAAAGTCAGAAATGCAGTAATATATTCATAATAATACAAAAACATTAAATAACCATTATTTCATTAAATATCCATATTTTAATATATTAAGGTGAAAAGATTTGCGCAAAAAAATATATACAAAAAAAAATATACAAACAATATGAAAAGAAATGGTATTAACAATTATTTAGGCACAACAAACGTCATTCGTTATAATTTATTATTATAAGTGTTGAAACATGTCGACTCAAATAGACATAAAACTCCCAAGATAACATGTTTTTTTTTGTCTTTATTTTACCTATCTTAAACCTTAATGCAAAGTTTTATTTTTTTTCAACTGTTTAAGGTCTCCAACTCTCTGGTCATAGTTTTCAAGTGACCTCCATGTTGTATCAAATTTTACAGGAACATTTTACCATTAGTCCAACATAAAATTTATTGTTCATATATTTTGGAATTTTTAGTAAAATTCTGAAAAGACTTACACTTGGACATCTGCTAAATATTACTATTATGGGGCTTTCAAGTCCAGGGTGATTTTTACATACTTCTCATCCATTATACTCATCATATTCATGTTAGTATAAACCAACTCATCGTTATCTTTCAAAAGATGGGCCATTAAGCCAAAAAATCCATTTTGCCCTATAAGATTTTTAAAGCAGCATTTTCAGGTCAATGAAATTTTTAATTTAGTTAAAGAGGATTTCAAATCCTTTTTTAGCCATAGGTCTAGGACATTCTGTTTTTGAAATAGACTCTGTGTGCTGATGAATAGATTTTGCCTGCCTAGGCCTCATAATCTTGCTGTATTAACCTAAAATGAACAGTTCCTTGGGTTCAATTGTAATAATCCTTATTAATCATGTCCTATTCTAGTACTTTATCACTGTAAGTTCAGTTCAGTTACTTTATCGATGTAAGTTCTCTTTTTTTACTTTATCAATGTAAGTTTTGTTTTTTAACTTTATCTATGCAAGTTTTGTTTTGTTAATTTATCTATGTCAGTTAAATTTTTTTCCTTTATCTGTTCAAGTTTTGTTTTTTTACTTTATCTATGCAAGTTCAGTTCTGTAAGTTTTGTTTTTGCTCTTTTATCTACTTAAGTTCAGGTCTGTTACTTTTTCTATGTGAGTTAAGTTTTATTAGTTTATCTATGTAAGTTCAGTTCTGTTACTTTATCCACATAAGTTAAGTTTTATTTCTTTATCAATGTAAGTCAAGTTCTATTACATTATTCATGTAAGTTAAATTTCATTTCTTTATCCATGTAAGTTACGTTCTATTACTTTATCCACATAAGTTAAGTTTTATTTCTCTATCAATGTAAGTTAAGTTCTATTTCTTTATCCACTTAAGTTAAGTTCTATTACTTTATAAGTCATACCAATGTAACACTACATTCTCCAGAATTTCTAAAGCTGACTGTAGTGGGCTGATTCCTGACTTTGGACTTATGATACAATCTACTATCTGTCAAATAAATAAAACACAAATTCAGACTTCCAGTAAAATGTACTTGTATTTCTTTACACCCAAACTAATACAGGTGTTTACTAATTTTTTTAGATTTATTAAATTTTATCTGTCATTTAAAAAAAATCAGGTGTTAAAACTGCAACTCTAGGTAAAATTAAAGTTAAACTTTATTATAAATGTAAATACAATGGCTTTTCTTTATTTGGTACATAACAAATAAGGCAATAAAGTGCACTATGCTTATAGACAAACATAATCAAATTGAATTCAAGTAAAGTTCTCTGATAAATGGGCATCAGTGAAAAATAAAGTTACAAGTGAGCAGTATTGTTTCATTACAAAACTGGATTGAATTTACGTATTGCATGCTAAAATAAGATAAATTTGCTGACCTTTATTTAGCCATTTTACATTGTTCTTGCAATGTAATTTTCACTGTATTTTCATGAGTTGGCTTTCATTGAGTATTTTGAAATAAATACTCAAAAAGTATGCGTTACCATGCTTATTTTTAGAGAAAAGTCTAAAAAAAAATCCTGAAAATAAGATTTTTCAACTTTTGCTTCAGAATTTGTGGAAATCACTTTTCAACATTTGGAAAAGATTTTGATGTCTCAAGTCATATTTCAAATACCAAACAATAAATGGCCAACAATTTTTCGAAAAAAAATGTTTCTACTCTGTTTTTTTTTTTAAAAAACAGTAAATATTTTTTGGTTCCAATTGACCCAGCAGTTACTGGAGATGATTTTTGTAAAAGTTAACAGACAAGGGACACCAAATGATGAGAAAAGCTCATCTGGCTATTTGGTACATCATACTTTCATTGTCATACTAACAGTTATCCACCATGACCCTGTATTGACCCCCTCTGAATTAAAGAATAACTTATAGATTTGCTAGTTTTTATAAAATGCAGAAGTTTAAATTACCAACCCTTTTAGTAAAATCTTGCTCTATTATGTCCCATTCAACAACACCATGTTCCATTAAGGCCATGAAGGACTTCAGCTGATAGGCCATTGGATCTCCTGGGCTGGAAAATAAAATAATTCATTAGTAATAAAATTGAGAATGGAAATGGAGAATGTGTCAAAGAGACAACAACCCGACCAAAGAACAGAAAACAGCTGAAGGCCACCAATGGATCTTCAACACAGCGAGACAATCCCACAACTGGAGGCGGGCTTCAGCTGGCCCTTAAACAAAAATGTGTACTAGTTCAATGAAAATGGATGTCACACTAAACTCCAAAACATATAAATGAACTAAAATTAAACAAGCATTCTGAGAGTATTGCATGGCAATACATAGTCCCCTACCGGTCAAAAATTCATTGTACTCGAACAAAATACTATCTTGATCTATAACTTGTCATGGAGTAAACTGTATACCAATTATCAAATCAATATCTTCAAGCATGACAAAAAAAAGTGTGGAAAACTGATTATTTGAGTGAATTTTTTAAGTCCAAGGACCATAACTCTGCACAAAATCATCAGACCGGAACAAAATTCGAACATGATCTGTAACTTGTCATGATAAAACTATTTAACAAATATCAAGTCAATATCTTGAAGCATGAGGAAAAAATGTGTGGAAAACTGATTATTTAAGTGAACTTTCTAAGACCAAGGACCATAACTCTGCACAAAATCACCAGACCGGGACAAAATTCTATCTTGATCTGTAACTTGTCATGATTAAACAATACACAAAATACAAAATCAATATATTCAAACATGAAAAAAAAGTGTGGAAAACTGATTTGCCGGACTGACAGATAGACAGACAGACAGATAGACGGACGGAGTGCAAACCTAAAGTCCAATCGACCTCATCGGTAGGGTACTAAAAACAAACTATAGTTACAATACGGAAAAGAAATATAATAGACCAGGACCAACAGTGATAACAAATTTATACATCGTTGAAAATTTGTAGTTCACCTATACCAAAGAAATCCATGCAGAATTGCTGTCTTTGTTCTATCAGAATAGAAATAAATCAAGGGGGCTTAAAGGAGTAAGTTTTTGGTAAGGGTCATATCGGCCCCAATTATCAAGTTGAATGTTTCAGGATAAAAAATGTTTCAAGTTGATAAAAAGACAAATGCGAGGAAGTTAAAAAGAACTATTTCTGTCATAGTTTTATTTTGAAACATTGATATTTACATCCAAAATAGGTCAAACCTGATTTCAACCAAAATTAAGGCCTAGGAAACATAGAGTGCAGGCGTCAACAAACTAATTATTTATGTCAGATATGTGAATTGTCATAACAAAGATTATGTAAAAGATCTTTTTTGTTGTCGCCTGCGCTCCAAGTTTCCTGTCCAAGAAATCAATGAAAATTTATCCATTTTCATTGAATTTTCGTGGAAAATCAAAATGAGTGCTCATTTCATTAGCTATGATTTATTGTGATATTGGTCAATTAATCCTAATTTCAAATCTTAGCCAGAAATAGGGCCATTTTAGGGCCTTATCAAACCTACTCCATTATATTGATTTTACTACAGGTTGGCCCTTAATGCTTAATATTTTACCACGTAGAATACTAATGTTCTGACATCACAGATAGAGTCGATGTTCAATGACGTCATATATTTCTATACTCCAATCAACTCTTGTGGTTTGTTTTTGAAGACAATGGATCATGACTGAGAGAGTGGGGCTAATTCATTTCCATGGAAATGAGATGTGCCAATGCTAATACAGCTGCCTACCAATTACCATTGACTGTTTCAAAGTCAATGGACTTTAAATGAGGGGCCAAGCTAAATAATCTCCATGGAAATAAGATGAGCAAATACAAATGCTAATGCAACTACAATCCAAATATCATTGACCTACCATTAGTGGTTCCTCTTTACATTGACCTACTATTAGTGGTTCCTCTTTACATTGACCTTACACAAACTTTAACAATTGCTGACACCATAGCCAAGGCACTGGAAATAGCATGCTAAAGTTTTACCTCCTCAACTTCTTTGATGCAAGAAAATATGTTATAGTTTTGTAACTGCGCTAGATTTGACTTACTTTTTTCCTTCAATGACATATTTCATAATCAACATATGACCCTGTTTGTTGATGAACTCATGAGCAAATGTACTATCTGTGGCTAATTTCTGTAGTCTTTTTAATGATTCTAGTTTCTCTTCTGCTCTGCCCTCTGTTAAACTTTTGTACAAATCTTTGGCACTTTTTTCCTTAAGAAAAAAATAAATTATCTTAAAATCACTTTCAATCTATAAATGCTTTAAAAACAAAAAAGTAAAATTTCCTTATCAATTTATTTCATTTTATTTCATTATTTTTATTTGAGGAGGGTAGTTTGCATAATTAATATGAAAAAAATATATGATAAATGTGAATGAAACAGGAACCCAATAACTAAATGTGTAAAATCATATAGCCTTAAGTATGTTCTGATAAATTTCCAAATAATAACTTTTTCATAAATGAAAGAGATTACTGTGGATTCTTTTATTTTCATGGGTACCAAGTTTTGTGGATTACGAAATAAAATGCTTTGCAGAGCGCAGCCTGATACGACTGCAGAGGTCGAACCCTGAACAGTTGGGGCAAGTTTGGACACAATATTCAAGATTGATACTGTCTCAATTTGGATTGCGATCAAATTTTTGACATAATATAGGTTTCTGACACAAAATAAATGTGGTCAAAGATCTTTGAAATGGGACATTTAATTTACCTAGTATGGTCTGATATCCAAAATCTAACATGGTTAGATTCAGCATATAAAAAACACCAAAAATTTAATTCTAGTTGAAATCAAACAACGTTTAATTTTGAACTCTTCAAACCTTATTATGGACTAATTCAAAAACAGGGCCCAAAATAAAAAATCTGAATGCACAATAAGATTCAGCATATCATAGAGCCGCAATAACTCAGTTTTTGATGAAATCAAACAAAGTTTAATTTTGGACCCTTAGGACCAATTTAATCAAAGCGCTAAAGCACTGTAAAGGCAGTTAATTACAGGTTGTGTGTATTTTTAGTCCAGTTATATCATTATCTTGCATAGTACAGTGTACTTATCAGAGGTGGCTTTCAGTATTTAAGATTTAGAGTTCTCTAATGATATTGAACAAGTTATATGAATGTCATATTCTGAGCACTATATGAAGGTGATTGTTCTCACTTGTTTATGAACTAGTGCATTATGTCCAGTTTGTACCTTTTTTTATCTATGTTTATAGTCAAATTAGTTATCAAAGGTACCAGGATTATAATTTAATACGCCAGATGCGCGTTTCGTCTACATAAGACTCATCAGTGGCGCTCAGATCAAAATAGTTATAAAGCCAAACGCTGTCGGCTCTCTTTTATCTCCGATGTTAGCGTTTTACGTTTATTCAAAAAGTAATTTACCTGTGATTGTTTCTATATAGGATTGTCTTTCTTCAGAGTTGAAGAGCATTGAGGACCCAAAATTCCAAAAAGTTGTGCCAAATACGGCTAAGGTAATCTATTCCTTGGATAAGAAAATCCTTAGTTTTTCGAAAAATTCAAAGTTTTGTAACAGGAAGTTTATAAAAATGACCATATAATTGATATTCAAATACTGTTTAAAATAGTTAGGCATTTTCTTTTTAGTAATAAGTAAATGTTATCAGCTGTATTTTATTCAACTCTGCAAATGTGGTTTGTTACTGTTAAGTATGGATGATAGTTGTTTCATTGGCAATCATAACACATCTCCTTATTTATATAATGATCTATATTCAACGACCTCAGGTACAAAACAAATGTATGTAACTTAACTATGATGGGAAACCTTTGACTTCTTTCTTTTATATAAACTTTTGATTTGGTACCATAGAACTATGTAGAATAAATGTACATTGCAACATGTCAACTCTTTCAATGACAATACTTTTTTTAGAAACTATAACTCCAAGCAAAATTATATTTCCAAGTTTAAAGTAATTTATGAATGAAAAAAGGAGTTCTTAAACTGATTCGCTGAGCGCAGCTGGATACACCCGCAGAGGTCCAACTCTGAACAGTTGGGGCAAAAATGGACACAATATTCAAGCTTGATACAGGTCTGAATTTGGATTGTAATTAAATATTTGACATATTATAGTTTCTGAATAAATGTAGACAAAGAACTTGAAATCAGTTATATGAATTGAATTTATATTCAATTAAAGATTTCTTGCTGTTGTGCAATACACTGTGCTGTTGTGCAATACTTAATAAATCTGTTGCCAGACTATAAACAAATAAAGTTCAATTTCTTCTCAATGTCATATTTGAAATTTATGAAAATCTATAGGGAGATTACATCAATAGCTATAAATAATTCACCAAAGTTTCATGCGAACTGCTTAAAGCATTTTTGAGTTGTTGTCCAACAAGAGTGAACACGCTGAAATGTCTCGCCTTCTTTACTAATCACTGATATTATGTTGATAGTCCTTAATATAAAGCTTTATTACAACTGTCACATAAACTTAACATTAACCATGAAAACTGCACATTGACCAATGAACCATGAAAATGAGGTCAAGGTCAGATGAACCATGCCAGGCAGGCATGTACAGCTAACAATTCTTCCATACAACAAATATAGTTGACCTATTGCTTATAGTTAAAGAAAAACAGACCAAAACACAAAAACTTAACACTGAGCAATGAACTGTGAAAATGAGGTCAAGGTCAAATAAAACCTGCGCGACTGACATATAGATCATAAAATATTTCCATACACCAAATATAGTTGACCTATTGCATATAGTATTAGAAAAAAAGACCAAAACTCAAAATCTTAACTTTGACCACTGAACCATGAAAATGAGGTCAAGGTCAAATGAGACCTGCCAGCTAGACATGTACACCTTACAATCATTCCATACACCAAATATAGTAGACCTATTGCATACAGTATAAGAAAAACAGACCAAAACACAAAAACTTAACTATAACCACTGAACCATGAAAATGAGGTCAAGGTCAGATGACACCTGCCAGTTGGACATGTACGCCTTACAGTCCTTCCATACACCGAATATACTTGACCTATTGCTTATAGTATCTGAGATATGGACTTGACCACCAAAACTTAACCTTGTTCACTGATCCATAAAATGAGGTCGAGGTCAAGTGAAAACTGTCTGACGGGCATGAGGACCTTGCAAGGTACGCACATACCAAATATAGTTATCCTACTACTTATAATAAGAGAGAATTTAACATTACAAAAAATGTTAACTTTTTTTTCAAGTAGTCACTGAACCATGAAAATGAGGTCAAGGACATTGGACATGTGGCTGACGGAAACTTCGTAACATGAGGCATCCATATACAAAGTATGAAGCATCCAGGTCTTCCACCTTCAAAAATATAAAGCTTTTAAGAAGTTAGCTAACGCCGCCGCCACATCACTATCCCTATGTCGAGCTTTCTGCGACAAAAGTCACAGGCTCGACAAAAACTGGAAAATCCCCCCTTTTTTAATGAATAAAACTCCATTACTCAGAAATGTAAAATCTAAAATTTATAAAATTCTAAAGGGAGCTTACGGATTGATAATTTAGTCTTAGATGCAAGATTTTTTTATCAGTTGTTAGTGGCTTTGAACTAGCTGTCAGTAACTGTGAGTACTCTCAGATCTGTACTTAGTGTCTTTTTGTTGTTTGGATGTACAACTACCCGACCACGTCCACTTGTATTTGTATTTATCCATCTGATGAGTTAAGCCTCTTTCAACTGATTTTTATAGTTCGTTCTTCTATTGTACTGTTACACCACTGTCCCAGGTTAGGGGGAGGGTTGGGATCCCGCTAACATGTTTAACCCCGACACATTCTGTATGTACATGTATGTGCCTGTCCCAAGTCAGGAGCCTGTAATTCAGTGGTTGTTGTTTGTTTATGTGTTGCATATTTGTTATATTCGTTCATTTTTTGTACATAAATTAGGCCGTTAGTTTTCTTGTTTAAATTGTTTTACATTGTCATTTCGTGGCCTTTTATAGCTGACTGTGCGGTATGGGCTTTGTTCATTGTTGAAGGCCGTACTGTGACCTATAGCTGTTAATTTCTGTGTCATTTGGTCTCTTGTGGAGAGTTGTCTCATTCGCAATCATACCACATCTTCTTTTTTATATTTACATCAACAGATATAAACAATTCACCAAAGTCAAGGTGAGACAACAAAACTTAGTGGTAAGATCTCTGAAATTTTTTACATGGTACAAGTTTTTCTCATTGTTGGAGATTGTACGGTGACAGTAACACCTGTAACTGCTTAAACCAATTTCTTATGCACTTTAGTTCGATAAACTCACTGAATATCATACCACATCTCCTTATTTTTATATGCATTACAATTTACATGTGCATGTAATTATAAATATATATATATCAGAACAAAATTCATTGCGTCACTTTTATTTATGCATCCTTTGGCACAATACAAGTTCTAAAATTACACAACATAAAACAACTAAATGTTATTTCAGATGAAAGTTTTGTTTCAGTTCCATTCATAGGATTTATTAGAATTTTGTATGTTTTGCTAAGTCCAATAATTCGCTCTATGTGCACATGTTAATTGGAGACTTTTCTATCCCGTATAAGAGTTTTGGAACTAATTCTGTTTCTTTTTTTGAAAAAAGTTAGCAAACAAATCTTGCACATTTAAACCTTTGTCTGCCATCACACTGTCACCTGGATCACATAATTGAACTATTCTACATCTTTCAACTATTTCATAGTCACTGGTAGAACCAACATATGCATTAGAGACATACATGTAGTTGACTAAACCACCAGGTGTAGAACATACAAGTATTTTCAGTGTTTCTGTTTTTATATGATGAAAAGGTTGCCTGAGCTCTAGGAGCTTTAGGTTTTATCACGGGATATTCTGTGCTGTCAATAATAATCCAAGTCGTTGGATGGTGAAAAATACCTGACTAAACCACTAGATGGCCAAGTGTTAGCCTCACACCACTGTTTAGACATAAAAACAATCCATGTATACACAATATTCTTAACACTAGATTCAATCTAGAATCTAGAAAGTTCAAAGTTGGTTGTATAATGCCTCAATTTCAACAAAGTCATAAAAAAACTGATTTTCAACTGACACCCTATCAATTTGAAAATATATGTATCTCAAACAATGTGCTGCTGGACTAAGTGTGGTCAAAACAAATAAAAATTTTAGTATACAACTCTAAACCGGTATAAAAATGCATGGCTGTGTCACGTGTCTTCATTTCAAAATTCTCTGCTGAAAACATAGGCATTGATGGTGTTTGCGTAATTCCATCTGTGAAGCTCAACATTAGCTCGGCAGTTGGTGGTGGACAGTCATAAATCCTTTCTGCAGTATGAATGACTTCTTCAGGAAAACCAACTTTACAATCAAAACTTTCCTCTAGATTTCTACTACAATATTCATCAAGTTTAGTTCTTTTGTTTTCACAGGAAACTGCCCTGATTTTTCTTTTTGCGGACGATTCAGTCTCTTGCTTGGTCCAGGAAAATAGGCTGGGAATGGCAGTAGACTTAAGTCTCTGTATGGTGGGTTTGCGCCCTGAAAAAGGTCATAAAACACTAGTTTTTTGATAATTAAATGAACTTCCATTAGCAATGTATACTTTGTATTACCTGGCGAAATATTAACTAGATTTATTCATTACAATCTGGATAAAACTATGTTTGCCTGATTCAATGTATGTTATGTAAATCCAAAGGACAAACAATGAGAGACTTATGCAACAAACGTACATTGTTTGTACCTAAATAACTATAATATAGATGAGAGCATGTCATTGTTTTGTTCCTGTTAACATTGTCATTGATATTTTTCAAGAAAGTCTATGAGGCATAGCTTATGCATTCCTGTCATTACTACATTAGCATAATTACTGCTAAAATAATTCTCAGTATGATATACCTCTTGTAAGAAATCATTATAATTGTAGCAATCACCAAAAAATCTCAAACAGATCACATTGAATCGTAATCCAAAAAATTATGACGTCTTGAATTAACCACCCCCTTTTATTCTAAAACGATAATTGCGGTTGTAAACAGACTTTGGTTTATTCGCATGGCGATTACATATATAACTATATATTTCAAAAAGAAAATAGAGTTTTACCATGAATAGTTTCCTGCACGTAGTCTTTTTCAGTAAAATGTGCCTTGCAAACAACAGCTGACTGAGATGGACTCCACGATTTCATCGTGTTCTCGTCCAATCTGCGTATGGGCCATGGCGTTGATCCAACTTTTCCTTCTTTTTAAGTCATTTGGAAATGCATGTCCTCCTCTTAAATGACATCCAAGTACACAGCAACAAGTACTTGGCATCGTTAATTAAAAATGTAACTGAAATAGTTGCACAGTGCAGAAACCGGAAGTTGAGGAACAGGATCGGCTACCACGGCGCCACCTATTCAGGAACGATAATTTGCTACTTTAAATAACTGCGAAATAACAATAACGTTAGACGGGTTCACGCTTTAAATTGTATAATATAATTCATGTTCAGTCGACCTTTAATTATTATATCAACGACTGAAATGATTTATAAACATATAGATTGCAGATAACACTCGAAATTAACCCAGTGATATTGTTGTCTTTTTTCAAAACTACCTCTACCGTTTTTTATTGGGAAAAATGCATATTTTTTATTGAAATTGGGAAATTTGTATATTTTATTCTAAACACATCTCTGATTTTTTGCTGACCTTTGCTGTCTTTTTTGAACTGTTGTTTTCATGTATATTTTGGTTGTCAGACATTTTCAACCTGAAAGGTACTTTTCGGAGAGGGGAAAGAAACAGAAGCAATGATGGTACTTAATGCATTGAAAACCACATGTGTTACAAACACCATGATGATTCTGATCAGAAAACCGGATCTCAAAAGTGCTTTCTAATATCAAAATAATAACATGAATACGATATTTACAAACATTTCTACCAATGCCATCACTGTTTGGGGAAAATGAAAAACTTTTTGGGATGAATTTTAAGCCATTTTTTTTAGTAATTGGGAATTTTCTCTAGGGGAAAAAGCAGAATTTCGGCTGTAATTTGAGGCAAACAATATCACTGTAACCCGAGCTCTTTCCACACGGAATTCAAATAATTCTAGTTATCGGTTGACTGCTTATAATGCAAAATACAAATATATCAAAAGTTTTTAAAACTAACAAAACACAATGATCGTTTCTCTATTTCCCAATGTAAATGAAATGAAACAAAAAACATTTTATATCACAATAAGAAGAGGAGAGAATTCAACATTTCCGGATCTACTTGGAGCCTAATGACCCCCCACGTAGATAAGTTGGATATCGCGGAAGGAAGGATTAACCCGGCAACCAGAAAGGCATTAAAGCACTGCCTTTAAAAATGGGGCCCAATATCCAAAATAGAAATACAAGGTTAGAACCCCCAAAAATTAAAGACTTATTAATTTAATCCCATTGAAATTGGTTAAAAGATTTGTATTTATTTTCTTCTGTCAAACTTACATAAAATTCCATGCAGGTTTGACAAAGTTATTGTTGACTGAAAAACTTTACCCTTAGACTAAATGTTGACTGTAATAAAAAAAGACTAAGTTCATTTATCAAAAAAATACTGAAAAAATGAAAATAATATTTTCAAAATTTTGTTCTGGATACTTTTTATGCTCATAACACAGCTTCTATCCAAATTTCATAAAATTTTATAAAGGTTTGATGCAGTTATTGATGTCTAAAAAACAGTAATGACAGACAGAACCTAAATAATGACCACAGAATCTAGGATCGCTATGTCTCGCTTCTGAGACATAAATGTCACAGGTCTGACAATAAAACAAGTAACCATAGTGTTAAACAAAAGAATTTAACCACTTACAGGTGACCAAGTTAAAAGTAAAACATTGCCGTTCTGTAGTTCTGCACGATTCTGAAAAATAAATAAACATAGTATATAACACTAATTTCTTCACAATGACATGAAAAATGATAGTTTTTAACAATGTTAGTTGACTATTTATAGAAACTTGGTTTGTAAATTTCTACTTATTATTAATCTAGTATGGAAGAATAAAATGAAAATCATACTTTGGCTAAATTTAGCGTATAATGCTATTTTCCCCAGAAATAAAGAAAAGTTTAGTGTTTTAGCATGAAACAGGCTGTTGGTTTTCTCTCTGGAATTGTTTCACATTTTGTCATGCAGGGGGCCTTTAAAGTGTACAAGAGGGTATGGGTTTTACTCATTGCTGCAGTCCATAAATGACCAACAGACCTATAGTTGAATACATCATTGTCCTTTGATCTTTGGAAACTGAGTATACCAAATTCCAAGTTCTTGTAAAAACACACGAACAAACATCAGTTAATCTTTTTGTTATTTTTAAAACCTATATGTTTTAAATGTTTAACCTGCAATATTAAAACAAAAGAGCATTTGGGATTCAAAAGTCAATAAAAGAATTCAATTCATAAACAAGATTTACGTTGTTTTTGCATACAAAGTATTCATAAGATCTAGAATAATTTGCTCCTTAAAACATTGCAAAAATCCTCATCCTTATGGGTTTAGTGACATTGTATAAAATTTCGCTTAACTGAACTGGTGTACAGCATACTTAAAATTCCCTCATAAAATTTAATTACGAACTATATTACTCTACTACAATTAATATGTACAAGAATCACATTGATTAATTTCACATGATTGTCAGTTGTTGAAGATTAGAAATGATAAATGCATTTTTTTAATTTTTTAATTCATGGTAACCAAAAAAAAAAAAAAAAGACAAAAATCTATATTTAATTGTGTATTTACCCTTTCTGTGATATAAACTTGTCTGTTTGGTTCTGTAAACTGTAATGCATAATCTGCTGCATTTTCCAATGTCCATCTATAAATACAACAACAAAAAAATCAATACACTGTAAATTGTAAATATCAAATGATGGATTGATGCTTTTAAACGTCCAGGGGCAGATAATACATACATTTCCAGGGTGATAACATATATAAATGAATATATGGAATATCTTTTTGTTTCAATTCGGTATTGCAGAGATTTAATGTGAAATCATTTTTTTTCAAATCATGCAACAAGACAAAATTAAAATATATACAAAAACACCTGATATACAGCATACATTGTTTTGAACTAGACCATCATATTACATGTTCTAGCTCACATGCTAATAGTCTGCAGGAAGACATATTACCCTCCGGAAACACATTATTCTGACTCTGAGCCTTTGCTCTTACTCTTATTTGCCACTTGCTTTGAGGAAAAGCAGAAAATACCAATTTAAATATCTTTGGTTGGACCTTGCTGCTTATTGATATCACAACCTTCTGCCTGGAGGAGCCCACAAAGACTGTTAGTATACACATGGAGAAAATATTATATTTTGGGCGAAACAACATTACACTAAATGCATTAGATCAGAGAGATCTCAACTCTATTCTTTTTTTAATTCAATCAGTTCTTACTCTGTCATGTCTTGAACTTGTTTGATGGTAACTAAAATATATATATACTCTTTACTCAAATACATTGTTCTCCCTCAAACCCAGGGCCTTTTATCCTTATGGTAATGTGATGCTCTGATGTTTTTATGTGATGCTATCTGAAATGATTTTTTTAATGAATATGTTACAGATGGGATGCTAAAATTTCTAGAAACAAGATGGTATTTCAAAATTCCTTGTTTATCAGGATGCTATATGAAATGTATGGAGAACACTGATACATGTATATACCTTATATATAATGTATCAGATGTAATGTACATTGACTTAAATATCCATAACAAAATTAATAGAAACAAGCATTCTGAGAGTATTGCATGGCAATACATAGTACCCTACCGGTTTAAAATTAATTGTACTGGAACAAAATGCTAAATTGATATATAACTTGTCATGGTGTAAACTATACAACAAATATCAAGTCAATATCTTCAAGCATGACGAAAAAAAGTGCGGAAAACTGATAATTTAAGTGAATTTTCTAAGTCCAAGGACCATAACTCTGCAAAAAATCATCAAACCGAAACGAAATTCAAACTTGGTCTGTAACTTGTCATGATAAAACTATATCCCAATTATCAAATCAATATCTTCAAGCATGACGAAAAAAAGTGTGGAAAACTGATTATTTGAGTGAATTTTTTAAGTCCAAGGACTATAACTCTGCACAAAATTATCAGACCGGAACAAAATTCGAACTTGATCTGTAACTTGTTATGATAAAACAATATACCAAATATAAAATCAATATCTTCAAGCATGAAGAAAAAAAGTGTGGAAAACTGATTTACCGGACTGACAGAAGGACAGACAGACGGACAGACAGACAGACAGACGGACGGAGTGCAAACCTAAAGTCCCCTTCGACTTCGTCGGTAGGGGACTAATAAGAAGATGTGGTATGAGTGCCAATGAGACAACTCTCCATCCAAGTCACAATGTGTAAAAGGTAAACAATTATAGGTCAAAGTACGGACTTCAATACGGAGCCTTGGCTCACACCATACAGCAAGCTATAAAGGGCCCCAAAATGACTAGTGTAAAACAATTCAAACACGAAAACCAACAGTCTAATCTATATAAAAAACGAGAAACAAGAAACAACCACATCAACAAACGACAACCACTGAAACAGGTTCCTGACTTAGGACAGGTGCAAACAAATGCAGGAGGTTTAAATGTTTTAACAGGCGCCAACCTTCACCCTAACCTGAAATAGTAGTGTAACATTACAACACAGAAAGACACACTATAAAATATCAATTGAAATGGCTTAACTCAATCAAAAAGATTAAAACACTGTTTTACTTGGCAGCCTTTATACTTACTCTGATGCAATGTCTTGAATGATGGCAGCCAGTGGTCTATTCTGTAAAATTAAGTACATATATAAGTATTAAACAAATGTTAATGTGTCTGCAAACTGTTTCAAGCTTATTTACAAACTGGACATAAAAAAATGATAAATGATCTAGGGAATAAGTGATTGAAAATGTCAGGATTTTTACAGACAACAAGGACTTCTTAAATCAAAGCACTGTGTATGATGTGGGCATGGCAAAACCAAGGCAAAAGTAATGATGAAAATTGTGGAAGAGTTGGTTTAGTTATTTATCAAAGCTTATAATAAAATGCTTCACAGGGAACAGCTTGATACAACCGCAGAGGTCGAACCCTGAACAGTTGGGGCAAGTAATTTTGGATACTACATTCAAGCTTGGTACAGCTTTGAATTTGGATTGTGATTAAATATCTGACACAGCATATATATAGATTTCTGACACAGAATGAATGTGGTCAAAGAATTGAAAAATTTTAAATTAGACTTTTACCTATTATGGTCCAATATCAAAAATTTAAATACACTGTTAAATTCAGCATATCCAAGTTCACCAAGAATTTAATTTTTGTTGAAATCAAACAAAGTTTTATTTTTTAACCCTTTTGACAACGATTTGGACCAACTTGAAAACAGGGCTCAAATTTGAAAAATCTGAATATAGGGTTAGAATCAGTATTTCAAAAAACACCAAGAAGAATTCAATTTAAGTTGAGATAAAACAAACTTTAATTTGGACCCTTTGTACCTCAATGTGGAACAATTTGAAAATGGGACCCATAATTAAAAATCTAAATACACGGTTAGATTCAACATATCAAAAAACCAAGAATTCAATGTTTGACTTCAATTCAAACAAAGTTTAATTTTGGACCCCAATTTGGATCAACTTGAAAATGGGGACCAAAATAAAAAAATAGAAAAACACTGTTAGATTCAGCATATTAAGAACCCCATTGAAATTGATCAAGAAATTAGCAATTTATACAAAGTTTTATAAAATGCTTGTTTTTGGCCCCTAGTTCTTAAAGGGTAAGGGCCATAACCCCCAAAATCAATCCCAACATTCCTTTTTGTGGTATGGCACCATGTGCTACAATTTCATAGAGATCCATACACTTATACTCAAGTAATGATCTGGAAACCAAATGTCTTCGGATGACGACATCACCATTCCATTATACGGCCCCAATTGTTTTGATGTCGTATAAAAAATCTCAAGTATCAACACTTTTTTTGTACTGTTCAGTTTTCCACTATCATACACACTTTTCTCATCAACTATACCATTTGTTTTCAAAAATTGATACCAGGTTTTAAGTTACTTAAAAATATGTATCCATTTGGAAAGTATCAATGTCTGAGAAGATGCATGTACAAGTAAGCGTAAGCATGTCTCCAGTGAATAATTGAAGAAAGCAAAATGCATCTATAATGGGAATTTATGAAAAGATGATTTAGTGAGTTTTATGGGAAGCTTCAATCTTAGATCATCTTAGGATGCCTTTTTTACACAAAATATTATATAGAAGGCTAATATTAAGTTCATGATTATGAACCTTGCTTTGTTCATGACCAACACGCTGAATAAATGTTTTAATGTACATGTGCTAGTTCACAAGCTTACAACTTAGACTCATCATACCTACATTTACCTCATCAGCTAAATCAATAACTATCAAGGTGTTGGTCAAATTTCACCTTGAATTTTAAACTACACGGCACGGATTAGATTTAACAAGTCGGGTAAACTTTTACTGATATACGATTTTTTGACTGAAAATTATATTACCATGGGCCAGAAATAAAGGACAGCCCTAAGACTAACAGGTCTAAGAACCACTCTCCAATATTATATTGGCCTGGGGAAGACAATGAGTTTGGTCAACGTAAGTTCTACAGTACAAAATTTATGCTTTTCTTCCTTTCTATGAACAAAAAAAAACTAACAAGTCTACTGACACTGTATTCTGAGGTTGTGGAACTATAGCCAAATACGGATAACTTTTTTTCTTTAACTTTGACCAAGGATGTATAACTAACAATATACGTCATTGCTTTGACCAAACCAAATTTTAAAGAGAAAAAAACTTCACTTCCCTATTCATCAAGTTTTGAGGAATAACCATTCTTTCTTCGCAGCAGTAGAGTGGATTTCGGTTACTTACATTGCCAATTTTTAGATCGCAAAACGGTATGCAGTACTAGTTGATATCTGAAATCTGAAATTACAGGGTCAAACACGATGGGAAGAACAGGAAACTCCCGAAAAAGGATGGAGCTTTGTAGAGGTCTAAAAAATCAGTTAAGATTATCATTCACATATTTTCTACAGTTACGATTATCATTCACATATTTTCTACAGTTACGATTTTCTTTTTTTGGAGTTACGATTATCTTCCTTAAATTTTCGATGGCTATTATCATGGTAACGAGACCATATATGATATTAAGAACACACACACAAAACAAAATTGTAGAGATCAACCTGGCGGCTGAGTAATTCTTGAAAACAACACGTTTACACGGAGATAAACAAATGTAAGCAGAAAACATTTTTATCGATTTCTACCTCCGCCATTTTGGGATCGTGGTAACTGCAGTTACCACGACCAGTTTACCACCAGTATTATATGTCATGTTGCTGTTTTTTCACAGTGCAACATTGTATTTCTAGTTGAATTTATCTTTAAGCTTTCACTACTCTTCCTTCGGTTTTGTTTTGAGTTCATTTGTAAGTGAATGTAAGACGAGGATAACCAGAGCATCGTGTCATGCTTGAAAAGCTTCTTTGGTATCATCAGTATTTAATATTGAGGACATATTGCCTTAATTCTTTCAATAAAGATTATAAACAATGGTCGGTATGTGTTGTTTACCGGCGCTTCGTTTTGTCTCCATGACAAAAGAAATTATAAAAATAGAATGTTATCGATCTATAAATAAATTTAATGACCCGTATGTAAAATATTTATAGCTGTTTCCGCACAGTAGTAAAGGGGCCCTTTACAGGTTTTTGTTTGATGTGAGTGTTGTACGTGAGAAAATTAAAGAACAAGAATTAATTATTTTTTCACCAATAACAAAAATAAAACGTAAAACGTATAAAAGTAAAAATAAGAAGATATGATGTAAAAAAAAAAACAACCAAAAACAATGCATACATGATAAACTCTGACCTTTTGTCACATGACCAAAATCTTGAACTTATAAGCCATTAAATCATTTGTCATCCAACTATAACAACTCCATTTGACAAGGCCAGTTATGTAATAAAACGGAATAATATAAAAGAAAGGAACGAAAGCAGTAATAAAGTGATCAATGCATGACTTCCAAAAGACTGCCACATGACTGCTACGTTTAAACGGCACTGTAATAGGTACGATTCATGTAAACAAAGTTGCAATATAGTATCGATCACAGCTAAACGCTTGTAATAAATCCTTGATATCTACCATGTCTACTTTTTCGTCTACTAGTTTAATAAAATTACCGCCAAACGATATCCATGTGCAATTTGTCATTTGGTAAACATAAACGACTTGTATATAGAAATTTTCGGCGATGAAATATTTCATACAATTGTTCTTAACATTGTTATTAATAGCACATAAGATAAAACTCAATTAAAGACTTTCCATAGAGCACTATTTCCAATGTTCAACGTCATTGATTTTGGGTTGTTCGACAATCATTTAAGGTTATATTAGACATATTTTTTGTATTCCAGAACTAAAAGCATGAAAAAAGTGTCCAATTAGTTATACATGAACTACCAGCCTGCTAGATAAGGACAATTGCACCTATTTCAGTATTTCCGGGGAAAAATGCAAATCTAGAGTGCAAGCATAAAGCAGCTTAACTGCCTAAAAATTGTGTAACAATAAGGACGTGTTTATTTAGATAACGTTATATACTTTTGAATAATTACATGCACTATAATATTTTCAAGGAATTTGCATACAAGACACAAAAATCATATTCCTAAAGTTAAAATGTACTTTAATCATGTTAATTGAGTTAAAACAACATAAATCTTAAAAAGTGAAGTCTTTATTATCAGTATTATTACACCATATTTTTGGGTAATATCAATCAGTTTCTGTGTTTTTAACCGATTTACGGGTTATCAGTGTACCAAAGATATGAAACTTTGAGACAACTAAACTAATATATAAAAAAAATAAATAATAAAAGAACAGAGTTCCAATGTCCCCTGTTTTGCACATATTTTATCTATCCAAGGTACAAGGTCAATAACTAAAAAAAAACACTTTTTTTTTGTTCTTTTAATTTATGTTCATAAATATCTTAGAGAAATGAAGGCTTCATAGCAAATTCAATGTGATTTCCGATATAATTAATATTTCCAAGGGGCATAACTAGTTAAAAATAATTTGATCAGCACTTACAATGTATCTTCGAAAGTGTCAAAAACATTGCTGATATAAACCTATGATATAAGTTTCATAAAATTCTGGCAAGAATTGTACACATGAGAGCACTAACGATGCAATTTTCCATATAATTAATATTCCCAAGGGGCATAACTCTTTTAAAAATAATTGATCAGCACAGATTTTAAAACTCATCCAAGACATTGATGATATAAACCTATAATATAAATTTCATAAAAATCTGGCAAGAATTGTACACATGAGAGAGCTCACAAGGCAATTTTCCATATAGTTAATATTTCCAAGGGCATAACTCTTTCAAAAATAATTGATAGGAAAAGATTTTCAAACTCCTCCAAGAAATCGCTGATATAAACCTACAATATAAGTTTCATAAAAATCCAGCAAGAAGTGTACACATGAAAGCGCTAACGATGTAATTTTCCATATAATTAATGTTTCGAAGGGGCATAAGTTGCTCTTTTAAAAATAATTGATCGGCACTGATTTTCCAACTTGTCTGAGAAATTGCAGATATAAACCTATGATATAAGTTTTATAAAATCTGGCAAGAATTGTACACATGAGAGCGCTAACGATGCAATTTTCCATATAATTAATGTTTCCAAGGGACATAACTCTTTAAAAAAGAGACACAGATTTTCAAACTCATCCCAGACATTGCTGATATAAACCTATGATATAAGTCTTATAAAAATCTGCCAAGAATTGTACATGTGAGAGTGCTAACAAAACTGGATGGACGGACGCCCGGTATTTCTATGTCCCCTGCAACGCATTGTGCTGGGGACAATTATATTAACAAGATTTAATGTGGTGATATTTCATATGATCATATGTGATATATATTCTATGATAATCTCATCCACTTTATGTGAATTTTAATTTTATCTCCATTTATATGTTTAAATGTGTTATGAATGAAAATGTATAATTTGTGTATTAATACTATTATTGTCATTCCGTCCCGTGAGGGGCCCTTGATTGGAAATAAAGAACTTTGAACTTTGAACTTGGTATCCAATACCAGCGGTACATGTATGTCATATCTATGCGACACTTAAGTTATTGCATAAAAAAATGGGTGACAGTATTTACTAAATAAATAACAGAATAATTTAGCCCTGTTAAGTGTTATTAATTTACATTTGGATGATCAACTTTGACCCAAAGCTAGTTACAAACCTGATCAATTCCTCTCAATAATGGAAGTTTTCCATCTGCTGTAATGGCTATTTTCTTGACATTATCTTGTTGGCTCCTTGAGCTTGTGGTTGATAGAGTAGAGGCCCTGTTAGGACTTAATACTCTTGTTGCTCTGAGATCTGGTTGAGACATTTTATCTTTGAGAGGAAAAAAATAGCAATTTTGTTAAATTAAAATGTCTGTATGTACACTGTTGTTCAATCAATCATTGGATGCAGCTGTCATTTGAAATAGACATCTTCTTCCTCTTTTTCTGAATCAGCTTCCTTGTTTATGGTTGAATACCTAAAATATGTCTTGTCGGACCCCAGACATAAATGCCTAAATTTAATTACAATTTCACCATTTGTTCGATTATTTTATAATGATGTACGAACCAAAATTTAATTATAATAAATTTGTTATATTAATGGAAAATATGTGTTTTTACTTCCTTTTAAAGTTATTATTTCATTTTAATCTCGGGTCAGATTCTTGTTTATATATTTTTCATTATCTAGAGTTAAATTTAGAGTTTCTTCCCTTAGACCGGTCTATTTTTTTCCCTTTACACCACGAATTCTGACCTTGAAGCCGGAACATCATCTCTGAACATGGCACTCCGTCAAGCCGTTAAATCGTCAAATCTTATTCGGTTCCTGCCACAGTATGCCTCAGCTGTAAATGTGAAGCAAAGGTACGAGCACATATTTTTTACTAATTATGCATAATTTTGGATTTTTTTTTTATGATTTTTTTTGTGGGGGGATCAGAAAATTATAAATTATACTAACTTTACCGGTTTCATAGATCTTTTTGGATACCTGACTACCAATATATCTTCATATTCCAATATGATACAACTTTTACCCTAACGTGCAATTGCATGCGTGACTGATGCATTTTTTAACTTATATTCAAACCAACAGCTAATCCTTTTCGGGGATTCTGTGATGGAGGGATTTTCTGATTTGATCACCCACTAAAGGGATAAGCTCACAACAAAAAGTCAAAAAAAACTATATAAAAAAGGCTATTATCTATGTTCCTGATGGAACAAACATTCTTTACCCTTTATTCAGCCATGAACAAACATTCTACCAATGTATACCATTTATTCAGCAGTCTGCACCATTAGCCACTAGTCTGATGCCCCAGACTAGTAAAATTTCATTCAGTCTAATACATATTTGCAAAACTTTTTTAAGACACATAAGAAAAATGTCAGAATATTGTTCTCCAGACTAGTACAAATGTAGTTAAAAGATTTTGGTGCAGAGGGATTCAGTCAGGAACTAATACTGTAATATTTCTTCCAGATGAAAAAATATTCCAGACTACATATGTATTTATTACATTTGGAACAAACATTATAATGGAACTTCTATTCCATGACATTTAGACCAAATAGCTAGGCCCCAGGCCTTAAAAGACAAATGCAAAGAAAAATATTACCATGTTACCTCTTTCAGTTTGATCTTCTAAAAAGAAACAGCAGAGAGATTTATTCATCAGCGGGTCATTAAATAAAAATGAGAAATACTTAAGATGATTAAGCACTATCTTGTTGCTGAGATTTTTTCTTTGCAAGGTTAAATTTGTTTTGAAATTTTGATTATTAAATACATGTAAAAATGAGGTAGAAGATACATGCACCAAGATATAAACCATTAAAAGGAAAATCAAATTGGCAACATATATAGATTCAGATGGAAAAAATTTGCATTCGAAAATATTTTACTACATTCTATTATATGAAAGATTAAAGAAAAAGTGAGATTTGTCAAGAATAGACAAAACAGGACAAATGTTATATAAACGTGATAAACGAGGGTGTGGATGCATGGAGGTTTACAGATAGAGAATAATGGGCAAAAAATATAAAGAATAGAGAAAAATGGACCAAAAAATTAAAGAATAGAGAATAATGAGGTGGTAAAATATAAAGAATACAGAAAAATGGCCTAAAAAATTAAAGAATACAGAAATGAAGGACTCCCCATCCAGACCCTCATAAACGTGATTAACAAAATGACATAACCTATATCCTGTCTCACAGACTTAAAAACATAATCATTAGGTAAAAACAAATGTAGTATCAATAAAACAACATCCTTTATTTTGAATATTTATCATGTAACTAAAAAATGTATGTTTAAATTGTGACAATACTACATGCATTGTGCTATTAAATAAAATATCCTAAATAATAATATATTTGCTATACAAAAAAATGATCAAAAATAAGTTTAATATAAGACCTTTTTCTTCATAAATGATACAATCTAAAATTCAAAATATATTATACAGTCCGCACCAAAATCTTTTCAAACTATTAGTCCGATGACAAATATTCAGACATTTTCTTTATGTGTCTAAAGTTCTAAACAAAGTTTACTAGTCTGGGGCATTGGACTAGTGGCTAACGGTGCAGGCTGTTATATTAATTGATTGATTTTTGGTGTTTAGCACCATTTTTAGTATTCTTGTAAAAGTCTATATCATGGTGGCTCTTTTTTTTTTGTGAAAAGTCAAGGGTCCTCATAGATAACCTCTGACCTTTGGCAGTATTCATACATAGAAAGAAATTATTTATTAAGAATATTGGCAATTTGAGAATGAGATTTTAATCTGTAATGTTTGCAGTGTACATGTACATGAAAATATTGAACTAAAATCATAACAGTATTTTTCAGTTCTGATAAGTAAAAAGATTTTTTTACCTTTTTCTTTCACGAGTGTCATAGTGTGTCAGACCTTTAAAACTTACATGAAATTGTCATACATGTAGTACAAATGCAGTTATTGTAGATAGATTTTATTCAAACACGAAAATGATAATTTGTATCTTTTATAGTTCAACATGGGGTAGTGTAGAAATGGGACCACCAGATGCTATCTTAGGTTTAACAGAGGCTTTCAAGAAAGATACAAATCCCAAAAAAGTTAGCCTTGGAGCAGGTGCTTACAGAGATGACAATGGAAAACCATTTATTTTACAATGTGTTAAAACAGTAAGTATTTAAATACTTGCAGGAAAAATACATTTGAAGGAATTTTAGAACCAAAATGAAATTATCAGATTGAAAGGTTTTTAAAACTCTAAACATAATGCACAGACAATAATAAAAAATGGTTTCAATGGTATTAAATGAGCTGTGTCGGGTAGAAATCAACCTTTGGCAAATGCATCGTATACATGTACATGACGATGTATAAGACTTTGATTGATTTTGGAACATTCAAATACGAAATAAACTTTTAATAAAGGATTGATTTTGGTCTGTTTTGTAGGGTTCTTAAATCACCTGAATTTTCAAACAGTCGCAGACTTTGCATAGAGATATTTGTCAACCCAAAATAAGCTAATAGATCTATTGATATTCATTTGCATACGGTTGATTTCCACTCAAATGAAAACATCTTTTTTTCGCTGTAAAAGTTGTTGTGATATTTGTACGTGTACCTGTAAAAATTTCAATTGATTTTACCATGTTTACATGACAGTATGTGATGAAAACTGATATTTTTATATGTTTGGAATCTGATTTGGATTTGCACTTTGTGCCTCAAGATGTTTCATAACAAAATCTACATACTAAAATAGATGTATACATGCATGGATAGGATGTTCCTAATTTGACACAAGAAAATTAGTATGTTTACAAGACATTATACATGTTATATCAGATAAAAAAAAGACAAATTGATTTTTAGATACGATTGTCAATTAAGTAAATCCTGATGTAAATTACAAAGTTACATATAGTAAATTGTTTCAGATGAAAAAATTGTTATATAAAGATTGCATTATAATTCTGGATAACAAAGGAAAATTTTAAACATTTTAAACAAAAATAGCAAGGTTTACTTTTATTGAATTCAATGAATTCAATAGCAGCCCCATTCTTACAAATGTGAGAACATTTGAAGTATATTTGATTTAAAGAGAATTTTGCTCCAAAATTTTACCCTATCTTTTAAACTCTTGATCTAAGTAATTCAAATCTGTAGACCTGTACGTGTAACTACATTTGATAAGTGAACAGAAAATACAGAATGATGATTAATTTTTATTTAATGCTTATCTTGTTCGCTGAAGTTTATAATGTAATCAAAATACTGACATTTATTTTAGGCAGAGAAACAAATGATGGAAGAGAATGTTGATCATGAGTATGCACCAATTAGTGGTCCTCCATCCTTCTGTAAAGCATCTGCTGAATTAGCATTTGGTGCTGACAGCTCAGTCATCAAAGATGGTCGTGTAAGTAGTCATAAGTTGTCTGTAAGCACAATTCATGGTTTTTGATTGAAAGAATTGATAGAAATAGTTCTAGAAACCTACATGATAAAACATATACAATTTTGTATTTTGATTGGTTGAAAATGATGAGCTCACACTTACTGACAACAACTACCATGAGAGAGGACAATGCCATCTTAACTGAAGGGAGATCACTCAGAATAAGAAAAAGTCATAAAAAATATCACCAAAAATGATGACTGTGAAAGAGTTCAAGTTTTCATGGTCATAGTCAAAGATTTTAATAGTACATGTAGCAATGTACTTATTTAAAAAGGATAACAGGACCATTTACCAAAAATGTTGGAGAGTACAAATTACCATACCAATGCCTGACACCCTTCTAAATGATGGAAGTACAGACAGTTACAAACAATAGTGAACAACAAATGGTTCAGATAATATGTCTTTGTACAGACACACATATGGTGGGGTTTAACCAAGTATTTATTAATTCATTTCACAAGCCATCAAAGCAATAATCACATTATGTTTATACATGTATTAAAGAAGTCCATCGCAATAATTATAGTTTTGCTCATTAATGGCATCCTGACTACCGAGTTGGTATTTTAGGCAATGCCTATATATTCTTAAGCAAATTAAACGGCATTATTCTAATATTTGTATACACAAGATAAATCACAATCTTATACTAAAGATTCTAGAATGATAAATTTGTTCACATCAATACAAGAATTTGTTACCATTTTTTATGCAATCTGAAAAAGAACATTTAACCCTGATTTTGTTTTTAACTTCAATAGGTAAATGATAAACTGCAGTAACAATCAGTATATATGAAATATAACCTGAGGTACAGTTAATTAACTTTGAATGACCATGGTATCAATATTATGTAACTTGTTCAGTGGTCTTGTGGTACTAAGATTATGGGTTTAAACCCCAACAGGGTGAAACTAAAGACTTGAAAATTAGTATTTGCTGCTTCTCCCCTAAGCATGCAGCATTTTATTTGCCACTGGACGTCAAATATCCATTCATCAATATTTTGTACATGCAGAACTTAAAAAATATGATGTTTTTTGTACATGCAGAACTGAAAAGATTGATGTTTGTTTTGATGTTACAGAATGTTACAGTTCAGGGTATTTCTGGAACAGGATCTTTAAGACTTGGCGGTGCCTTTTTTGTAAGTAATTGTATTTGATAAGTCTTCAATTTCAATTATCAAGGCCTAGTCATATAGTTTCCCTTGTTATAGGTATCCAGGGAAGCAATATATATTATATGTATGTCTGTTAATTCTAATACTTGATTTAAGTATTGACCTTATGTCTTCTCTGAATGCATCTTATAGGAGCTATCGAACATTCAATAATAATCAGCATTGCAGTTAGTGTCTAGCTTACTGAACACCTACCCATAATAATAAACATATGTTATGCTAATGTTGTCACCTACCATTTGATATAGTTGCTGACAGGTTTAATACCAAACTTTGATAGGCTTACCAAACTAGGCCTTACTTACTGTAGATTTGTTATTATTCATGGAATACAATTTTCGTAGGTATACCGTAGGTACACTTATAAATTTAGAGGTTCACAGAAGTATTCATTTTCTAAAGATTTATGTGCAGATTTTGGAAAAATCCACAAAATCAAATATCTACAAAAATACAATTTTCCCTGAATATGTGAAAATTGGTACCTAAGGAAATAAAAGAATCCACGGTATTTCCCAAAGTTTAGGCTAGTTTAAAAATATTGGAGGTAGATGGTCATAAAAAAAGATAACTTTAATAAACATTAAACAAAAATTAACACAATAGACTATTCAGCTGTCCTTCATCCATTTGGCTTTAACAGATTATAGATCAGATATACACCTAGGACCTCTTTCCTTCAATGCTTTCTATTATGTTAAGTTTTATTATTCGAACAAATGGCATTCTAGTTAAGTTTTATTATTTGAACAAATGCATGGCATTCTAGTTAAGTTTTATTATTTGAACAAATGCATAGCATTCTAGTTAAGTTTTATTATTTGAACAAATGCATGGCATTCTAGTTAAGTTTTATTATTTGAACAAATGCATGGCATTCTAGTTAAGTTTTATCCCATTTTGGATGGACCTTTACAATTATAATTTATATGATCATTTATTTATGTAACCAAAGCATCAAAATTTTTGGAACTAATATTTTTACATTTTTTCTTCTTTACAGTCAAAATTCTACGCAAAAAGTAAAGTATTTTATACACCAACACCAACTTGGGGAAACCATATTCCCATCTTCAAGTAAGTAGATTAAGTGTTGTATGAAGATAACAAGGGGCAATTGAACATCCATTAATTAAAGATCAGACAAGAACATGACCATAAGATAAAAATGTGAAAGACCAACAAACAATTGGGGAAAATTCCAAGGGTGGGGTGTAGTGGGGAAATGAAGCGCTCGGTAAGGCCAAGGAGGTCCTTCACCATAAGTAGTACTGGTGGTGTTGTCTATTGTTGAAGACTGTTTGTTGCCATCTAGAAGTCTTTTGGTTATTTTTTAAATAGGTTTGCTGTCTAATTTATGTATACCCCACATCTTATTTTATTCATATTAGTATTTATCTGATAATGTCTGGATCAAAACCACAAAAAGTTGGATAATGAAGACAATGGTGGCTTTCATAAAATAATAATAGTTTTTTTTTTTTACCTTAAATGATTTGTTAGAATTCTCTTTACTGCTAGTGTAAAACCCAGTATACATTATAGTTACAATATACAATAGGATGTATGTTAGTATCTTAAATAGTTTCCTAGCTGGTCGAAAATAGAGGGATGCAGCACTTTCTATGCACTTCTGTTTCACAGTACTGCCGATGTACATTCATTTTGTATTCTGAATGAAAATAAATACTCTTCAAATTAAAAACAAATATTTTAACTACTGGGAAAAAGATGTTTACAATCCCAAATTACTTCAAATTCAGCAAAAATACATTAATTTTATTCCATTAAAATTTTATGAATTTGATAAACATGATCAAGTGTCCCTTCTCGGACAAGAATTCACCTTATCATGACCTTCATCTTATAAATCTGCTCCTCTGTCCTTAATTCTTGCTAAAATACTGTCAAACTACAAAAGTGTCTTAATATACCAGACAGGATAGTTACTGTATATTTTAAAGTTCATAGCAGTGTCGTCCTTGCCTAAGTTTTGAAATAGAAAGGGGGTTTGGTGAGAAAAACATGATGACCCTATCACAGCATAAATAATGTAGTTCTCCTGTGCATTTAAGTCAGTTTTAAAATTATCTTGTATTTGTTACTTTTTGAATTTTCTGGTTTAATGCTAGATGCAGGGATTGAAGTGTTGGGTAATCTATGCTTAAATGCTTTTGTAAAAATACTGAAAAGATTTGAAGTTTATAGCAGTAAATATATCTATTAATAACTATTTATATTTGTAGACATGCTGGTTTGGATATCCAGTCCTACAGATATTATGATCCTAAAACTTGTGGGTTTGATTTTAATGGAGCATTAGAAGATATTTCAGTGAGTTTGTTACTGTCAAAAGAAATTAATTGGTGCGGTTTTATGCCCCCGCATCTGAAAGTTGGGGGGGGGGGGCATATTGTTTTTCCCCTGTCTGTCCGTTCGTCCCATTATGGTTATATAGTTATTCCAGATAACTCCTCCTACAGTTTGAATACTAGGAATGTTTTGCTTTACTGCCTGTTTGTACATATACTTGAGGTATGCATGTGGTCAGGGTTTTGATTTTTATTTATATTTGCTCTTTTGGGAGATAGTTGAACTTTGTCATTTTTTGTATTATTTACTTACATAAGAGGTGCATAGCATTTCTGGATAACTCCTCCTACAGTTTGAATGCTAGGAAGTTTTCACTTTGCTGGCTGTTCGTACATATATTGAAGGTGTGCCTGTGGTCAGAATTTTGTTGGGGTCACTTTTACCGTTCTAGAGTTATGCCCCTTTACAAATGGAAACATTGCTGAATTTTTCGTTTCCGTTCTCTAACAGTTTGCCTCAACCAAATTTTATGAAACTTATGCACAATGCTTATTACCACAAAACACAGATCAAGTTTGAATTTTGGTGGCGTCACTTTTACCGTTATAGAGTTATGCCATTTTAAAAATGGAAAAATTGCTGAATTTTTCGTTTCCGTTCTCTAACTTTAGTTTGCCTCTACCAAATGTTATGAAACTTATACACAATGCTTGTTACCACAAAACACAGATCAAGTGTCAATTTTGGTGGCGTCACTTATAACATTCTGGAGTTATGCCCCTTTACAAATGGAAAAATTGCTGAATTTTTTGATTTCGTTCTCTAACTTTAGTTTGCCTCAACCAAATGTTATTTGTAGACATGCTGTTTTGGATATCCAGTCCTACAGATATTATGATCCTAAAACTTGTGGGTTTGATTTTAATGGAGCATTAGAAGATATTTCAGTGAGTTTGTTACTGTCAAAAAATTAATTGGTGAGGTTTTAATGCCCCCGCATCTGATAGTTGGGGGGCATATTGTTTTTCCCCTGTCCCATTATGGTTATATAGTTATTCCAGATATGGCCTCCTACAGTTTGAATGCTAGGAATTTTTTACTTTACTGCCTGTTTGTACATATATTGGAGGTGTGCATGTGGTCAGGGTTTTGATTTTTATTAAGATTTGCTCTTTTAGGAGATAGTTGAACTTTGTCATTTTTTTTAGTATTTACTTGCATAAGAGGTTTATAGCAATTCCGGATAACTCCTCCTACAGTGAACCATAGACCTAAGTGCTCCCATGCTCAACTTTGTGTATTTTAAAGTAAAACTTTGCATCTGCCGGGCATCATTTGTGTCTCCCAGACACAATAATATCTCAAAGAAAGTTCTACATTGGATTTGTTATAATACAGTTACTTCAGAGTGGAGTGCAGGGGCATCACTTTGTCTAGTTTTCTTTGTATTTCTATTTTGTTTTGATTATTTTAAATGGGTAAATAATTTGTGAATTCCTCATGTTCCACTCCATTAAGTTTCCATTGAAAACCATGCCACCGATTTATTTCTCCATGAATAATGAACATTTCAAATACTTTCTTCAAATTGACAGCACTAGAATCCACCATTTTTTATTTGTCTGCTGGCACGAATGATATCTTTTTGTTTGAAAGCAATTTGTGCGATTTCGGCCACGAGAGATGTCGGAATCGGAAATTTTTCAGAACATCTTTTAAAAGGTAACTCTCTTGAGCAATCACTTTTGATACTTCCCATGAGTGACTGCTCAATACAGGCTTGACTTTATCTGAACACTTATGTTTATGAGCCTTTTCTAGTAAAAAACTATTGTTGTTTAAATATATAATTTGTTTTAACATTCTTAAACTCTTGTGATCTTGTACTTATAATATGGACTAACAAACAAAATTTTTTTTTTTTATTTTTCAGAAAATTCCTGAGGGTGGTGTAGTTGTTCTTCACGCTTGTGCTCATAACCCCACTGGTGTAGACCCAAAGGTAAGAACTTGATATTATTTATTTGGTTAAAAAAGGCAAATAATCATCAGCACAATATTATATATTCGTGAAGAATTTTCAGCATGAACAATCGCCAATAATATTTAAGCATCTTTTTACATACTTGTTATTAAATAAAGAACTGCTGAACCAATGCCTCTTAAATTTTGTGCTGGTAGAGTTCCCTTAAGTGGATACCAGATGGTATGTAGGGTTGTCAGATAAAAAATATATTAAATACTGCTAATTTGACAATTAAGTGTTGTCAATTAATATAAATAAAATTCTAATATGACGACCTATATATTGTCAACCAGTATAATCACAGTATATCTACTTTAGATGAAAACACATTAGTACATTAGATTGCCTGTTCCGCATTATGCCCATGTTATTTATAGGACCAGGTAAACTCAACTTTCAGTAGTAAAACCCACGTTTTATGTAGGCCAAGCTTCAAATACCACAAGGTTATCTCTTATTCTAATGCAAAATAAACAAATCAGTCCATTTCAGTTATTATTTCGGTGTAAAATGTCATAAAACAAAAATTCTGCGAAAGATGTTATTGTCTTTGGCAATTAAACAAGATGACGTCATATGTATGCTTCGGATGTCAAATGTATACACCCGGCATTTTCAGGCTTCTTGTACGCCTCAGAATGCAATAAAACTAAGAGTAAAGAACATTTTTATGTGAAAAATGTGGGGTTTTTTTTATATTTATTATTGAATAATATGATATTATTTAATGGGGTAAAACGGAACAGACAAAACAGTATTGTGTGTATAGGTATTTCACGGTTGACAAAATTACCATATTTGTCCTATTAGACTCAGAATTATTCATGTCAGCCATAGATTTGTTTTCATTTAACCATGGGTTGGGCAGTTATAATTGATTACTTTAACCCATGGTGAAAGAAAGCAAATCTATGGCTGCCATGAATTGTTTCTTAGGTTGATATTGGGTAGACATCAATATGACAGCAACTTTCCACACAAGTTAACCGGTTTCACCATTAGAAGGTCATCATGGACCAGTATCATCTTTGTATACAAAGTTCTAAATTGCCACAGTTCTAGACAACAAATTGTCATTGAATTCAACAAGGACAAATAAAAATCTGACATCAACGAAAACAGTTTTTTTCATTAAACGTGTATAAATCTAACCAAAATATATCTCATTAAACATGTATAAATCTAACCAAAATATTTCTCATTAAACATGAATAAATCTAACCAAAATATTCCTTATTAAACATGAATAAATCTAACCAAAATATTTCCAGATTTCGATAATATAAAGCTTATGTGAACTTAACTAATGTATTTACAGCCAGAACAATGGAAGGAAATCAGCAGTGTTATGAAGCAGAAAAAGTTATATCCTTTCTTTGACATGGCTTACCAAGGGTTTGCCAGTGGGGATATTAACAAAGATGCCTTTGCAGTCAGACATTTTCTGGCTGATGGACATGAAATAGCTCTCTGTCAGTCATATGCCAAAAATATGGGACTATATGGTAAGAATAATTGTCTAGATATAAAAATAAGGAGATTTGATATGATTGCCAATGAGACAACTATCCACCAAAGTTTCAATGAAGTGGATGTAAGCAATTATTAGGCAACTGTACAGCCTTCAACAATGAGAAAAATCCATACTACATAGTTGGCTATAAAAGGCCCTGTCTTGAAAAATATGACACAATTCAATTGAGTAAACTAATGGCCTTATTTATAATAAAACAATTTATGACAAACAAATATGACAGACATGAACCAATGACAACCATTGAACTAGTCTCCTGACTTAGGACAGGCACATGAAGAATGTGGCGGGGTTAATATAGTTCATCAGAAATATATTTGTATTAAGTTTGTCGTAATAGATGAATGTGGATATTTATTTTCCACTCATACAAAGTACTATCTTTGTCCAATAACATTTGATTTGTAAATAGTTTTTTTTATGTACTGGAATATGAGGCAGCTATCTTTAATGATTTGCTTATGGTGTGGCCCATATCTTACATGAATAGATATTTTGTTATTGTCTTGTTTATTTTTCACAAACTTGTTCAGTATTAAAAATATAAACTTTATAGAGATTGAGGAAAGGAATAAAACTTCACAGAATAACTTATAATTATAAACTTCCTATTTTATTTTTGGCCAAATGATTCTTGAAGTTTCCTTTTAATAACAAAACATTGACTTTGCTAATATGTATTTCTGATCAGATTAATTGTGTTTTACAAAGCAAATTACAGAATTTGCCATTCAAATATATTGAAATGGTTGTCAAAAACTAAGTTCTACATTTTACATTGTAAGGAAATGAAACTTAAATTTTTTATCCATGTGTAATTGTGAATCTACTGTTTATTTAAGGGGAGTTGATACAATTTAAGGGTAGATAACTTGTAATATGATAATATTCAATTTTCCATTGATGCTAAAAATGTTAATGATGAAGTTTTGTTACAAAAGTCTGGTCACAGGATTTTTAGAAATTAAGATTGCATAAAATTTCCCTTTTATTGAGTTACAAAAAGTTGTTTTGTTGTTATCAAATAATTTTTTTCATTTTTCTCCTATGCATATTTAACAGAGCTTTTAAATGAAAAAAAAAATGGCTTTTTATTTCAAAATATACCAGTTATAGAAAAGTTTAAAAGTTGTCAGAAAATTACAGTGAATTTACAAAATTTTCCAATTTTGAGCCTCATTTATATTTTTTTTTCAAAAACCAGCACAGTAATTTATGATTTAAAAAAAATTAATTCTCAATCTACAATATATCTCAAAATTACAAAAATGACAACATAATTTGAAACAGTATCAACTCCTCTTAATGATCAGATGAATATGATGTTTCACATAGCATTATATGGACTGTTGTCATTTCTACATAAATGAAAGTTTGTCTTATTATTTTATTTTTTAAATAAGATTTTGATGTATATTCTTTTAACTCTCTTTTAGGAAAGTTAAGAAAAATTAATTGTTTGTACAGTGTTTCCTGCAGATTAAAATGTTGAATTACACTTGCTTTACCAATGAACAAAACATTACAATTTTTGCTCCACTAAAAAAGAATAGTCAATGGGAAAATCTGAAAGGCTTTTAAAAAAGTGTCAAACACAAGATTTTTCCACAAAAAGATCTTTAGAATGAAATAGATACTCTTTTGTTTAATTCTGACTAATATACACACGTAACTTTGTAGGTGAGAGAGCTGGTGCTTTTACAGTTGTTTGTTCTTCAAAAGAGGAGGCAGATAGAATAACGTCACAAATAAAAATCCTCATCAGAGCTATGTATTCAAGTCCTCCCATTCATGGAGCAAGGATTGTAGACAGAGTACTCAATTCCCCAGAACTCAGAAATATGTGGTATGTTAATCTTAAAAAAATGATGACCATTCCAGAAAAAAATTTGTTGGGGGTTTTTAAAGGAAGGAAAAACTTTTGTTACATCCACTACACATCAGAATTTTACAAGAAGTACTTGCATTTAAAGATTTCATCTAAACCACCACATTCAAACGTTTTTTCTAGTAGACCTAATGATAAACTATTTCAATACTTTTAGTAATGATTGCTTTAACCAGGAAACTTTGTAAATTTGAACAGACCAAAGGTGTTGCTCCATTTATTTAATGCATCAGGCATTGTTATCTGTGAGGGGGATTTTATGCAGTTGTATCTATGTTGTGTTACTGTAGCTACGTATTGTGTTGTTATTTGGTCCCATATTATAGCATCAAGTGTTTTCACAAGAATGGTGGTTGTCATAGGTTTTCTTGGTCCGTTCAGTTATTCTACTGTTTGCAATAGTTTTAGGTGTGTTGAGTACTTACAAAACTGGTTTAACTGCACATCGGATGATTTGGATTAGCATCTCTTTGTTTCATAATGTATTTTTTCATCATGGCATCTCTTTGGTTATCACTGTTGAATTGTTTACAACTTTGTCTTCACTCAATGCAATTTAGAGCCCAACATATGGTAAGGATACACGTCTTTCATTAAACGTCTTCAGCAATCACTAGCATGTCAACACTGAGGTTGTAAGTTCAAACACCGTAGATGGCAGGTGTGTTTGATATGAAATGTCTAGAATTGCCAGAATTCCTGCCTAAGATTGTGGTCTTCTCCGGGCACTCTAGCTTCCTCCAACCAATATAAACTTACCCCCATGATATACCCAATAGAGCTGAAAGTGGCGTTAAACACCAACAATCAATCAATCAATCTGTCATTGAAAACTGGAAGCATATTGACCTTAAATGGATTTTTTTTCTTACTTGTGTTATGAGATTTCATTCAAGTATGAGCTATAGCAAACAATTTGGGCCTGTCAACCACTAATTTAAATATTTTCATCATCTATCTTGAAACTTTTTGGTCAGTTCAAATCAAAGCTTGGTGTATTGGACGTATTGAAGAACTTGATTTTATGGATCAGTGATAAAGATTAAGTATTCATGGTCAAGTCCATAACTCAAATATAACATTGTATAAGTAATAGGTCATGGCTGATTTGTCAATATTAAGTTTTTATGGTTAAGTCTGTTTCTCAGATACTATAAGCAATAGAGATATATTTGGTGTATGGAATAATTAAGTGTACATGTTCATTTAGCAGAGTTCATCTGACCTTGACCTCATTTACAATGATCATTGATAATGTTAAGTTTATGTGATACTTATAGACTTTCAACATAAATGCAATGATGATCAGTAAAGCAGACGAGACATTTCAGTGTGTGCTCTTTTGTTTCATTTTCTTATCAGAAAGGTCTTGAACATTTATTTACCAAGCATATTTTCTGTACTTTTTCTTTACTGAATATTCTCACTGGTATTGTTTAATACTTAAAAAAAACTTTGAAGTATGGAAAAGTATCATAATCCAAAGCACCTGTAGAAACATATCAAAATATGAGATACATTTGGAAGTCTACATAGAAATTATCTCCCCTGTCAATGGCATCTTAAGATATATTGCATTATTTTTATGCCCCACCTACGATAGTAGTACGGGCATTATGTTTTCTGGTCTGTGTGTCCGTTCATTAGTCCATCAGTCCGTCTGTCTGTCCATCTGTCCTGCTTCAGGTAAAAAGTTTTTGGTCAAGGTAGTTTTTGATGAAGTTGAAGTCCAATCAACTTGAAACTTAGTACACATGTTCCCTTTATGATCTTTCTAATTTTAATGCCAAATTAGAGTTTTTGAACTCAATTTCACGGTCCACTGAACATAGAAAATGATAGTGCGAGTGGGGCATCCATGTACTATGGACACATTCTTGTTTTCATCACTTTTAGGAACTTCTGAAAATTATGAGAAAAATTTGACAAAGTTTAATTGAACCACATGCATATTTCATATATTTTACATATGGAAATAATAGTGCTTTGAGGATTTGTATACAATTCAACAAAATGATAAATTAATTTTCAAATTAACAAAAGACTTGTATGTAAGTTTAAGATTCTAACATTATTAAAACTTTGAAATGTGTTTAGCTATCACAATTTATTTTTGTATGACCAGGTTAGGAGAAGTGAAAGGAATGGCTGATCGTATTATCTCTATGAGACAGAAATTGAAAGATGGACTAGCCCGTGAAGGATCAAGTCATAACTGGCAACATATTACTGATCAGATCGGAATGTTCTGTTTTACTGGTTTGAAACCTGAGCAGGTAAGAGAAAGAATTACTCAGTCTGTATACCTTGTACTGAAATTTTTATGCAGAATATTTAGACTGAGTTTATTGACCTTAGCAGCTGTCATTATTTTGATTCCCTAGTGTGTATATTTTTTGTGTCTTTGTTAATAAGAAATAACTAAATCAAACATTTAACTATGTAATTACTTTTAACTGGCACTTATGATTTAAGTACATTGTCATGGATTACTTTTGCCTATTTTTTAATTTGCTAATTTTTCACTTAAAGTGAAAACTTTTTGAAATGATTTTTGTCTCGCCTTGACGGAATCAAAAAGCGAGACATAGGTATGCTGTTTCCATCGTCGGTGGCGGCGACGACGCCGTCAACAATGTATTATTAGGTCTAGTTCATGGTGAACCACTAGTGGTAGGTCAATGATATTTGGTATGCAGTTGTATTAGCATTGGCACATCTCATTGCCACTATAGATTATTTGGCCCTGCCCCCTCAGTCAAGGTCTATTGACTTTGAAACTTTGCTTAGTTTACATGTATTAGTTTGTGATTAGGTCAGTTTATGGTAGTGGTAGGTCAATGATATTTGGTATGCAGTTGTATTAACATTGGCACATCTCATTAAAATGGAGATTATTTAGCCCTGCCCCCTCAGTCAAGGTCTATTGACTTTGAAACTTTGCTTAGTTTACATGTGTTAGTTTGTGATTAGGTCAGTTTAAGGGTAACTGTTAGCGGTAGGTCAATGATAATTGGTATGCAGTTGTATAAGCATTAGCACATCTCATTTCCATGGAGATTATTTGGCCCTGCCCCCTCATTCATGCTCTATTGACTTTGAAACTTTTGCTTAGTTTTCATGTATTAGTTTGTGATTAGGTCAGTTTAAGGGTAACTGTTAGCGGTAGGTCAATGATAATTGGTATGCAGTTGTATAAGCATTAGCACATCTCATTTCCATGGAGAATATTTGGTCCTTACCCCTCAGTCATGGTCTATTGACTTTGAAACTTTTGCTTAGTTTACATGTATTGGTTTGTGATTAGGTCAGTTTAAGATGAACCACTAATGTTAAGTCAATGGTATTTGGTTTGCAGTTGTATTAGCATTGGCACATCTCATTTCCATGGAGATTGTTTAGCCCTGTACCTTCAGTCATGGTTCATTGACTTTGAATATTTGCATAACTTACATGTTAAAGTATTGCTATTCTAATTTCAACATTTGCATTATCAAAATAACAAATAGGCGAGACATATCTCTGTGTTAACAGTTTATTAAATTCAATACTCATAGTACATGTACTTGCAGCTGTCATTGAAGCTGGTATTGACAGGTGAATGATATAATGAAACAATTTCATTTCAAAAGAAAATTGGATTTGAATGCAAAGTATCCATGGTAATTTTTGCATATATTAAGGGCAATCCTAGGAAAGAAAAATATGAATAACCAGGAATAAACCTAATGGAGGAAAGAGTTTATTCAGATTCTAGTTATCTACTTTGTTAATGATTACTGTACAATAAAGTAAGTCAAATGACTCTATGGTCAGTTGTACCATGTTTAAGTCATTTGACTCTATATGGTCAGTTGTACCATGTTTAAGTCATTTGACTCTATGGTCAGTTGTACCATGTTTAAGTCATTTGACTCTATGGTCAGTTGTACCATGTTTAAGTCATTTGACTCTATATGGTCAGTTGTACCATGTTTAAGTCATTTGACTCTATGGTCAGTTGTACCATGTTTAAGTCATTTGACTCTATGGTCAGTTGTACCATGTTTAAGTCATTTGACTCTATGGTCAGTTGTACCATGTTTAAGTCATTTGACTCTATGGTCAGTTGTACCATGTTTTATATAATCCTATGTGTACTGTATTTTTGTAGGTGGACAGACTTATTAATGAATTCCATATTTACCTGACAAAAGATGGCAGAATTTCAGTCGCAGGTGTAACATCAGGGAATGTTGACTATGTAGCTAATGCCATGCATCAAGTTTCCAAATGAAAATAAGACATAGAATAGTTACAGTATTTTGCTGTCATCATATTGTAGAATCCAGAATGTGAAAATATTCCTTGCAAATCTTTTAGCAAGAAAACTGCTTCTGCTATGACATGTATTTTAAAGTTACTAACAATATGCCTATAGTATTTTTAAGAACTGTTAATAAAATTAAAGTTTATTTTGTGTTGGGGAAACAATTAAAATTTAAGCTTAAATATGTTTTGATATTAGAATAATGTTAAAATACTTGCATCAAAGTGTTCAGTAGCAAAATATTTTCTATGTATATTTTAAATATTTATTTTATTTTCAGTATGAACATCCATACTTATTTGATTTTATGATCAGTTTTCTCCTATTTAAGTTATGTTGTTCTTAATACTTTTCATTTATAGTGTAGTGACTAAGAAATATATTGTAACGGTATGTTGACAAGATGTCTTTTCATAAATCCACCAATTTTCTTTTACTTTTTGGTCAGTACTGTTCCCAAGTATTTAGAATATAAGCCCTAGATTTATAGTTACAGGATTATTTTATATATCAGTACAAAGTTCAAAACCACAGCAGTTTACATTGCATAATGTCTTGTTAAGTTTGTTTATGATCTGTTCACAAGAAATTTTTATTTGGTAGTAACAAATTATTGTGTATATTTTATTACTCGCCATACGAAATTTTAATTTTGGTTTGGTGTAATAAATTGTGATATCTTCGATATTGTTGTTTTCCTTTGCTATTCACTCTAACAGTTACAACAAAAATGCAACTGTCATGATTTGTTTTAACTTTAATCATCTGCAGTTGCATGGTAACTTTAACAATATTTGTATAGTGTAGGAAAAGATATATTTCTTTGTATGAGCTTTATTCATATGAGGCTGAATTCATGCAGGAACTTCTTAGGAAGAAAAAAAGAAGTTAGCAGTATCCTTTAACTTCACTTTCCGATATATAGATGATGTTCTCTCACTAAATAATTCAAAATTTGATGACTAATGTTGAACACATCTATCCCATTAAACTTGAGACAAAGGATTCAACAGAAACAGTTAAGTTTACCTCATATCTTGACTTACATCTAGAAATTGACAATGGGGGTCGGTTGAAAACAAAACTTTATGACAAAAGAGATGATTTCAACTTCCCAATTGTGAACTTTCCAATTCTATAGCAAATTCCAGCAGCGCCTGCATACAGAGTATAATTCTCCCAATTGATATGATATTCCAGGACTTGTATTTTCTATCATGATTTACTTGATAGAGGGTTGCTTCTCACAAGGAAGCTATTAAACCAAGAGTTCCAAGTGGTGAAGTTGAAATCATCCCTTCGTTAATTTGACGGATGCTATCACAAGTTGGTTGACTGTTATGGAATATCTGTTTCACAGATAACAATGGATATGTTACAATTGTCATAGCTACAATCCCGTCCACTTTTCTCGGAATGTGACCTAACAAATTAGACTCATCACCGGGTTTTAACTAACCTGAGCAACATGACGGGTGCCACATATGGAGCAGGATCTGCTTACCCTTCCAGAGCACCTAAGATCACCCCCAGTTTTTGGTTTTCTATGTTGTGTTTTGTGTACTGCTGTTTTGTCTGTTTGTCTTTTCTTTTTAGCTCACCTGGGCCAAGTGAGCTTTTCTCATCACTTGGCGTCCGTCGTCCGTCCTCATTAGCTTTTTACAAAAATCTTATCCTCTGAAACCACTTGGCCAAATTTAACCAAACATGGCCACAATCATCATTAGGGTATCTAGTTTAAAAAATGTGTCCGATGACCCCGCCAACCAACCAAGATGGCCACCATGGCTAAAAATAGAACATAGGGGTAAAATGTAGATTTTGGCTTATATCTTTGAAATCAAAGCATTTAGAGTAAATCTGACATGGGTAAAACTGATTATCAGGTCAAGATCTATCTGCCCTGAAATTTTCAGACAAATCTGACAACCTGTTGTTGGGTTGCTGCCCCTGAATTGGTAATTTTAAGGAAATTTTGCAGTTTTTGGTTATTATCTTGAATATTATTATAGATAGAGATAAACTGTAAACAGCAATAATGTTCGGCAAAGTAAGATCGAGAAATAAGTTTATATGACCAAAATTGTCAGTCGACCCCTTTAGGAGTTATTGCCCTTAATAGTCAATTTTTAACAATTTTTCGTAAATTTTTGTGATCTTTTACAAAAATCTTCTTCTCTGAAACTACTGAGACAAATTTAACCATACTTGGCCATAATCATTATAAGGGTATCTAGTTAAAAAAATTTATCCCATGACCCCGCCTTCCAACCATCATGGCCGACTTGGTTAAAAATGGAACATAGGGGTAAAATGCAGTTTTTGGTTTATATCTCTGAAACTAAAGCATTTAGAGCAAATCTGACAGGTGGCAAAAATGTTCATCAGATTTAGATTTATCTGCCCTGAAATTTGCAGACAAATCCGACAACCCATTGTTGGGTTACTGCCCCTGAGTTAGTAATTTTACAAAAATTTTGCAGTTTTTTGTTATTATCTTAGATATCATTATAATATCTAATATCTAATACTATTAATTATGATTTTAACCTTATTTTACATGATTTCCAAAGCATCAGTAAATACAGGTGAGCGACACAGGCTCTTGAGAGCCTCTAGTTTAGCCATGGCTTTGTCATTTTTTTTTCGACTTATGAGTTTGAATGTCCCTTTGGTATCTTTTTCTATTTTTAGCTCACCTGGCCTAAAATTTCAAGTGAGCTTTTCTCATCACTTGGCGTCCGTCGTTCGTCGTCGTCCGTTAACTTTTACAAAAATCTTCTCCTCTGAAACTATTGGGGCCAAATTTAACCAAATTTAGCTACAATTATCATTGGGGTATCTAGTTTAAAAAATGTGTCCGACGACCCCCCTGCCAACATACATGACCGCTATGGCTATAAATAGAACATAGGGGTAAAATGTAATCTCTGAAACTAAAGCATTTAGAGTAAATCTGACATGGGGTAAAAATGTTCATCAGATTATGATCTATCTGCCATGAAATTTTCAGACGAATCAGACAACCCATTATTGGGTTGCTGCCCCTGAATTAGTAATTTTAAGGAAATTTTGCAGTTTTTGGTTATTATCTTGAATATTATTATAGATAGAGATAAACTGTAAGCAGCAATAATGTTCAGCAAAGTAAGATCTACAAATAAGTCAACATGAACAAAATTGTCAATTGACCCCTTAAGGAGTTATTGCCCTTTATATTCAATTTTTAACAATTTTTCCTAAATTTTTGAGATCTTTTACAAAAATCTTCTCCTCTGAAACTACATAGACAAATTCAATCAAACTTTGCCAAAATCATCGTTGGGGTATCTAGTTTAAAAAATGTGTCCGATGACCCCAACTGCCAACCAACATGGCCGACATGGCTTAAAATAGAACATAGGGATAAAATACAGTTTTTGGCTCATATCTCTGAAACTAAAGCAAAAGTATAATGGTTGCATTATTTCATGCATCAATTGTAAACAAAAATATCAGGTGAGCGACACAGGCTCCTTGGAGCCTCTAGTTTAGAAACAGAGAGAAAAGAGAGACAGGCTTATTGAGTTTTTTTTATACGACCGCAAAAAATGTTTTGCGTCGTATAATGCTATGATGTTGTCGTCTGCGTTGTTGTCGTCCGAAGACACATTTGGTTTCCGGATAATATCTTAAGTTTAAGTGAATGGATCTCTATGAATTTTGACCAGAAGGTTCAATACCACAAAAGGAAGGTTGGGATTGATTTTGGGGGTGATGGTTACAACAGTTTAGGAATTAGGGGTCAAAAAGGGGGGAGGGGGATGAAAAGCATTTTTGTAGTTTCTGGACAATAATTTGTGTGTGAGTGTATGGATCTCTCTGAAATTGTACCACAAGGTTACATATCACAAAGGTAAGGCTGGGATTGAGTTTGGGGTTAATTGCCCCAACATTCAGGAATTAGGGGCAAAAAAGGGGCCAAAAACAAGCATTTTTCTAGTTTCCAGACAATAACTTGTGTTTAAGTGTTTGGAGCTCTCTAAAATTGTACTACAAGGTTCCATACCATGAAGAGAAGGCTGGGATTGAGTTTGGGGGTAATTACTCCAATTAAGGGGGGGGGGGGGGGGGTCAAAAAGTTGAATTTTTGAAATCTTCAATTGCACAGTATTGCCTAATAGCAAGAAATCTTCAATTGCACAGTATTGCGCAATAGCATAGTATTGTGCAATATCACAGTATTGTGCAATAGCAAGAAATCTTCAATTTCACAGTATTGCACAATAGCACAATATTGCGCAATAGCACAAGAAATCTTCAACTGCACAGTATTGCACAATAGCTAAAAATCTTCAATTGCACAGTACTGTGCAACAACTCAGTATTGCGCAATAGCAAGAAATCTTCAATAGCACAGTATTGCACAATAGCAAGAAATCTTCAATTGCACAGTATTGCGCAATAGCATAGTATTGTGCAATATCACAGTATTGTGCAATAGCAAGAAATCTTCAATTTCACAGTATTGCACAATAGCACAATATTGCGCAATAGCACAAGAAATCTTCAACTGCACAGTATTGCACAATAGCTAAAAATCTTCAATTGCACAGTATTGTGCAACAACTCAGTATTGCGCAATAGCAAGAAATCTTCAATAGCACAGTATTGCACAATAGCAAGAAATCTTCAATTGCACAGTATTGCGCAATAGCAAAAAATCTTCAATTGAAAACAAATACAAATGTTTTAACCAATTTTGATGGGATTAATTAAGTCTTTAATTTTTGGGGGTTCTAACCTTGTATAATTTTTTGGGATATTGGGCCCTATTTTTAAATTGGTCTACATTGAGGTCAAAAGGGTCCAAAATTAAACTTTGTTTGATTTCATCAAAAACTTAATTATTGCGGCTGTATGATTTGCTGAATCTCATTGTGCATTTAGATTTTTATTTTGGGCCCTGTTTTCAAATTAGTTAAGGAATGACTGTAATTTTTTTTCTGTCTATGAAGAAATAACATCAAAAATGTGGTGCACACTGAATAACCCGCATAGCGGGTTATTTAAAGTGTCACCACATTTTTTATGTTATTTCGAATAGACAGAAAAAAATTTACAGTCATTTCTTATAATTTAGTTCTAAATTCCATTTTAAACCGGAGTAAACCATGAAAAAACATTAATGACGTCACGGCCACATGACAAAATTATGTCTATGTCATATGAGCTGATAAACAAAACAACGTCAGCCAATCAGAAGACACGTTACATCCAAAATTAAATTATTTCATATTAGTGTTTGAAGGGTCCAAAATTAAACTTTGTTTGATTTCAACTAAAATTAAATTATTGGTGTTTTTTTATATGCTGAATCTAACCATGTTGTTAGATTTTGGATATCAGACCATTCTAGGTAAATTAAATGTCCCATTTCAAATTTTTAAGATCTTTGACCACATTTATTTTGTGTCAGAAACCTATATTATGTCAATAATTTGATCACAATCCAAATTCAGACAGTATCAAGCTTGAGTATTGTGTCCAAACTTGCCCCAACTGTTCAGGGTTCGACCTCTGCGGTGGTATCAGGCTGCGCTCAGCGAAGCATTTTATTCTGTTTTGTAGTAAGAACAAATAAATTTGATGTTTTCATACTGTTTTTGTTCTGAAATTGAACTTTGAGCTTAAACTTATAATT